CCGTAACGACGTAATATCGTTCAGTTACCCAGAGTATTTTTATTACGTTCCCGCGGCAGCATAGTGCGCAACGGTGAGGAGGGGGTTGCCAGGGGGCACACAGACGACAGCGGTAGTCGAGGGGGCGGTTTGCCGAGCTTACGAAGCTATGCTCACGATATAACGAGAGCCATTATGATAAGCGGATGCATAGATTAGACATAACTCGTTAACCCGGCTGTGCGCGACGTGTCTACGCGATGAAAGGGCAAGCGGTATCGATAGAATCAAGAATGCTTCTTGGTTCGACAGGAAATTAACCAAATTGTCGTGAATTTGTTATTTATTATTGCGTTCCAAGAGTTCCGAATGTTTTTCTCTATTTTCTTTTTCAATTATTTAAACTTTCATCGCCATCTACGGATATTTCGCCAAAAGCGGGAAAAATATTTGTACTCGTTTCTGTATCACAGCGATCGTCGTTGAGAAATTCTTCTGTCTCCCATGGACGAAATTTTATTCTCGCTTGTTCTCGCAGTTCTACGTTGAATTTTTATTAATTCTCCCCCTCCCTCCTTCGTTCTCACGTGAAAGAAAATTCTCAGTTCTCGGCGCGTCCGTTCGCTTTCTTCTCTCGGGGATTCAAATTCGAAAAAAAGGTTCTTCTATTTCATTCTACGGGACTTGGCGAGAGCCAAGGCGGCCCCGTCTCGACAGTAGGACTTTTATCAGACAAATTTGAAGACAATTCAACGCAGCAAGGCGGACGAAATGCGAGGAAGTGAACAAACAAGCTTGGTAAATTATCGGGGCGCGGGAGGAGAGAGGAGAGGAGAACACGAGGAGGTGGGTTAAGCGGGGTCGGTGAAAAGCCACGACGGAAGCTTGCAGGTAACTTAGGCGCGCAAACTGAAGGGAAATACGACGGGAAAGTTTCTAGAACAAAATGATACGACACTGCGTAAGATCCCGCCTTTGAAGTCAGGTCCGCGCCATTCTTTGTATAAATTGGAAGGAAAGCGCGGCGTAAAAAGCTCCGCTCTGCCCGGAGGTTAATACGTTTATGTAGGAGAAATTATTTTTAATTTTTTCTAGAACCGCCTCTGACGCGGGAGAGAGAGAGAGAGAGAGAGAGGGAGAGAGTGGTGTACAAGCACGGGCGCAAGGGTGTGGCAGAATGCGCGGCACCGCCGTGTAAGAATTTCTTAATTAGATTCGAGCAGCTGCCCTCTCCGCTGCCCTCTCTTTCTTTTCTCTTTCCGGCCAAGAAATTTCACTGTGTATATATATATATGTATGTATGTATATGTATATATCGTATACGTGTATATATACATATATAGCTCCGCGATAGTTCACACGACGGCGTTATTATACCTATACTACTCGACGCGTGCTTCGCGTACAAATATTCGAGCATTATTAGACATTTTTCTCCTTTGAGATAATAGACTCTGTCAGATTTGTAATTGAGACTGTAATGAAACCACATACCTAAGAATATGATCTCTCTCGGATTTCGCGCTCTCGGAGCGCCTACCGTGCGCCAGCTGCGGCGCTCCAATTAACGACAACGTGCAATTTGTACGGCTTTCAGGCGATTCAATTCCTATCCCGAATTTTAAATACCGAGTGAAAGCACTAAGGGCTAAATAGTGAATGAACTCGCGATCTAAATCCAAGCCGCGTAGAGAAATAGCATCGACCGATGTTCCTCGCTCGTTCTCGCGATCTGTCTGTCCATCATAATCCATCACAGCAGTCGGCAGTCGCGCCGTATCCCTTTCTTAAGTCGAGAAAAAAATCGAAGAAATAGAAAAGGAAAAATGGTAAAGGAGGACACGATGAAATTCCAGCATTTAGAAACGCGTAAACCGGCTGGCCAGCTGGCTGGCAGGGATAGGGCAACACGTATGGTCCGGCTTGACGGTGGTAGGGGATAGCACATAAATTTTGATAATACCAAAATTGTGACAGAACGAAGAAAAATCCCCACGAGGCCGCGGTGCAAAGTGCGAATAAATCGTTGCGTGTGCCTTTGTCAACGAAACATGAAAGGTTGGGCGTGCGAAGGGGCAAGAGAGAGAGAGAGAGAGAGAGAGAGAGAGAGAGAGAGGCGACCAACAACCCAAAAGGGAGAAACTGAGCGAGAACGACGCGACGCGAACGGAAAGGGTAGGGAGAGCAGACCGAGTCGCTGGGGTTGACCACGTCGTCTGGTTTTCGACCGACTCTCTTTCTCCCCCTCCACCCATTCTCTTTCCTTTTTCTCTCTCTCTCTCTCTCTCTCTCTCTGTCTCTCTCTCTTTCACCGGTCCGTTCGTGTGTTCATGCGTGCGTGCGTGCGTGCGTACGTACATTTTTATCAATTATTAAGAACTCCGGCGTGCTTTTGCAACTGTAGAGAGGGAGTGAAGAGCGGGGGGAAAGAGGGGGCGTCGGTGATGGTAAAGTTGCTTTCGTCCTTGTCGTTGGTATATCCAGTGTAACCAGTCGACGATACCCTATGCCCATCGATTTTTTGTTTCTTTTTCCAACCCACCTCCTTTTGCTTCTCCTCCTCCTCCTCCTGTTTCACTGTCCCTTTCTTTCCTCCTGCACGTTTCTCTCCTCTCTTCTCTCTCCTCTCCTGTTCTCCATTTACGTCAAACCCCTTTCCCCACGCTTTTTCTGCGTGATTCTCTCTTTTTCTTGCCTCCACCCTCTCTCCTTGCCTGCCTCTGGCCAACGCTGTGCCGTGGACATTAATAACGGCCACGGCTAACCACCGTCAACCCCTTTTGCCAGCGTTACCGTGTCCAGCCACGGAAAGTGCGAGAGTAATAATAAAATATACGAAATGTAGGCGACCATCGTCGCCGGCTCGTCCCCGGCTCGTCCGCCCCGCGAAAAACAAACACCCGCGACACGCTCCGCTGTATTCCTTTCGTTACGTCCGCCTCTACGAGGCGTACCGACGATCGTGAAAGATTAGGGTAATTTGCGTTAAATAACGACACGTCCGGATAACTAAGCAAAAGGGCCGGGGCCACAGCCAGCTCTCGACACTTTGCTCGGGCTCTTCGAGTTACAGATTTTTTCTTTTTTTTTTTTTTTTTTTTTTTTATTTCACTCACAATCACAATCAGTTGTACCAAGTATGCAAGCAGTTGCAAAGAATGGTACTCTTCGATTCGTTTCGCTTGATTGTATTTGTGATTATGAAATGGAAAGGTTTAGTCGCGCTGACATGACGTACCAGAATTTTTTGTTTCTCAAGTTGCAACATTTTCTCAGTTTCAAGTATATTTAAATCTAACTCAGGCAAAACAAGTAATAAATTCTATTACTTCTCAGTAATTTCTATCCAGTGATATTATACCGACGAGTTCAAAAAGAAAGCGACGAATTATTGTATACGGTTTGGTCACTCGTTATGGTCCGCGAACCAGTTGCCAGCGCAAGGAGTTAAACCTCCTGCGCTGGAATGACGTACCAGAATTTTTTGTCCCAGATTGCAACATTTTTCTCAGTTTCAAGTATATTTAAATCTAACCCAGGCAAAACAAATGTTAAGTTTGTTACTTCTTGATAATTTTTATCCAGTGACGTCATACCGACGAGTTCAAAAAGAAAAGAAAACGACGAATTATTGTATACGGTACGGTCACTCGTTGTGGTCCGCGAATCAATTGCCAGCGCAAGGGCCAGCCTAAGTAGAATCGTCCAATTTCGGGAAAGACCGACTGGATAAGTGGTATAAGTAGAACGATGGTCAGGCAAGTAACATCGTTCATCGAAAAATTGACATTTTTTATAGTTATTTATTGTCAGAGAAGGACATCAATGCTTACAGAGATTCTTACCAAAAACACCTTTCTTATATGTAAAATAAATATTAGATTTGCCTATATAAGTGGTATAAGTAGAACGATGGTCAGTCAAATAATATCGTTTATCGAGCAATTGATATCTTCTATAATTTATGTCGGAGAAAGACATCACTAATTATAGAAATTATAGCATTTTTATCGAAAGCATCTTTTTTATATGTAAAATAAACACTAGATTTGCCTATATAAGTGGTATAAGTAGAACAATGGTCAGGCAAGTAATATCGTTCATCGTACAATTGACATCTTCTGCAGTTATTTATATCGAAGAAAAACATCAATAATTACAAAGATTAGCATTTTTACTAAAAGCATCTTTTTTTACATGTAAAATAAATATTAGATTTACCCATATAAGCGACGTAATGATAGCGGATAGCGCCAAATTTCTTACACGAGTTTGCAGGTTCAAACAATTCAACGAAACAAATTTTGCGATTAAGAAAAATACTGGGAATTTTCGAAAGATTTCAAATATCGTATTTAAACGATTGATTTGTGCTTCAGTTAAACAAACTTTGCAATTAAAAATACTTGCCGTGGGAATTTTGAAACATTTTTCCTGTCGCAACAGAAGCAATTAACTGTATCGTTACCTTCGTCTTCGGACGAGAAATTAAACACGGGTGGACAATAATGGACACGTGTACTAACGAACCTTTTAATTACTGTTGACATGCACGCGGGATATACGTACGTACATACGTACGTCGTCATACTTGACTTATACCTGACAGACGGCCGTTGCAGGGCGTCCACGACATTACGTTGGAGACGCCCCCGAAAATTCATAAACTTTTCTGGATTGGACAGAACATTCTCCCATTTATTTAAATTTTAACGAGGACACGCCTAAAGATGGACGGAAGTGTATAAAAAGACAAGACCAGTTGAAGGAAAAAGAACTTTCTTCGTGTTCTGACTTTTTAAAAACTTCTCTCTGAATTCACGGGAGGAAAACTCTTTTCTATTTTTTTTATTTTTTTTTATTATTTCTTTCTCCTTTTTAGACTTTCTCGCGATATTGACTTCCAAATCTAAATGTAACGAGTGGATTTACTCTGATTTGTGTAATGATGATAATAATAATAATAATAATAATAATAATAATAATAATAATAATAATAATAATCTCTTCCGATATTGCAGAGTCTACAACGAAACGGTAGATGTTCGGAGAGCAAGGTGGCATCCAGGATCCACAAACGACTCTCATCTGCTAGTACTGACATCCGAAAATACATTTCGGTAATTAAGAATTATTCTCGTACAATAGCCCCAGTAAAGTTTCACTGATCATATACGCACGTTAAATATTAACCATGGACAGACAAAATTATTTTAAACTTACATTTTATACATTATACACATATACTTACTTACATTTGTTACAATTAACTTAAACTATTTTAAACTACAAAAGTACAAGTTTGTCTCAGTTTTCTTAAATTTTTTAAATCCGCCTTCCTCTATATTGTCGACTGTTGATCTAGCGTCTGTGTAATATGCTTCAAGCGATTGTTGTTTAAAAACATATAAACGTTAAAAAAATATTTGTCGAAAAACTGACAGCAAGTAAACTCTCGTTTTGCCCAGTTTATACGAGTGCGAAGTGGGTAACAGGCCAAAGTTCGTAAGATCCTGGAAAGTCGGTCGTATACCATTCAGTTCGCCGTCAAAGATACCGGACTTCACCTCTTTAGGCGACACAGCGGTGGACTTTGATTTCGCTACGCCCACTCTACGCAAACCTGAAACGTTTATCGGCAAAGACATTAACAAGGTATGACTCTACGATGCGAAATGTCGTTTGGCAATTCTATTGTTCTTTCATCGGTGTATTGTTTTCAGGATAATGTTGTCGATTGGAATCAAATTGAATGGCCCATTCTGGTTCTCCGTGGCAGCGGGGAAGTGCTCATTGTTCGTGGAAACATTTTACACGATGTGTATGTAATTATGCATTCTTCTCGTCCCGAAAATTTATATTAATTGATACAAAATCTTATTTTATGATTCACTTTATCACGTCACGACGTCATAAAGTGTGATCGAACAAGAATTAGCACTCTGTTACTTTTGAAAATATGAAAAAACTTTATGAACAAAAGTTGTTCAGCGTAGAAAGGACTGTAATGTGGTGGTCATAATTGTTTTATAACTAAAGGGATTGATCTGCGTGCATATGTCAAAAAATTATTAGTTTGGAAGATATTTGAACTCTAATTTTTTGCAAAACCTATTGCATACGATACGAAGTTCATGTCTTTTCTGTATTGATCAACGAATTAAAAAAATATGTGATTTTATTTTCAAAAAAAAAGCGAAGGTTAAAAAAAAGTTACTACAACTGAACAACTTTTGTTGATGAAAATTTTTTTATATCTCCAGAAACAGTGCTGATTCTTATTAAACCACTCTATAAAACCATAACTTTTCGATGTAATTAATTATTTCTTGTTTTTATCACCTATTAATTTGATCAAGTCACGAAAATCCGGTGGTATCGGGATCACTCTCTATGTATCCTCCAACCGACGATAATTATGGAATAGACTCCTGCTCCATCATGTGTCTGCAAACTACACCCCCGATAGTGGTTATCGCTATGTGCACTGGAAAGATTTACCATGCGATTCTACTGAAAGAAGAAGCGACCAGCGACGACAGTAATGATAAAAGAGTGAGTGTTTCTGTGAAAAAAATTTCGAGCGATTTTCTGATTCTTCTCACGCGCAGATTGTTCTTTTAACTTTACACAGCGTTCTAATTTTGGTGATCCATGAATTTTCCACGTTTCGAACTTTTGAATCGTCGTCGAGTAATATCTCTCTCTCTCTCTCTTTCTCTCTCTCTCTCTCTCTCTCTCTCTCGGAAGAAAATACCTCCGACGAAAATTTGAAATTAATGAATTCTTCGCTAGACATTTGATCAATATCTGTTACTTTCAGACTTGGTCACAGTACGGTTCAACTTGCAGCCTTCACACGCCAGAGGAGGCGTTATACGTTTACGAATGCGTCGAGATAGAATTAGGTCTGTTTTTCGCAGACGACGATGAAAAGTACAACTGTCCGATACATCTTCGCGCCGACAAGGATAACAAGTCGAGGTGAATTTTCGTAGTTATTTGAAATCACGTTTGTGTTTTTCACAGTTTCATAGTTGCTCGAGGATATTTATAAAATTTACGTGCAGGTATTTTTGTTCTCACAACGCGGGAATTCATATGATCACACTGCCGATGGTTTCTCAATTGGAGGAATACATCAACGCTCCAAAAGGTAGGAAGGATTAGTAATTTTTTCGTTTTTCGTTTGTGATTATTGTTTGTTTCCTCGAACAACGAAAGAAGCAAATTTCATTTTTTTTTTTTTCTTTTCAGAAAACGACGATTCACGTTTACCATCGCTTTCGAATCAGTCCAACTCGCAATACTTGATCTGTAGAAGAACAAAGCACACGGAAGTAAACGAAGCCACGCCAATACTTGGATTTGGACTTCTCCAGGAGCCATGCGTTTTAGTGGCTTTGCTACACACCGGTGACATCGTCGCCCGTTCTGTTATCGATCTCTATTACTTTCCGAAGATCGAGCTTCCAGAATTTATAACTGACAAAAAGGAGAAAGTGAGCAATCTGTCTTTCCGTCGATTATCGATTGATTAATTGTCGCTCTACGTAGGTCGGATAAATCAGAAAGAACACATTCTGATATTGTTGACATGCTACATGTTATAATCTGATATTATTATACTGCTATTATAATATACTGCTACATGTTATAATCTGATGTAAGTTACAGATGAACAAAGAGACGTTCGACGTGTACATAAAAAAGTTGCTGAAACGTGAAACGTCGCAACCGCTTATCAAAATCGGCTCGAGATCTGTCTCTCCGCGGGAATGTTTACAGGTACTTGATTACATAAATTGACGAACGACTGAATTTGAGTGAGAATTAAGAAAATGACTTTCGCAATTAGCTTCTATATCACGCGACGGATATCTTTCGCAAAGAACATTTTGTCAAACATGATACCGTGAGGGAAGAAATCGGGAAGAAGGTGCGTGCGTTGAAAGTAATGAAAACCCAGTTGTTGAAAGAGCTAGATGCTTTACTAGAAACGAAAAAAGAATTGCATCAGACTGCTGAACGATTGGCCGAACGCTACGAAGATATTAAAGACGAGCAAGAAAAATTAGCGCAAAGGTGTGTCATAGGATTATGAATCATCGAGATTTTTATGAAAATCAATTACTAGATGGATAATATGTGTATTAATGATTTATCGTGAAATATCATGCGTTTACAGGGCAAAAGAAGTATTGCGTTTAGTGAATTACAAGGAACCTTCTATAACTCCTATTGAAAGGGCAGAAGCAGAGGAGTTGAAGAAAATGGAAGTGAAAATAAATAAAATGAAAATCAGACTTCTAGAACTGAAGAAAAAATCGGAGCAAACTGAGTCTATAGACAATAATGAAAATATTGAAAGGAAAAGAGAAATTGTTTTTAGAGGTGATCAAGAAAACGCCATCAAAAATAATCTTGGACAGATGTATGTATTGTTATCGTATCATAAAAATATATTATTATTATTATTATTATTATTATGCACAGTAAAAAATAATCTGTTTCTTTTATTTCCTAGGGCAAAAAATATAAAAGAATTAATTGCAGAAGTTAAAAAATTGGAAGAAGAAGTGAGTATTTAAATTGAACGACAAAACTTTATCAAGTTTAGTTGTAAACTATTGTAAATTATTACTTTAACGTAATATATAGGATTTTCATAATAAAAAATTATTTTATTTGCAAAATAATTTATTATATTAGCTATACATTTATCCTATATTTAGTTACATTATTGACATAATAGAATACTTCCATTAACTTCTCGCTTTAAATATCTCTTTTCAATATTAACACAAAAGAATATACATATATCAGCAATGGAAATGACATCAATATATTATATTGAAATATAAAATATGAGATATATCCATATCAACGTCAAGAATAAAAAAAATATCTTAAATTTCACTTCATTAAGAAAATTTCTAGTGCAATTGATATTAAATAAAATTGAATAAACGAGCATTATCGAAACATTCGAAAACGTTTGAACATACGAGCAATGATTCTTATGCAAATTTTTATAACAGAACAAACATCCTAACAATTTGTTTGCATGTTACTTTTGTTCTGCAATTACTTATTTCTGTGATCATAACGTATCGTTCAAGGCACAAAAATATAATGAGAAACATCATTGGAATCTTCCATAACCTTTGACTGTAGCAATTTAATTTCAAGTCGCAATTTTTCTTTTTCCATTTCTTGCTTTCGTATCTCATTTGAATAACAATTCATCTGTAATTTTAATTTATCTTTTTTAAGTTTCAACATTTCAGTTTCATGATACAACTTTCCTTTTTCTGCACGAAGTACTGCTAATTGTTCTTGAAGCAATTGATGACTGGCTTCGTCCGACAATATCACCTCAGGCGTATCAACATCTGCTTTTACAGTTGTCGTCGACTTCGAACAATTTATTTCACTTTCAGGTTCACTGTCAGGCTCCGCCTCTGTATTTGTAGCCTCTTTCATGATCCAAATCCTAGAGTCTGCAGATTCATTGAAAGTATTTGATGGCGATTTTACAGTTTGTTGTGACTGAGGTGTAAGAGATCTAGTTTGCTGTTTAGGAGAGGTAGATGTTCCTTTTATTTTTTCCATATTAGCAGTAGGAGCGATGGTTTCAATGTCTAAAACTGACAAAACATTATACCACACATTCTTCTTTTCATAAATGAAAACATTATCGCAATTATTTGAAATTACCTCTAGTACTGGGAGATTGACTACCATCTACGGTATGTGATAAATGATTGTTACAATAGGTATTAAATTCTCTCTCATCTACAAAAACAGAACCATCAGCGTTCACAATGGACTCGACAATTACAGATGGATCCCCATCTTGCATTACTAACTCTCCTACAATTTCACCGTTCGCTGCTATAATATCCCCGTCATTATTTGTTCTCAATAGTTCACCTTCTGTTGTATCAATTTCATCTACCACTTCTTCTTGTGTTAATTGACCACTGTAAGAATCATCACCATCATTTCCTTCACCCACTTCCAATTCAGTTGGTAATCCCTGAAAAAATAATTTCTCTATTAAATATACTGTTAAATTTTGTATTGTTAGATCTAGGTATCTCACATCTTGCCCCCAAGGAGATTCTTGTTCTTTTTTTATCCTTTTTATCGTTTGTGCAATTTCATCTTCAGATTCAGAATATATTTTCCTATCATTGTTTCTGCCTTGCATTTTCTCTATGTCGTGAATTTTTTTAAATAACTGATACGCTCTCTCAGGCGTTATATTCCTCTTTTGTTTATTAGCTGCTGCTATATTAAATAAATCTTTGGACCTAAGTATCTTGTTTGTTCGCAATCTTACATATTCTTTCAATCTTTTTCGATCAATATGTAATTGCATGAGATCTTGTACTTCCTGTTTAATTTCGCCACATAACTTCCTTTCTTGTGGAAGATTTTTGAACAGTTCCTAGTGAAAAATACAAATCAAATACTATGCTATACAATTTATTATTTCATTATTATTATTTACCTCTGAAATTTCGTGATTATGTTCATTATTGACACTAGTTACCTCTAGCTTTGTACCATCTTTTGATGCTCTTAACATAATATGAGCAGGACAATTTGTTCTTATCGATCTAGGCAAAACAATAATATATAAAGATATATTTTATATTCATTTATGTTAGAATAATTATTGCAACAGTCTAATTTGATCAATACATAATTTTATAAACTAACTGGGACTGTCTTCTGCCAGCTCCACGTGGTAAAAACTTCTGACCACCATAAATACATGCATATTTGACAGAATAATATTTTAAACGTTCGCTAATTGGACGAGCAGTTTTCATATGAGCTCCATTAACAGTCCTACTGTCTCTTCTCCAGTAGTGAACTAGACTACGCTTTGAAAATCTCTCCAACTTGTGTTCCAATTCTTCATAGCTATCAAACATTTCTCCCAAATGGAAAGATACATCCTCATCTTCTACAGTATTTATATCCATCATAAAAGTGATAATTAACGATCTATTTTGTAAATAAAAAGATATAAACATGTATATATAATACAAATAAGCATGTGTCATTTATTATTTATCTAATTAAAAAACTGTATAAAATATGCTAGAAGGTCATCAATATTCATAGATAATTTTATACGAAATAAATGTTGCAACATCTGAATTTTAAATGATCAACGAAGATGATGCCTTGTGTATAAAAATAAAAATAAACAAAAATAAAATGAAGGTTAGAATACATTGGGGCAAATGAAATAACATCATTGAAATTGTTGTTTGCATTGTTATTTAATTCGACTTCTACTGACGAAATAAATCTCTCGACAACAATACAACTCGGGTGAAAACATTGTTTCTCTCATTCGAAACTTTGAGGTTAGATTTGAATTTGATTGGCGTGGTAGAAGCCAAGACGATGAAACCGTGAACACAGCCAGATAGAATTACTCAAGAGCCGAACAAAGACGGGCGGGATTTTTTGTCTCCTACTAATTTTCAATCTTTATAGTGCGACTTACGTCCTGTCATATTTTTCGTAGCATTCCTTCTTTTTGACGAGGCCCTATAATATCCGATTTTCACGGAAGCGTGCACCTTGATTTTGCGCCATTTCTGATATAAGACAAGTGACTGAACTACAGCGCAACTGTTGTAATTTTCATTTGCGTTCGAATAATTTTTACATTCTATCACGATGAAATCGAAGCCGCAGAATAAACTATCGACATGATTTCTCATCGGCATGATTTTGTCGATAATTTCTTCAATATCAAAGGATCAGAAGTTACGTAAATTATCATAAGACTTAATAACCTATTATTTCGTATTACAACAGAATAATAAGTCACCGATGTATGTATTTAAAATAATATTTATTAATATCAATATCCAAGTTTTTTTAAAAGAATTGTAGCCAGTCTTTATCATCCTCAGTGTCTAGAGGAGGAATGGGTGGTGGTTCATTTTGTAAGATAGAAGACACCTATAAAAAAAAGTATTTTGAAGAGTACATCAAAAATTGAAATAAAATGAACAAAAAGTAATTATTTAATTATTTAATTATTTTCTTGAAACCTGTGTAAAGTCAGAAACTTTTGATTGTATATTGTCAATTTTCGAAACCTCAGCTTCTACATTGTTAGATTTTAATTCAGCATCATTAGTCTCATCAGAATTATATAAAACTTGTAATGTAACATTCTAAAATTACATTTTTATTAAAAATTATAAGAATAATAAAAAAAAAAGTATACAAATGTATATAAATTAATTTGTTCATATATTTACCTTTATTGTATCTGCTATTATTGTTCTTATATAATTCACAGAATATTCATCTATAAATTTATCCAATAGAGCATGATAAAGTTTATTCATTATACATTTTATCTCCTTTTTTTTATTATCATTCTAAGAAATATAATTATAAATATTAAAATATATAGAAAATTTAAAATAGCAAACATCGAATAAAGAGCTTACTTCATTTATTTCTTTAGAATTAGTAAGTTGTTCAGCACATCCTTCAGAAAGCTTAACCATTTTATTTTCTAATGCCACTGTCTTTTCCTTATATTTACTATTAAGTTTTGTTGCTTCTTCTAAATCTTTCTTCGCGTTACTGAATGCAGCATTTATATCTTTTAAAGATATTTCTAATTCTTTAATAGTTTTATGCAAATTTTCATTAGTCTGCATTAAAGATTCTTTTTGAGTTTCAAGATGTTTTATTTGTTCTACATAAAAAGTTAAGTTATTACACATATTAACATATCTTAACACACAATTAATGAGAGTGTTCATTTTACCTTTTGATTGATTTAATTCTTTCTCCAACATGCTTATTCTCTCTTTCATTTCAATTAACTGTGTAAAATTATCTGTACCTATATTAGATATATTCTGTGATTGACTATCTTTTTCTCCAGTTAAATTCATGGATAACATTTTTAAAGTATTATCCAAAGTTATCTTATTTTTTGTAGCATTTTGAAGCTCAAGAACATGAAACTATATATGACACATAATAGTATTTTGATAAATAGTATATAACTTCTTCAGCGTATATGTACCTTATCAAGCATTTTTTGCACATTATCAGCTATCTTAGACATTCCCATTCGGAGTTCTGCGTTTGTTATTCTAGTTTCAGACAATAACATATTTAATCCTGGATCTATTATTGTTGGTAATGTTGAAGTTGTTGTTTGTGGCTGTAATGATCTGACATCTGTATATATCTGACCACCCATGGTAACAAAATTTGGCTGCAATAAATCTGTACATTAATAACAAAAAATATCTATCAGAGATAAATACATCTTTCAACATATCTAAATTTATATACTTGTACTTGTGAGGGAGACCATTGAGGAGTAAACACAGATGATTTAACAAAAGATTTACAAGCAATATTTGTCGCAGATTCATCACTTTGTAATTTTAATACCTGATGTGAACTTTGTAACATTTCATCTCTAAATTCTGCTGGAAAATGTTCTTTTTGTAATTCTTCTTGAAATGATTCAATCTGAAATAAAAAGATCGTGGAGTTGAATTAAATTGTAAACATGTTATTTAAAATTATATTAAATATTAATTTACCTTCTTTTGATGAGATGATTTTTGTGGCATATCATCCTATATACATTAAATATATTATTCATTAGTTTGATTCAACTAGATATATGTATATATGATTAGATTGGAAGAATTTGAGTTTACTTCAGTATCTTCAGAATCGGTAGTACTAGATGGGAGTTTTGGTAATATTGATTGTCCCATTCTTGCCATTCGCGATATAATAGAAGCTTTATCACTAGAAATTTTGTGCAAATGTGCTTCCTCGGATGTTTGTATATTTATTATTTCTATTTCTAATAAAATATCTCTTTCTTTCGGAAATCCTGGTCCTAGACTAATCTATAAAATAATCATATTTAAAATACCTATACATTTATAATATATGTACATAATGTAACATATTAAATTTCATGCAGAACCTGTTTATTAGGAGGCACAAATAATATTCTTTTCAATCCTTTACTGCTTTCTAAAAGTGCCCTTTCCCAATTATCATCTACAGATATTTCTACTGTCATTGTTTGATATGCGGGAATATCTTTAAGTGGCTGTGTTATATCTGTTACAATCAAATATCTAATAGATATACTGTCTCCTTCTTTTACTGTTACATCTTTGTTACTGTCAACTGGTGATAAATCTTGATAAAGTACATTTTCTATTTTTCCATTTTTTGAAAAATATCGAGCTAAAGCTATTTCTCTTGCGAATTCTACACAAACGTCATTATTTTCAAATAAAATTGACCAATTTCTCTTATTACTATCATAATAGTGTGAATAATTGTTTGGTTGTATTATATATGAAAAATCATGTGTCACTGTGGCAACTGATACATATTTTTCCTTACTTATATATAAAATAAATTGATATACTTTTGTTGCAAGATTTCTTGTAAGAGCTACACCAATCTTTTTTCCTTCAACAGTGATTGATGTGTAAAAACCATTTTCGCTACAAATAACATTAATACAATTATATTACTAATTATTATTACACAATTATATTCATATAGAAAACAGTTACAATAAAAGATATAACATCAAGACTTACAATTTAAATGCATAAACTGCTTTAGCTATTATGACTTCTGTTTTGTTTGAAATTGTTTGAGTTAAAGTATGAGAGGTATTTAAATTTTTAGAAATTTGTTTTGTTGGAGAATAACTCAAAGATGATCTTTTAGCTTCGGATCCAAAAATAGCTGCTAAATTTGCGCTAAAACGAAAGATACATATTTATTTTAAACATTTCTTATATTTTGCAATTGTTAATTAAACAATAAAAAATAAAATCAAAGGTAAATAGGGATATATATTTATATTAATAAGAATATTAATAAGAATTATTAATAAAAATTATACTTCAGTATATTTTAACATTATACTTTATTAACAGTATATATGAATAAAATAATACGTTATAAAAAAATAATAGTTTATGAAAACATACCCTGCCGCTGGCATAAGATCAGATTCATCGTCGTCTCGTAAAATCTTATCAAGATTTGGTATTTTATTTCCTACATTCATGATTATAAATTACATTTATTAAACAGGCACTAAATTTTAGCACTAAACAACAACGAAAAATATAAACTTAACACATTATTACTTGTAAACTACATGACTAATAAAATTATCAATAGATGGCGTAGTGTTTTTTATTTCTGAATAAATCGACTTTAACTCGATAAGTAATGTCATAGACGATATTCCTTTATTGTTAAATGTTAAATGTAAATGAATAAACTAAAATGAATCAAAAATCATGTACAAAGTACAAATATAATTTATTTCTGTATACAAATTTATATTACATAGATATTTATGCTGTTGAACAGGCATTTATTTATAATAAAATGTTTAAAAAATTCAATAAAAATTAATTTGACTGTATAAAATTGTCACTAAAACATTGTCACCGAGGAGTACCTGAAATTTTTTTTGAATACTTTGACTTAAATGACTTGTACATTGACACGAAATATATTTTTTTAAACAACGACATTTAGGTAGAAATAAATATGTCATAGATTTACTCATATATTATAATTTATTAGAAAGAACCTGTCTGACTACAATTATATATTATAGGTGAAATTTCTGAAAACCTGCGACTTCCGATTTGTGTTAAAATTCTGAAAATGTTCTGCATAAAAATGTTTAGAAGAATTTTTAAGTAATTTAAAAGTTGAATACTAAAGTTTTGCTTTCAAAACTAATACTTCTTAGAAAATTTTGAATTTTACTTTCTAAGTTAATAAAAATCCTTCCTGTAAATAGTTTTCATCTTAAAAAAATCTGTTTTTACAATATCAGCCAGTTCAAAGCATAGAAATTTTTGGAATTACAGTCTCAATTTTTGAATCAGAACTCGGTTTTTGTGTAAAAACAAGCTATTTCTAAAATTCCAGCCAAAATTGGAGGTAATAAGTTTCCAGAAACATAAATTTTTGCTATATACATGCTGCTATATTCATCAAATTATTTTAGTTCAAAAGTATAATGTACTCCTTGTCCTGGATATTGTTTTGCCATCTGAAATAATATATTCATATGTTAATCATTCAACATAAAATTACAATATTTTACATTTATATTAAAATATAATCTTACTAAAAATTGATTTGTATCAGGCATTAAATAACAAAGTATTAAAAAAACTCCAAAAACACTCCAACCAATAAGAGTAGCTTTTCCATGCTCAATTGGTTGACGAATACCATACTCCTGGCGATCTCCTAGTAGCTCATGAAAGTCCATAGGTAACTACAAATGGAATAACATGTAATTATTATTTATAATTATAATTTAATACTATTAAATATTTACAGCTTCTCCATGATTTGTTCTTGTTGCAGGATGATCCCAAGGGTAATAAGGATCTTTAGCTTCATAACTTATCAGTGGCAAATCTGGATAATCTCCATTATAATTTCTCACTGGATCAAAAGGTTTATATTCATCAGGATGTAAACCATAGCGTGCTGCAGCTGCATTCCATTCCTCTTTTGTTTTTGGATAAAGATTTGGCAGGTATTTTATTTGACTTGGCACTGTGGAATGTAAAAAACATGAAAATATAATTGACGAATTGTTATTTTTTGAACAACTCTTACGTAAGCGTTTAACCTATCAAATTACGAAAAAAATCCTTTAGTACTTTACTTACGAAAGTCATTTCTAAAGAATTCATGAGTATTTTCCGGAACAAGTTCTTCATATGTTCTAGTAAAATTAATAAACGATTTATTTTTTACAGATAGTATTTTTGACAAATTTCTACAGTTTCTTATTGCAGCCATTTTTTACTGTACGATACATGCACATAATGTATGATTGGGGGAGGAATCAATATTACATACTATGTGTACTGCATGCTTTCATAAAAATAAACTTTTATTTAGTATCAATAAAGAAATTACACATAATAAAGAAATTTAAATACTTTAATTCATGCCAATGAGTAACAAATTTGTGTTCTGATAAAATGATGAAAAAATAAGATCTAGGGATTTTCTTTGAAATATTCTGAATATTTATAAACTTAAAAATCCAATTGAAGTACGTATGCAATATTTCACAAAGTAATAGTGAAAACGTAATTGCTGAGAAACTTTTATAGATAATTATGAAAAATTGGCATACTAATATCCTATTCTATAGTTTGTAGTTTCATTCTGTGTCTTGTGTTGGAACTAAATCTGACTATCTAATAAGAGAGAATTTGTAATAGAAAGTAAATAAGTAAGTAGAATTAAATGTTGAAATTTAAGAGGAGTAAAATAAAAGAAATACATGTAACCTCAATGGTTCGTTACAATTGAGGGAATAATGATAATCGGCAAGACAATTTATACAATTTCAACAACAATTTTCTGATACGTTACATTAAATTTATCAAAAGAAACATTTTAACTTTTTATCAAATCTACAGATATATTTATAAATCATATAATAAATGCAAGTTTTGTGGTATTTTTTTAAATTTGAAATACACAGGTGTGGCTAAAGTATTTTTTAATAGATCGCCACGATTTTCGACGCACCGATGTATTATGGGTAGTATAGTAAGAAAATGGCCGATAAAATTTGTTGATCGGTTGTGTTAAAGATAGTGTTGATTTAATCAGTGTCTTCATTGCAAATAATTGGATCTCTGACTAAAGTGAAATTTATTTAACTTTCATATGGCAAAACGAATTTTGTAATGGTATGTACAAACTCGAATATTCCTTATGTATAATAATACTTTTATTGTGAAAAACATAGAACCTTGAAATTTTACTAAAAACGAAGATGAATATCAGATTTCAAATAGATTATTTGATTATTTGGATCTATTATTATATAAATACAAACACGCACATCTACTTATGTTAGCAAAGTTTTATAATATTAGTATAAATGTACATAAGAAAGAAGAAATTTTAAAGAGTCCTTTAAAGGAGCCTAAATTAGGATATATTTGAAAAATAAATTAACATTTATATTGCAAATTTGGAATTTTATTAAACACATTATAGACTAATTTATAACACCGCTTTCACAAGACTTTCACTTGTTTGCTTTTTGCAAACTATAAAAGCTTGCGATAGATTAACCATTAAATCTTTTCATATTAATATTTAACGAACAATTATGAAATACATTTTATTTAGAAAATAAATATTTAAAAAATGTGCGAAACATATAAAATAAATTTTTCACTCGGGTCTTGTTTTATTATCAATTTTCTTGCAAAAATATGCAGTTTTTTAATTTTTTTTATGAATAAGTTCGTTTTCTATATTTTATTATGTGTATATGTTTATTATGATAACATTCTAGGAAATAACGCTGTTATTACTAATAGGAATTAATCTTATTCTATAATTATAATTACATTCGTTCTCATCCATTCCTCTATTTCACTCTTTGATCAGCCTCGCGAATAAGTTCAACCAATTTGTTCGCGATTTTCTCGTTGCACGCCCCAATTGCACGTGGTTTCATGATGTTGATCTTTTCACCTAAAATGCGTATTGCGTACGTTATTTATCCATTACACAAATAACACGAGTACAGATCAATACATCATTTCTTGACATGTATTGAATGCAAATAAAAAAAAACCATGAGATTAAAAAGAAATATAAGTATATAATAATTGACGAATGAAATTCATACGTAAAATTTTACGATGTAGAAGCAAATTTCCAGAAAAAATTATTTGTTACATATTGCATAAAATGATGCAAGTAAAATCAGTTTTCAATTATCAAATGAATAAGCTTGTACGTAATTATGATAGTGATTATTTGCCTGTTTCACGATCGACAACGACGCCACCTGCTTCGGAAATAATTAACGATGCTGCGGCGATATCCCAGGTAGAGATACCTGGCCCCTCAATATAATAAGCCTCAACAATTCCCATTGCAACGTAGCATAACGTCAATGCCGCCACGCCAAGTGTGCGAATGCTGTAAAGAGATATAAATTCTAGATAGTGAGACTGAGAGAAATAAATCTAGATAATGAGACGCGTGCAAACAGAGCGGATGGGAAAGAATTTATTTGTTTGATGGATTTTCGTACGAAACATCGTAACTTGACTAGGGACACGTGTAGTGTTTGATTCTCTTTTGTTTGAATCTAGATTTTTATGCTAGTCACGTTATAAACATAAAAATTTTTTTTTTTCAAACAATGAGCTAGATAACTGCGTTGATTGTATAACGGTCGTAACAGAGCGTGAACAATATGGCTTATTGGCGAGGATTTGTTCAGTATAAAAGTATAAAGCAAATATAAAGATACGAAATAAAAGTGAAATTCACAAAGCATAATTACGAATTAGATCTTACCCTTGAGCTTCTAGAACGATTGCTCGTATTCTTTCGATAGTTTTTTCCCTCATGTGATCCACTTTTATGAAACCGCTTTCCATGCAGATCAAAGCTTTCGACAAATCTGCAAGCACATTTTTAATATCGTAGAATTAAGATTTGAAAAATCTTCTGGCTTCTCTGCTATCGTTCTTACTTTAAAATTTGGTTCAAAACAAAAAAAAAAAAGGAAAAAATGATTTATTTTAATACGTAGGACAACAAATCTTTTGTAACAATATGTCAGCTGACTATATTGAGATTTATGAAACGAAAGAGTAGTACAACAAATCTTTTGTAACAATATATCAGCTGACTATATTGAGATTTATGAAACAAAAGCTTTAACTTACCTTGAACGTTAGAGACCTTTATAGGCTTGTTGTTTAAAAACGCTCCCCGACCTCTCCTCGCTGTGAACAATTGTTCCAGAACAGGGTTGTAAACGATGCCAATTACCATTTCTTTCTTAATCGACAAACCGATTACAACGCAAGTGTGAGGGAATCCATGAATAAAGTTGGTAGTGCCATCGATCGGATCAATGATCCACGTGGGATCGTCGGTCAGCTCTGGAAGCTCTTTTCCAGTCGATTCCTCACCGATAAATCTGGTATCAAGCCTCAACATTTTTCTCTCTCACGCGAATTTTTACACGCGATAGAAGAACTTCGAATAAATATATTTACCTATGGTTAGGAAACTTTGCTTTTAGTTGACCAATGACCACGTCCTCTATCTTTCGATCATATTCCGTTACCAAGTCCCAATTGCCTAACTTTTCGTCTACTTTCTTCGCACCGTTGATAGCTGCTTTGAGTATCTTTGAATATAATATAATATCGTGAAAATTAATAACTTTCATACGTGTAGAAAGTGCTCAGAAATTGATCTTTTCGCTTGTAAAAAATTTTGCTAAGCGGTAGAAAAAAACTTCTGGCCGGAGATTTGAAAAATGCGTCAGTTTTGTGCGTCACTTTGATTCACTGTGTTTTCCTCATTCCGTAAGCAGGGAATTCTATCTTTCCTATTGCTCATTCTTTTTCATCTATCGAGTAGCATGACTTCGCGTATTTAACACTGTCAGAAAACCATAATCGTGAATTTAAGAATAGATACAAAGATATTTTTTTTTTTTTAAGATTTTCCAAACGAATCTCTTCGGTGAAATAACGTGACATTCTAATTGATCAATGCAACGTACACCTACTTCGTAGGGTCTTGTGTAAAAGTTTCTTGTATAAAAGTTTAATAAAAATTGGTAGCCCCAAAAATTCTTTTATTTCTTAGACGATGCTTATTCATTATATTCGAATTAAACGTTTCCTTTGATAGTTCCATCTCTGAATCAATTTTCACACATGTTGTATCAAACGGTGACACTTCAACGACTAGCGATTAAATAAGAATGTGTTGCTGAATTTTTCCATGAATGGCGAAGTATTTACACCATCATTCAAAAATCTTAACGTTGCTAACCACGACTCGCGTTTCTTATTTTAAAACTTACGTATTTCTTTCATTCTCACTTCTATTCTATTTTATATCTTATATTATTCTTCTATTATATATATTATATTTTCTATTCTATTTTATATTAAATCGCGATGCATCGCTCGTTAAGATAGCAAAATACGAAAGTACGCGAAAATATGGAATACCAGCGAAAATAATTTTAGTTTAATTTAAGATGTTGAATCGCGATATCCGTTAGATAAAAAAAAAAAAAAAAGCGAATACTCGTGCATAGTTTATTTCTTAATGAAACAATATACGTGCGTTCTTACTTGCGCGGCATCGTGGGTTAACTTGATCGCGAAATCGTAGTAGACATCTTCCGCGTAGCGTGCCATCTCCTCCAGATTTTCCCGGTGAACGGTGAACACGAGATCCTTGACGTGAAAACGTATCAACAGGTACTGCGTTGGGTGCAACAGCACCGCGTACTTTTTATTCCTGTCCGGCTTAGAACGTGGTCGTTGGAAAAAAAAAAAAGAAAAAAGAAAATGATTCAAGGATGACTCGACGTGTCGATCCGTGCTTCCTTCCTCATTGCTAGAAACTATGATTTTGGAAGCATGTTTTCCTTATTGTTCGTAGATTCTTTCGAACAACGCTGCGAGATAACGACGTTTACATTGGGTTTTTCGTGTAATTAATACTTGTCTGCATTAAAAATTCGTGATGGCTCCTACTTAGAGTGACTATGCATTCGAGATCCATTCGAGATAATAAAAGCTTGAAATAGCTTTTTAATGACAATACTTATCGTCTGGCTTTTGTTAATTTACTTTTTATTAATACCTATTGTTTATTAATAATATCTTTTTTTTTTTTTGTAGCTACTCTTACGTTCTGTTTTAAAATATTGAAGCACTTTCTATTCTAGAAGCTTGAAATCTTGTGTATGTTGATTTATGGGATTGAATTAGATTGTTCCCGATTCTGAATTGCTCAGGCTAGGAACGTTCAGTGATATATAAATTTTTGTAAATTACATCGTTTGATTGGAGTGTAATTTGATAAATTGAAAAAGAATGATCTTATTATTCGAGAGTTTTTTTTTTTTTTTTTTTTTTTTTTATTCTATGCACAAGACGCGATTCATTTTACTCTATAATTTCACTCACGTTTTGTTATAAAAGACTCATACGCGAGCTCGTTATTTATGGAAATACCATGTCATTTCGTACAATAAGATTAGTATGAAAGGGCGGAGATTATTATCGAGCAATTTTACTGCAGCGACAGGCATATAAAAGTATATTATAAAAGACTGTGCCAAGGTAAATCACCGGGACTCGATTACACTTTCACACTATGATGCTGATCACGACTTTTATTTCGCAATCTTCTTTTCGCATGAAGTATAATGAAACGATTTTTAATATTCGAAGAAATCATTACACATAATTTAAACGTTGAAGTTTAGTAATCTGTTCCCTACAAGAAGATGAGCAGAAAGCAAATTAGACCCATAAGACGTAGACATCCATAAGGATTAGCTATAAAAGTAGAAAATAAGAAAGATGCAGACCCATTGTAAATCTGAAAATGAGCAAAAAGCAAGTTAGATCCATAAAACGTAGACATCCATAAGGTTTAGCTATAGAAATAAAAAATAAGAAAGACCCATTGTAAACCGGAAGTCATCCGCTTAGGCAAGAATTATATATATATAAATAAATAATAGTAATCCGTTCACATCCTTGAACGTGAACAAGTTTTTCAACGATAGAGAGATAGCACAGTGGATGTAGTAGAATTAAATATATTATCATTTATTTGTTTCGTCGCTTTTTACACGCTATCTTAATTCAAATTTGAAGTTTCAATTCATTGATAACATTCGAGTTTTAATAAAGACGTGACATCTGTTACGTTTAATAGTAGAACCAGGCAATAAGTAGAGGTATCACGCCTATTACATCCTTGGGATTTCCAGATGTTTTTAATTGTTCGACTTGTTCTACCTTTTCTTTTCAATCGTTATCTCTTTCTTGACCAAATGCAACCCATTTTTTCTTTTCAACCCGGGATTACCCACGTTAGGGTCTAGTCGCCGGGATGTACTTGCGCTAGACCCCCAGGTGGGTAATCCCGGGTTAAAGCGTATTCAGATATGTCGGTGTGTAATTTAAAACGATTTCCAAGTAATGGAGAGCCAATAAAAATAGAGAAATAGCTTCTTGTTATCGCACGTTTTTATATAATATTCATTTGACTATGAAATTTTGCAGCCATAATTTGAAAAACCTGTGAATCACTTCCTTGACCAACCTTCGGCTCTTTTTTTTTTTTCGCATGCCTATGGCTATCTGGCAAGTAATGTTCCAATCTGAACAGGATACACACGCGGAGACTTGACTTAATTGTTCTGTCTTTTTACATATTACGAATCTTATTTACATGTTATTGACGCACCTCCGCCTAACGCTAACATACTTCTAACAACTGTTAATTACACGCTATTTTCCAAGATGTTACTAATCTGGATCTCTCAAGATTCTTATCCGATGAGAATTGAAACTTTGATTGTGTGAAATAATTACAGAGACGAGTACACGTCTAATTCTAAAAAATAAGAGAGAACAAACGCTTAACATGTATCGGTCAGTTTTTGCTTCTCGATAATTTTCTATGTGTGTTGAGTTTCTATAAAATTTTCATTAACGTTTGATTCGATTATTTTTAGATCACATCACCCCATTTTATTTTCATTTATATTAAATTTAATTAAACTATTCTTGGTTCTGAATTTTCGCTTCAGCTTTTAACGCTGTTCTTAACGTTCCTCTTCTCAATCATTTATCTCCTGTCTCTTGGCAACTTGCAGTTGATGTTACTTCAGTTCGCAGTATTTTAACAACAGTTTCTTAACACGTATACGCATTGCACTTTCCTGCGCACAGATCTGTTTTAGGAAAAATGTCCTTTCAGTTAGGAAAAAAAAGAGGTAGATGATTGAGCAGAATTATTAAAAATATAACGATACTCAATATATAAAACACGTGTAATAATAATCGAGTTGATTCTTCTGTGTCTAAAACTTGATCACGTCTTGGTCAATCTCTTTCTCATTGTTTTTAGATCCGTATCAACGATCAGTTGCTTTATTTCCATTGCTAGCGTCTCATTTGCTGCAGCAATTGTCCTTGGTTTCATCACGTTGTATTCGTCCTCTGTAACAAAATTGTAACGCTCTGTTACTCATACTATTAACAAAAATTCAAAAGATATCTTCACTTCGTTATTCGTTAGAAATATTAAACAACACTGCGTGTATCCAACTAATGCACCTTTAGTATCAATTACTGTGCCACCTGCTTCACGAACAATCAACACTCCTGCCGCTACGTCCCAAGATTGAAGAGGATCCATCTGAAAGCAATCCACCGCGCCTCTTGCCACATAAGCCAGGCCCATCGCAGCTGATCCCAAAAATCTAATTCTAAACGACCGGTCATTTAAAATAAATTCTAACCGTTGCTTAATGATTTATCGATCCGTTGACTCCGGATTCAAATCAGGACACTCACCCTCGTGTAATATTGACATAAGCTTCAAATCTTCCTAATCTGATATCCCGGTTTCTTGAACGGTTGCGAAGAGAGAACAACTCGACCTCTATTACAGATTTCTTCAGCTCTGTAAAAAACTAGCATTAAAACTAGAAGTTATTTTCTTCATATATATGAATATGTACATTCACTCGTATATTCGCTCATATGAATAGTAGTTACTACCATCCAAGTTAGTAATTATATCTATTGCCATACAAAAAGAAAAAAAAAACGAGAAACTGCTCTTATAGATGGGGAAATCTTTTTTTATACTATTACCAGTATTGCACGTGGTTTTAATAGGCTTGTCGTTCAGAAACGCGCCTTGTCCCTTAATCGCCGTGTACAATTCTGAAACGATTGGATTGTAAATAATTCCTATTACGAGTTCCTTGCAAATTGCTAGAGCCACGGAAATACAGGTATTTGGATTCCCATTTATATAATTTATAGTCCCATCTATGGGATCTATGATCCATGTAGGTTTGTCTGTTAACACTGGTGTTTCTTTAGTGTCAGCCACAGTTTCCTCTCCGATGAATCTGTTTTGAAACATATTTTTTCTCGTTAAAACATATTTATCCTAGCAATTTCGTTACGTTCGCAAATGATTACAATCGATTTAATGTTTGATTGATTGATTGGTATTGTTTACTCACTCATGGTCTGGAAATTTTTCTCTTAAACCTTCTATCAGTACAGCTTCGATTTTTTTATCATATTCGGTGACAAGGTCCCAGTCGTAGTCCTTAGTTTCTACGATTTTGTCTCCTTCGAAACCGCATTTAAATATCTAGAAAGAAAATTAAAAAGAAAAAAACAGATAAAAACAGATAAAAATTATCTGATAAGTGACGATAAGTAAAGACAAACACAGTAAACCAGCCTACTATGTTTCATTTTGTATTCAAGCTGATTGATATTTATACCGATATTATTACTGATATTGTATTCCTCGAAAAAATTCGTTTTCTTCTCGTTTAAAAAAATCGATGGCTCGTTTAGGATTGATCTGAACAATTTTGCTCTCTCCTTCCTTTCTATTTCTTTTCGATATAAATCAAACGGGTAAAAATTTTAACACACAATAGACTCGGATACTGATAGGAAAAAATTGCACTTGACGAGCCAACTGTTTTTCAAATAATTGAAACACTTAATCGGTAGGTCGATACTTTTTGAGAATTTCTATTTCAAAGAGAACGTTAATAACGATATTCGATTATTTCGATAAGAATTTCACCGAAAAGAAGAAAGAATTGCGACTTCACTCACCTCGCCTGCCTTTAAGGTTAAGCCCTTGGCGCACTCAAAGTAACTTCTTATGTCCAACTCGCTCGACATCGTCACCGATTCTGAAGCTTTCCACAAAACGACTGAACGTACGGAACGCTCGGGCCGCATATCTGGTTCCCCTTATCATTATCCCCTTATTAACATCAGATATACAGAATCAGACAAAAGGCATAAATATTCGAGAGAAGCCTGCTTGTCCGAAGTACTACCTGTGTACATTTGAAGTTTGCAGTTCAATCGCGATCCCCACTTTTACTTTATTCGCTCGATCGCGACGGAAAATTCGGTAGATGCCGGCGTACAAAAATGTATCGTCACGTTCCTATTTTCTACGTTTCCCTGGCGGCATTCAATTTTGTTTTTGCACGATTGGTCATTCACGTAATTACTCATGCTTTTAGATGCACGTAACGGCGACATAATCGTTGTAAGCGACAACCGATAACGTATCCGCTTGCAGCGAATGTTACTGCTAATTTTAAAAATTGTTACGATTAGCAATATTGCAATACGAAGGCTGTCAATTAGTATTATTTAATATCGTTATATTGTATTTAGTATTCCAGTCGAACATCTCGCGCGTGATCGCACGCAATAATTTAAATCAAATTTTTGTCGAATTACAAATCACAAGATCTTGGTCTTCAGCCTTTGTATCCCGATGTTCTTCCGCTTTTTTGAGTTACCTAATTGTCTAAATAATACAGGAAATAACTACTTTCTGTTTCTTTTCTTTTTTTTTTTTTTTTTTTAAGTCAGACTGGATCTGGACAAAGTGTAGACATTGGACCTCGAAGTCTACCTAGCGTTAGACGTAGAAATGAGCTCTTTGCAAAGAGTGATTGAGACCATGGAAGAGAAAGGACTTCAAGAAGATCCACGGTATTTTCAATTACTTGCTTTAAGGGCTCGGCAAAGGAACAACATGGAAGAAAAACAAGCCTTCACTATACAACAATTACATCAATTGCGGTATGTTACATAAAATGCTACATATATATTATTTAATATTACTAATAATGTAATATAATATGATAATAATATATATTATATTAATTGTATTAATCTACATTTTTTACAGGTTACAAGTAATGGCATATCGATTATTGGCAAGAAATCGACCATTATCGCAACAGCTTATGCTTGCCATTCAAGGCAAGTTAAATTAAATAGAACGTGCTATTGGTTTTGCATTTTAAATGACTACTTGACTTTTTGTATTGTTTCATGCATGAAACCAACCAACTTTTACACATATAACCATAACTGCGATTCAATTCAATCAATTAATGTACTTACTTAACGCTTTAATTCAACGATTTCGTTTTCTTTTTTCCCATCGAGAGTACTTATATCGTGAAAATGTAAAAATAGGATAACAAGAGTTCGATGTAAAGTATAATATAAATAAATAGCTGAAACATTTTCTCCTCCAGGTAAAAGGCAACATGCTCCTGTGAATTCATCTCAAGGACCTGCTACAGCCTCAAATTTAATTGGTCCTACAATCTCTTCAAAAACAAGTTGCCAAACATGCCCTCAAACAGGTATCAAAAGTAACAAAGTGACATACGTGAAAAAACCACCTGGTTTAGATCCGCTGCTCATTTTACAAGAACGTGAAAACAGAGTTGCAACGCGCATAGCGTTACGCATGGAACAATTGAACAGCTTGCCGACTAATATGCCGGAAGATCTTCGTACCCAGGTTCAAATTGAACTACGAATGCTCAGGGTATTAAATTTGCAAAGGCAACTACGATCAGAGGTCCTGGCTTCTACTAGAAAGGACACTACTTTAGAAAGTGCAGTAGACATAAAGGACTACAGACGTACGAAAAAGCAGGGTCTTCGAGAAGCTAGAGCTACCGAGAAGCTTGAAAGACAACGGAGATTAGAAATTGAACGTAAACGCAAACAGACACATCAAGTAATTAAATTTCTAATTCTTTACTTGGGATATTACTATTAGATAATAACGCGGGATATTACTAAATATATTACCAATAATATAATTATTAATATAATTATTTGCGTAATTTTTGTCAATATTCTTTTTAATAGGAATTAATTAATTCTATACTTCAACATGGTAAAGATTTCAAGGAACATTATCGGAATAATATGATGAAGTTATCCAGACTCAATAAAGCTGTGCTCGCTTACCATGTAAATGCTGAAAGAGAACAGAAAAAAGAGCAAGAGCGTATCGAGAAAGAACGTATGAGACGTCTGATGGCGGAAGATGAGGAAGGTTACAGAAAATTGATTGACCGAAAGAAAGACAAACGATTAGCATTCCTGTTGTCACAAACAGATGAATATATCGGCAATCTAACTGAGATGGTAAAGCAACATAAAATAGAACAAAAAAGAAAGCAGGTGGAGGAATATAAGCTTAAGAAGGTGCATACTTTTTTTTGTAATTGTCATTAATCGTTATTATCATTGTCATTAATATAATAGTACGTAGAGTATAATAAATATTGTATTGTTATCGAAATAGAAAATAGAAAAACAACAAGATAACAAAGGAGATGAAAATACTCGTGTTGGAGTGATTGAAATAGCTACTGGTCGCACATTAACTGGTGAAGAAGCTCCAATAATGAGTCAACTTTCAGCATTTTTAGAATTCCATCCAGGATGGGAACCGATCGAATCAGAAAGTGAAGAGGAAGATGAAGAAAAAGTTAAAGAAACAATACAGAAAGCCAAAGTAGAGGATGACGAATACAAAACCGAAGAACATACATATTACAATATTGCACACACTGTTCATGAAGTAATAACGGAACAGGCATCTATTATGGTTAATGGAAAATTGAAAGAATATCAAATAAAGGTTTGATATTGACATGTCTTACATTTAAAACTATTTTTGCAACATATATTCTAAAACTTCTAATTTTAGGGCTTAGAATGGCTAGTTTCATTATTTAACAATAATCTGAACGGTATACTTGCGGATGAAATGGGTCTTGGTAAAACTATACAAACAATAGCTTTAGTGACTTATCTCATGGAGAAGAAAAAAGTTAACGGGCCATTTCTTATAATCGTTCCTTTATCGTACGCATTACTTTTATTAAATATCCTAAAATATACAAAAGATTATTTTAATTTTTTTTTTTTTTTTAGAACGTTATCAAATTGGATGCTAGAATTTGAGAAGTGGGCTCCCAGTGTTGTAGTTGTATCATATAAAGGCTCACCAAGTAACAGAAAAACCATTCAGTCTCAAATGAGAGCTGCTAGATTCAATGTTTTACTTACTACATACGAGTATATTATTAAAGACAAGGCAATTTTAGCAAGATTACAATGGAAATACATGATTATAGATGAGGGACATAGAATGAAAAACCATCATTGCAAGCTAACTCAAGTGCTAAATACCCATTATTTAGCTTCTTATCGACTCTTACTGACAGGAACTCCATTACAAAATAAATTGCCTGAATTGTGGGCATTATTAAATTTCTTGCTTCCTTCGATCTTCAAATCTTGCAATACTTTTGAACAGTGGTTCAATGCTCCGTTCGCGATTACTGGCGAGAAAGTTGAACTAAATGAAGAAGAAACTATTCTCATTATTCGTCGATTACACAAAGTATTACGTCCTTTCTTATTAAGACGTTTAAAGAAAGAAGTCGAATCACAGTTACCTGATAAAATAGAATATATCATCAAGTGTGAAATGTCTGGACTGCAAAAGGTTCTCTATAAACATATGCAAAGCAAAGGTGTGTTGTTAACTGATGGTTCAGAAAAAGGGAAACAAGGTAAAGGAGGTGCAAAAACTCTGATGAATACTATCGTACAGTTGAGGAAATTGTGTAATCACCCATTCATGTTCCAAGCTATCGAAGAAAAATATTGCGAGCATGTAGGTACGCAGGGATCTGGTATTATTACTGGCCCTGACTTGTATCGCGTATCTGGGAAATTCGAATTGTTAGATCGCATTCTTCCAAAATTAAAAGTGACAAATCACAGAGTATTATTATTCTGTCAAATGACACAGTTAATGACAATTATGGAAGATTATTTAAATTGGAAGGAATATAAATATTTACGATTAGATGGCGCTACGAAAGCTGAGGACAGGGAAAATTTGCTGAAGAAATTCAATGATCCTGGTTCTAATTACTTTTTGTTTCTGTTATCAACGCGTGCCGGTGGCCTTGGGTTAAATTTACAAGCCGCAGACACCGTTATTATTTTTGATTCCGATTGGAATCCACATCAGGACTTGCAAGCGCAAGACAGAGCACACAGAATTGGTCAAAAAAATGAAGTACGTGTACTCAGGTTGATGACAGTTAATTCAGTCGAAGAAAGAATATTAGCTGCAGCTAAGTATAAATTAAACATGGATGAAAAGGTTATACAAGCAGGAATGTTCGATCAGAAGTCCACTGGTTCTGAACGGCAACGATTTTTACAAAGCATTCTGCATCAAGATGATGCTGAAGATGAAGAAGAGAATGAAGTGCCGGATGATGAAATGGTTAATCAGATGATCGCACGGACGGAGGGTGAATTTGAAATATTCCAGAAATTAGATTTAGAACGAAAACAGGAAGAAGCGAAGCAAGGTCTAAACAGAAAATCTCGTTTATTAGATGAAACTGAGTTGCCCGATTGGCTCGTAAAAAATGATGACGAAATTGAAAATTGGACGTACGAAAAAGATGAAGATACATCCCTTGCGCGGAGCTCGAGACGAAAAGAAGTTGATTATACTGATCGTTTAACTGAGCAAGAATGGCTCAAATCAATCTACGAAGATACTATTGAATATGGAGATGATGATGATAACGATGATAACAGTAATGATAAAAAGAAAACACAGAAACAAAAGAATAAGAGCAAACAAAGCAACCTTTCTCCGTCAAAAAAACAAAAAAGGAGCGCAGTTAATCAAAAAACGAAACAAGTTTTAAAAAAATTGCTCATGGTAGTTGTTAATTATGCTGATAGCACAGGCAGGGTTCTTAGCAAACCATTTATGAAATTACCATCCAGAAAAGAACTACCAGATTATTATGAAATTATTAAAAAGCCGTTAACTATCAATAAATTGCTTCAAAATATCGAGAGAGGGAAGGTAAATATAAATTATTTTTTAAAATAACCAAAAAATCATTCTTTAAATTACTTTTTATTCTGTAATTATAGTGTTTATTTATTTTTTATAATTAACAAAGTTTATTCTATATTTATTGTCATAGTATGCCGATTTTGACAAACTCGAGAAAGACTTCATGCAACTCTGCAAAAATGCACAAATTTATAATGAGGAAGCTTCTCTTATATATGAAGATTCCGTTGTTCTGCAATCTGTTTTTATGAATGCACGTCCATATATCGAAAATGAAGATAGTAATTCTGATACAGATGATTAAGGTACTTCGTATTATTTTTAATTTAATAAAACAAAATGAAACAATACGAGTAAAACGATTCTATATGCATGAAATTTTTATAAAATGATAGTAAAGAAGGTCATGGACAGTATTAGAATAAAAATTAAATTGATAAACAGGAAAGAGCGGAGCTGAAGGAAGCCGAAGAAGAAAAAAATTGTATCAAATGAGGATGACGTCGATAATAACTGAAGATTATAATGTACAGTATGTAAAATTTAGTTCTAATTAATACCAATATACTGTACCTTGAAGTAGAATATAGATATGTATTATTTTATTTTTTTATATTGAAATATAAATTACCATCTTTAAAATACTTATATGTACAAAAACTGAGTTGTATATAGATAGACTATAATATTTCGCTAGTTATTGTTCTATTAATGAGAGAATAAGAGAATTACGCATGTTGTGGCAGAATTTATTTTGTATGCATTGTAAATAAATAAATATTGGATAATTCAAAGAAGGTGATTCACAAAATTTATCTTATCAAACTTTCTACGAGGAATTAAATCAATAAACAAAATCTCAAGACTATATATTAGGAAAAATTTATTGTTATGTACATTATTCAATTCTGCCAAAGTCGCAAAATTTTATCTTTTCCACCCGAAGCAACACGTAACCCGTCCGGAGACCAATCCACTGCATAAATTTCATCTGCATGACCTGGTAAGTCCTGACAAAGTTTCTTCGTTTTTAAACTCCATACTAAAATAAAAATATAAAACGATTTTATTAAAACATTGAAATTCAAATTAATGTATTAGAATTAATTTGCTTACGTTTTAAAGTAGAATCTGCGCTACTACTGACAAGTAAACGAGAATCTGCACTCCATGAGATTGAGTACACAGCTTGCACATGACCTCGTAATGAAGTTATGTACTTTCCTGTCCTTGATTCCCACAATTTTATAGACTTGTCAAATGAAGCAGATGCAATTACGCGACCATCTGGTGAGAACTTCACATCATTAATTAATTGTTGATGTCCTGTCATTCTTGCTGAAATGAAAAATATTGTCATAATGAAAAATTAGTATTGTCATAATGCTCATTGTATTTATATAGCAATGAATAATACCGATAAATTTCTTTTCTTTTTCTGGTCTCCAGAGAAACAATGTAAAATCATCAGAACCAGACACAAGTATTTCTTCACCTACAGATTCATAACGCTTTTTTGCATATTCCACGCGATTTTCAATTGTTTCTTGGTCTTTTCCAAGATTAAAAGGGCCAGTTCTAAGTACATAATCCACATTCAATGCTAAAGTGTTCACCCAATGTGCATGACCTTCTAAAGTCCTGCACAAAATCCCCTAAATATATTCAGCCAATGTTAATGATGGTAATTTTATAATGTGATACAATATATTTTTATAAAATTTACATCATCGGCTCTCCACACTTTGATAGTTCTATCTTGCGATGCAGAATAAATGAGGCCACATCCACCCCACTTAACGCATGTCACACTTCTTGTATGACCAGAGAGAGTACGAACAGTTTGTGACCGTACTGTGTCCCATATCCTTAAATCATTATCTTTCGAAGCACTAACTAAATACTGACATTCAGGATTCTTATGATATGGTTCCCAACATAAAGAAGTAACCCACATTTTGTGCCCTAGCATTGCTTTTCCTAAAAATTTATAAGTACAATATTAATTGTATTACTGATTTAGAGTTTCATTAGAAATACATTTCTAATATCACCCACCTATTTGTTTTCCTGTTTTTGGATTCCATAATAAAATTGTACCATTTTTGCATGCAGATGCAAGTTTAGTTCCACATGGGGACCATGATATACATAATACCCAATGTTTATGACCTTCGCATGTATACTGTGGAGTTTGTGTATATATATCCCAAAATCTAACCGTTGTATCTCCAGAACCACTAGCTAAACATGTTCCAGCTGGTGAAAAGGCAACTGATATTACAGCCTCTTTGTGACCTAAATACAATAAATGCTTTCATTTCATATAATCTAAAGTTATACAAAGTTCTGTTTTTTTATACAATAAGATATAAACCTTCCAATGATCCAGTACATCGAGTAACTGCCCTAACTTTAAAAATTGCTTGCGGCTGATATATAATTTCAACTACATCTTCGCTAGTGCTAAAATTTTCTTTAATATTGTTTTCCAAACTATCTGTGATCTCAATATCATTCACATAAAAGGCAAAAGGTATTGGTTCCTCGTTCTGTAGAAGTGCGTTACAAATTTCTTGTAACTTATCGACAGTAATATTTATAGGCAAGTCTAGCAAACCTCCTGGCAATATATCACCCTTATCTGATTTCAAACGTGATAAAATTCGTTGAACACTTGAAGAATTTTCAGTGTTTTGCTTGCTATCATTCCCTTCCTCGAACTTTCGTTTATTCATGTTTAATCAAACAATTGCAAAATACTTTCCAAACGATCTGAAAAATTTTATACAATACGTGCTTATGAAAATGTGCTTCTTAAAGATATTTTTTATTATGATAAATTAAATACCTTATACACAGTTGTCACATTTAATTTTCATTATAGAAATCAAAAATACCTTAATTACATCACATACTGCCGAGAAATATGTTTCAGAATAATGAGATAGAACGCAAGAAATTTATTTGAAAATAGTCAATTTATATACAACAAAATTGTTCGTGCACGTGGTTGTATTTAACTTAAACTGTCAATGTTTATAACCTATGCTCTTTATAACCTATAGATGTAATTGATCAAATTTTAATAAGTTGAAAAAAAATTGATCAAATTTTAATAAATTCAATATCTTTACTTGTTTAGTAAGTTATTTAAATCAATGAACTCTTTTTTCAAGTGCATATATTTTCTCGAAATATAATAATTACTAACTACGCGAACAAAACTAGTTATCAAAGTAAAATAATCTACATCTAAAACTCTATCCCAAACCAGTCGGCTAACAAGGCAGGATTTCGGTTAATTAACAAGACATCACTGTAACTATTTCTATATTCATGTGACTTCGTACATATTTATATAATTTTTCAGTATTAAGAAGCATTTTCCTTTACAGAGAGGTACAATTTTTATAATAACAATGACAATAATCAAATTAATCATCTGTAATAGCTCGGAAATATATTTCCAAAGAATTTCTCTTAGTAACATTAAAGCCGCTTTCTCAACTACCATCTATAAATGGGATTCGTGGAGTTAAGAAAAAAAAAAAGAAAAAAAAAAAGAGATAAAATTATGCTTCTCACTTAACTGCTATTCATGGGTATAAAAACACGTTGACAACATGACAATTTAGGTGATAAGATGGCGAGCTAGTTTGTGTTGATGGTTACTTGAAGATTATTTTTAAACTGAGTGTAGGAAAGCTCTTTTTAGTTTAATTTAATAAGCCGGCAATTCGTTCATGTCCCTCTGATTTTCTCATCAACGTGCCATGAACCCATTTGATCCAACAATCGAATTTAGCCGAAAGATCTTCGACAATGACCGTAATTGTACAGCTATTGACACGGCTACCGGAGAATTGTGCGGCGAAACTGAAACCATGAAGATTATCGACGAGTTTCAGAAATTGTACGAAGCTCGCATTGAAAATGTTGACCAAGAGTTCGAAAGTGAATTTGACAAAGTTTCTGTAAGCCATTTTATCATGTGAAAAGTGATGTTAATTTTATTTGTATTTTAACAGAAAAATTGCAAAATTTGACATACAATTATTAATACTAAAAATTTTAACTTTTGTTGATTTGCAGATGAAGCTAGAAATATCAAAGGAATGGATTAAAAATTTGAAAGAACAAAATGTTATGCTGGTGCAAGTGGTAGAGGATTTGGAGCAAGCCGCTTGCAATAGAGTTAAATTATTGGAGGAGAGATTAAAACATTCGTCAGTACTAGTCTCTGGAAATATATCAAAATCAATGAATACAGAAAAGGTATGACCTTCAAAATTTTTCCTTTGGAATTAATAGAGCAAGAGAATATATATTTATATGGAATAAATTATCATTAGACTATAAATACACTTTCAAATCGTGTAAGTGACTTGGAGAAAGATGAAAAATGCATGCAACAAAAAATAGAATTTCTCCAAAGTGATATCAGAGGATTATTAGAATTAATACGACGTGCAGTAGAAGAAAATCATTGGAATTTGGACGATATAAAATTCTTTGAGATTCAACCTAGTGACATACCTGTCCCCACTGCTAAGTAAGTTTTCTCAATTAATTATCTTAAACACAAATCAGGTAATATAATTTCTTTTATAATTTTATAATTTTACAGCTGTACCTGCAATGAGGTAAATATAAATCTAGATGCTGCTAAGAGATTCAAACTTAGAATACAAATTAGTCATGATTTCATGAATAAATCAGACTATCCATTAGATGGAAGTATTTGTATGATACAGTCTTCCCATCCAACAACTAATTAAATTTTTTTGTTAAATGTATATATACATACAGATAGATAGATAGATAGATATATATATATATATAACTGGTATATGTTGCTTATTTTAGATTTTAATTTCCTACACTCTTTTTAATAAATTCTTTGTCAAATATACTATATAATTTTTATGCAAAATAAATGGTGGGTATGTAACATAATTATGTATAAATTGTCATTTTTCTTATATATAAATTTTTTACAACATATACGAATAATGAAAGTTCGAAATTAACATTGTGATTTTAAAATTAGGAAGATATAAGTCAAAGAAAGGTGCAGACCTTAAAATCGCAAATCAAACATCTTCAAGAAAATGAAAAAAAAATGATTATGTAAGTGAAAATGAAGAATAAATTTAAATAACAAATATTCTTTAATATATTATACATACTGTTAATAATAAATTTCCTATTTTTTAGGCACCAAAAAGAGTTAGAAGATAAATTAATTGATCTTAATGCAAAATTACAAACCAAAGAAGATACTGTTAAAGCATGTGTTTCTCAGTTCCAAATTCTTAGTGATAATCTTAGAAAACGCGTAAAATTTACTGATCAAGTTGCATGCAGTTCATTTATAACAAACGATCAAGAAACTATTGACGTAAGTTAAAACTTTAAATAATCCAAGTTAAAATTTTAATAATCTAAAATAAGTCAACATTTATTCTTTTGAATAAAAATTTTAAGAATATATGAATTTTAAGTATATACTTTTGCATAATTATATGTCTGATAAAATAAAGTAACTGAAAATTGCAAATGTTAAATAACAAGGCAATCATCTTGAAGTATAAAATACTTTCAAACGTACGAAATTCTCTAAATTATAGTGGTAAATTATCTTTAAAATTTTGTTGCTATTCAGATTATGTTAATGGCTGATGTTGTGGAAAATTTATTCATTGAAAAAGATCTAGAAACAAAAAATTTGCAGGAACGGTTGCGTGACGCGGAATCTAATTTAGCAATAGTAACTCGCAACAGCGATATAAATTTGAATAATTTAAAAATTCAATTGAGTGAAAAATACAAGAGAATTCAAGAAATAGAGCAGCAGATGATAAATCTTCAAAAAGTTTGTGCTATTTGCTCAAATATATATTTCATTTTTCAATAGTGATTTATTTATAATTCTATTTGTATTAACTGTTAGGAATCAATAGAGAAGCAAAATTTCCTAACAGCAGAAATGACAGAAAAAAATGAAATAGTAATGTCTTTGCAAAAACAAGTAACTACGTTGCAAGAGCAATGTCGTTCTGCAAACATGCAAATTCATTTCAAAGAAAGCATCATTAAAGAAATGCGAAGAGAATTAAAACAAGCAATAGCTAAGGTATAAATAGCAATTCGTGGATTTATGCATAATTAATAGCAATGTTTCTTTATTTTCAGTTTCTATATTCTAACGTTTTTCCTTATACTTACAATCGTTATGATAAAGTTACTATTGACAATCAAGACATGGAACTTTTTTGTAAATTATGTGAGAAAATTATGATACCAAAAGTAATGTGTACATCTGCAAAGTATAATAATAATAATTCATTTTTGCAAACATACATTGAAAATATATTAAATCATAATAAACTAACAAAAGGTGTATCTAGAATAAAAACGAAGCACAGTAATTTAACAACTAAAACAATAAATTGTCATAAAAATACTAAGTTTGATAAAGTTGACATTTATAAAAATTTTCATGATATTGACAAAAAAATTTTGAAATATAGCCAAAGATTATTACCTGTTGATATACACAAACAATTTTCGAACAAAAAAGATACTCCCATTTTTGAAAAATCTGAAAATTAATATATTAATGTATAATAATTGAAATATTAAATCATTTGTTATATATAAAATATATGTTATATGTAAATTTGGATTTCTTAATATTACATTTCAATATGATTGCCTTTTAATTTTGTGAAAGTAATGTATATGATCTGTCTTCTAATATTTATATCAAACTAATCAATATTTCACTTGCATTTAATATATTTTTTGTTTCTATTTTTCTTCATACTCTTTTTGTAGGATGTTAAGAAATCAAGGAATTCTACAAATCAACAGGTAAAAAAAAACATATATATATATATACACATATATAATATTGTTAAAAGTTTAATGTTTGAAGAGATTTAGTATTGTTAGATATCATTTTAAATAGATTTCAATTTTCAGAATCAAGTCTTATCATATTTGAATAAAGTAAAATCATTGATGGAACAGGAAAAAGAACATCTTTTTAAGCTAAAAATAGAATTGGAGAAAACTGTAGAAAATTTGTGCTGTGAGGAAGATAAAGTTGGTAACACATACATATACACTTTTACATCAACAAAATATTGAATAGAATAATGTATAATTTTCCGAATAAGTAATACAAAAAAAAAAGAATCTGGATAAAAATCTTATGAATAAACATTTTTCAGTTGTTTCTAATATCGCGAAGAAATCGTAAGAAGAGTAATTGAATTTAATAAGGAATTCCAGTATTTATAAAAAGCAGTCAATTTTGATAGCATTCGTATATAATATATTTTTTCAATTGTAATAAAATCTAGAGAAATAAAAATTTTATATTATTAGCGCATGTATTTTTATGATTGAAAAATGTTTATTGATATTAATATTACTTTGAAACAATTATGGTAATAAACAATATTTTCAAACTTATCATAAAAATAATTATTTATGAAACAACAGTTTTGAGTTACGTTATTAAAAATATTTAATATTTTTAATACAATAGATGCACGAAACGAGTGACTGTAATGTGGATAACATAAAGCATAAATTAACTAAGAATATTGAATATGTGAACAAAATATATTTAAGAAAGGAAGAATCAATTGAAATGATAAATTCTTTAGTATGTATAATTTTTTAAATTATTTGCATAAAAACAATTTTATATATTTCAACATTATTTATAATATTTTATTTCTCTAGTTTCAAATGGAAAACAATCATCTTTTTCATGTAGAAAATTTTAATTCCTTAGTAAGTATTATAGGTGATATTTATATCATATAATAAATGTTTTTTAATAAATAATAATATGAATTATAAACTTAACAAATAAAAATTAATAATGTATTTTAGCCGAACACAGACATTAATCAATGGAAATTAATAGATGTATTCAGAGCATGTACTGTTGAAGCACAACTTACTATGGAAGATATGAAAGAAGAAATAAATATAATTGTTTCTTCATTTAAATGTAGACATCAAAAGGTAAACTATACGTTAGTTACATATTATTAGCAGTTTTATATTATTTTAATGACACAATCTTTACAGTATGTTGATTTGAACAAAGAAGTTATGAATGTCCAAAATCAGTTAATAAAAAGTCAAGGGATAATAGCAGAAGTAATTAATAAATTGCAATTACAAGTAAGAATTGCTAAATTAATTTTAAATTCAATGATAATTAATGTTATTACTTTACAATGAAAAAGAATTCTCCCTTTATTATAGGAAGAAGAAAGAATGAGACATAATGATAGAATTATTTCAGGGAAGAACAGATTAAAAGATATAAAAAATGAAATAAATCTTATGCAATTTCAATCATCAATTCATATAAATGAAATGCAAACAAATGTATGGAATAAATTAAATTTTTCTATTTTTTAAGTTTAATATTCAAATAAACGAAATTAAGTTTAATATTCAAATTTTAGGAAAATGTATCCAATTATGGAGAAAATGTATCTAATTATGATCTATTATGTTCAGCAATTGAAGAAATAGAACAAACATCGTCTAGCCTGCAAATATTTCAAGTTCAAGTAAAGTTTTGAAACTTTTTAACATATAAAATGGTATTAAAATATTAATAACAAATAAATAATATTTGAATTATTAAAGGGATGTTGCATAATAAAAGATCTTGAAAAATTGAAGACCCAACTTTGTGAAGTAGATTCATTCACCAGAAAATTACAAGAGAAAATAGATGAAGCAGTTGTGTATTTATTACTACAATTTAATTAATTATTTGTTAATTACAGACTTATTAAATTTATTATTTAATTCAAGCTTTATTATTTGTAGTTGATAGAACATGACATAGTAGACACAACACTTTCTCAAAAAGAACAAAAATTACAAAAGTTAGAAGAAGAAGTTGATGTGATTTACTTGAAAGTACAGAATGTGTTGGAAACTTTTTTTTCTCCAAAAGAACTTGTATGTATCTATATATTTCTAATTTATACTACAATTACGATAATGTTTTATTCTAATATTATTTCAATTTTGTAATAGGTATCTGATTGTAATATCATGGAGACTCAATTATATACACAAGTAATATTTCATCTTACTTAAATATTTGATTGTCAAACTTTTTTGTGACTATTTTAATATAAAAATGTTCTCATTTTAGATTTTAAACGAAATACTGCAAACTAAACAAGCTGTATATAAATTGAGAAAAGAACATGATGAATTAAAGTATAAATTATCGCAAGTAAGAAATTTATTAAAATTGTTTTACTTATTTTAATTATTTTATATTAAATTATAAATAAATCTACTTATTTTGTTTTACAGTCACCACTTCATCCAGAGTGCGATAAGAAAACGTGCTTATGGAAATGTAGAGTAACTGACTTACAAGATCAAGTTAAAATACTGCAACATGAGGTATTTAATGTCTAATTATCTTAATATAGTATGATAGAGTGGTAAATATAGTATGATAATATATTGATTGTTGTTTTAATAAATTATGATTGTTGATATTTGCCTTTCATAGGCAAAATGCAATGAGGAAGCAAACAATTTTTTAAGAAATAACATTCAATCAATAGAAGAGGAACTGCATATAACACAAGCGAAAGCAGATAATTATAGACGATCTCATTCTGTAGAAAATATGACGTTAAAGAGAAAAATTATAGAATTAGAAAATACTGTAAGTATATATTACATTATATATTATGATCAATTATTTAATATAATTAATTTTAGCTTAAATTACAAAAAGAAATTGAATGTACTCTTCAACGACAATTGAATGATAGCGAAGTTGAATTAAAAAAATCTAAAGAATTATTAAATTCTTCTGTAAGTTAATTTTTTATAAAAATTATTTTATTATATTTACATTTTTTTACACTATTAACAAGAAGTATTTCTAATTCTTTGTTACATTACACATAAGCACGATGAATATAATATGGAAGAAACTTTATTACGATATGGTTGTTATCAATTCAGACATGATACAATGGTAAATGTTATTTATTACTCATAAGTATAATTAAGAATAATAAGAATTCGTTAAATTAAGATTAATAAATTAATTTATATTTATAGACTGCACCACAATTATTTAAAAAGCTGCAAACCGCCATAAAATCTACAAAAACTGGTCTTCAGGAATTTAAAGCAGAATTCAAAAGATTGGTTTGTTCCATTATTTTATATATTACGATATATATCAAAATATTTAATATTGTTTACAATATCTTTTTATAGATTTGTGAAGATTCAGTTAATAGTTGTTCTTCTGCAAAATCATTAATGAATTTACTAGAAAAATTACAAAAGTATGAAAATGAATTAGATAATTGTTTTCAAGAAATTGAAGAACTTAAAAATACATTATATTCTAAAGACAAACTAGTAAGTATTATTTATTCCTGTATTTGTAAATAAAATTATTGACTTTTTACTAATCGTTATTTTGAATGTGGTTATATTTACAGATAGAAAATATGGATGAAATCATTAAAATTCAAAAGGATTCTATTGTAATAATGCAAGCTGAATTAAAAGAACTTCACCAAAAGGTATGTTAACATTCAAATACATTTGAAAAAAGATAATCATTTTGTAATATTCAATAAGGATAACTCATATATTGGAAGAAACAGATTTATAATTATTATATAATATTATAGTATTTATAATAATCTAATGACAAAAGTATATTTAAATTATCTATTTAATTATTAATATAATAAATAAGTTTTCTGTAGTAGTTTTTTATAATTTAAATAGTTTTATATATCATTTACATTAAATTTACATTTAATATAATACTGATATATATATGTATATATATATTATTTGCATGAATTGTTTTATTAGAAATGTGATAATTAAACAAAACTATCAAGATTTATTATCAAAGGTATGTTATAAATATCAACATTTTCATACAATATGTAATGTATATATTTCTAGATTGATAATCAAGATCAAGTAATCTCTCAGTATGAAAAGGAAAAGAAAGAATTATTACGACAGGTTTGTATTAATTCTATATTATTATACATCATAGAAGAAATGTTTATTTATTGATTTTGCTTTAATTTATATAAAAATTGTTTTTCAATTAATTGAAAGATATTTCATTTTTAGAATGAACTTCAAGTTCAAACTATCGGTCATTTACAAAATGCTGTAGTAGAAGCAAAAAAATATATAGATCAAATGGGACATAAAACAGTGAGTGATATAAGTGAACAGTGGTCTACAATTTCGCCTGCAGTATACAGTCAAAGAAATGTGCATGATGTTTAATATTAACTTATAATAGTGAAATATGTGCAATAACATGTAGTTTATTTGTAAGAAACGAGCAGTCAGCATATCACTTGGAAAATAAGATTAGCAATTTAAAGTACAATTTTAAAGTTTTAAATATATTATAAATAACTGAAACTAGCTTTTTAAAGATTTTTTAAATTATATTTCATATTTGAAATATAGAATATCTTCAAATTTAAAGCAAATTTAAACTTCTATAGATTTCTAATATTTGAATAGTATTTAAATTATAAAATTGAATTAAGCAATACACCACAAAATTGCATATACTATATATATATATATATATATATATATTTATTTATTAATATTTAAAATTTTATTTTTATAAATGTTGTTGATGATTGATAAAAATATTTGTTAAATGTCTATGTTATTGTTTTAAAATAAAGATAAATACATATGTTCTTTTATACAAAAAATTATGCTCATTAATAACAGTGTTGTATTATTTATTGGTGAAATTTATTATTTATTATTACAATAAATAACTAAATAAATAAATAGTTTGCATGTATTTTGTTTTTGACCATATCAATAGTTTTATACTAACACTGTACTAATAGGTCTTGTTTAGTTTTAAATACAGTGTGTAAAGATTGTGTGACTTGATAATTAGTTGTACCTGAAAACAACAATTGTGTTTAGTGGTGTTGAATGTCGAACTACTGTTCATCTTAAAGTGTTGTGGAAAAACAATCGAATAGTATGTAATTTACAGTTTGAAGAAAAAGTTGAAGCTATTCGTTTACTCACAATATATGCAGAAGAAACTCAAAGCCAATATAATGAATGTTTTGCAGAGGTATAGTAGATTCTTCTTTTATTAATATATTAAAAGTGTTATTTATTGTTTATAAAATTAAAAATTGTTAATAATGCATTTTAATGTTAAATAGGCAGCCAAACAAGACAAATTGCTAGAACTACAACGAGATGCAATTCACAGTCTTCAGCAAAAAATTAGTAGTATGGAATATAATAATAGCGTAGCTATTATTGTCATTCATACCATGTATTGTTCAATTTTAAAAATAATACAGGTAGAAGAATTTGAAATATGATAAATAATGATACAAAATTGTTGACATATTCGTTCCAACAATAAAAAAAAATGTATTTCTTATTATCACAGTTTTTTATTGCATTTTATATTTATGTATAGATATTACATCATTTATTATATTAAAACTTATGTATAGATATCATATTAATACTCTTAGTTCTTAAATTATTAATTTAATATTAAAATAATATTAATTTCAATAATTGTATTGATATTTTAGGAACAATTGGAAACTCGTGCAAATGATATTCAAGCTCTAACGAATGAGGTATAACAAACTTTAAAATATATAAATAAAATAAAAAGTTTATTATAAACTAAACATAATTCTATAAATAAAATTCTAAGTTACCAACAAAACGTTAATTTCATTTCAGAGAGATGCTTTGATACAATCGAAGTGCTATTTGGAAAATAAGTATTTAAATACAAAAAAACTATGGCAAGAAGCAGAAAAAAAATTGCGGGAATTAAGGTAATTATATGAAATATGATATAGAATTTTATTAATGTGAAAATATAGTATATTTTAAAAAAATACTTTACGTTAATTAATTTAGGGAGGATATATTGAAGATTGAGCACAAAACAGAAATTAGTGAAGATAAAGGATGCCAATGTAAAATAGAAGTTAAAGATAAAAACAGCACTATTCAAGATGCATTTGATTGGAATGACTTAACATATAACAATAAGGAACAACGTAAAAATTTATCACATGAACATGACTTACATTCAGAAATTGAAATTTTAATTAGAGAAAACGAAGATATGAAAAGGCAGTTACAAAAATATAAATTGGATTTTGACATAATTGACAAAGAATTGAAAACAGAAAAAGAAAATGGTACTTACGTTCAACAAGTTTCATTTGAATTACAGAAATTAAGAGATACAGAGTGTTGTTTACAATATGAAAATGAACAACTTAAATCCGATTTAAAAAAGCAGACACGAAAAATAGAAGATTTAGTAGAAAAGTTACAGTCCCAAGAGAACAATACAAAATTTGAAAAATTGTTGAAGAAATTAGAGGAAAAACAAATGCAGGTACATTTCCACAATAAAAAATAATTCCAATAATTAGTTAGATATGCAATAATATTTTATTTCATTATATCCAGATTAATGATTTATGCAGTCAAATTACGAATAATGAAGTTGTTATAAAAAAACAAACAGAAATTATTGAAGAACTTGAAAAGAAGTTACACATAAAAAATCAACAAATTAAAGAATATTTATCTGAATTAAATGAAGCAGAAGAAGAAATGTCAACTTTACATGAAAGAATACAATCTTTGAAAACAATGTTAAAGGAAAAATCAGATGATATGGCTAAATTACAAGCAGATTATGAACTGATAAAAGTATGTATTAATATTTTGATCTTTTAGAGATTTTTTTATTTTAATATTAAAAGTTTTATAATATTTCATTTCAGAATGAGAATTCTATATTGAAGGTGGAAAATAACAACTTTGAGGATAAAACAAAAGAAGATATTTATCAAATGAAAATCATGGTATACATTTAACATATCTTTATCAATTTTAAAATAATGCTCAACATAATGTTAACGTCGATGTTCTTTTGGTTTCAGTTGAAAGATCTTCAAATGCAATTATGTTTTACTGAAGATAATTATTGTAGAGTTACTGATGATTTTAATAAAACACAAGAACAATTAATTAAAATTACAAAACGGGAAGCTGATTTACAAGAATGTTTAACAAATATGGTACTTATTATTTTTATATGTTTTATCTAACTGATCTAATTCTCTTACTTTCTTGTTTAACTATTTTAGGAAAGAGACTATTGTTCAAAGCTATCAAGTATGGAGAAAGAGAAAACTATGCTTGGAGACTGCTTAGATAAATTAAGAGATGAATTAGAAGAAATGCAAAGAAGTTATTTATCAAAAAATGATGAACATTGCAAACTAAAAGATATTTGCAAGTCTTATGTGGAACAATTAGATATTTTACAACAACAGGTGAAATAAGTAATCTAATATTTTTATTACTAAAAATTTATATACATTTTACATTGAATGATATTAATTTTAAGTGCTTATTATATTTTCAGATGGAGGAAGAAAAAGAAAAAGTTAAACAAATAGAAGAATCAAATCACTGTATGGTACTACAGTTACAAGAATGCAAGGAACGAAATTGTAGTCTTGTTAAAGAAAAATCTATGATAGAACAAAATAATTGTGAAATTATTTCAGAGGTAAAAAAAAAATTAGTAAAGATAAACAATAAAAATAATTTCGGATAAATTCTTTTTTTAGTTACAAAAGACACATAAATCTTTGTTAGAATTAAAAAGAGAATGTCAGTTAAAAAATAAATCATTGGCTTGCATATCGGCGGAATTAACAGAAACAGCAATGAGTCGATCAGAACTTTGTAATCAGTCACAATATGTTGTTTCTTGTATACGAATTTGGATGGAAGAACAACGAGAATATGTAAACAAGCTTAGTGCAAAATTGAAATCGCAGCAACAGGAATTAACACAATTTGAATTTGACAAAAGGTATGTATTTTCAGAATTTCTAGTACCTCATTAGTATTTTCAAAATCTTATAAATTCAAAATCTCTCAATGAAATAATTTGCAGAGTATTAATAGATGAAGCAAAGAGATTGAGACACATGAATCATGCATTAATGCAAAGATTAAAAAGGATGCATAGATTTGGTAGCAAGAATATTAGAAATGTTTGTGTAGGATGTCAATTACCAAAAAATATTGATATACGTCTTCCTACAAGCTCCAAATATTTATCGTCGCAGAAGGTAATTACATTCGTGAAAGTTTGTTCTTTTATTTTTCTAATGAACACATAACATATTTTAATTTATTTTGGAATATTGGACAAAGTTGTTAAAGATAATTTGATATTTTTTAAATCAAAGACACGCCTTACAATTCATGATATAATAGTACGAAGAAAGAAAAAATATTTAATGAAGTATGGAGAAACAATATATAATGAGAACATATTTTTATACAATCTTTAATTTGTGAAAGATACTATTTTTTGTGATGAAAATATTTTTTTGTATTTATTTTTTAAAATTTTATATTCAAATTTTTTTTTTATATTTTAAATATTACTATTTTTTTTAACAATTATTATTCTTGTAATTGTGGAGCTTTCTGGAAGATAGATCTATTTATATATTCTTTCAAATTTCATTTAACAAGTTTAATCTAACAAGTGAAATCTGAGTACTTTTTCTTGATTCATGTATAATTAATCTATAGACTAGACTTTCGTTCTTAGTTGAAACATAAAATTACATATTCAATTTATTCTAATATACTTATTACATCACGAATTATAAGGCTCTTTCATTAATTTTCATTGATTCAATCTTAAATATTTTTTTTCATTTAGAAACTAAATCTTACAAGGACAGCACGTCGCATTTCAGTGTGTAGTAACGGTTCATGCTTTTCCCGAATGAAATATTTAATAAACGAGTTGCGAAAAAGTAATGTAGATTGTGATGAAAATTCTTTTAACAGGATGAATACAAATGTAGGATCAGAAGAAAATCATGATTATGGTTATCAATCATCTACTAGTAAATGAACATATGTAAAATATTCGACGACTACTAAGGATGAATAATCGTATTTTTTAACGATCATATAAACAAAATATTATCTCATTGGACTTTTTTATATTATTTTTTACGTAATAGAATTTCTTCGTTTTTATACAAGTGAATTGAATTTAAAAATGTAAACGTATATTGAGTAAATAATTTACTTGTCAGTATGTGTTTTCTTTATTAATCTTTTATAATTGAATTTCTTGAAGTCTGTAATTTTAGAGTAAAATGATAGTTTGTATGACAAAGAATATGCAGTAAAACGAGATTTTTTATGTATACTTTATGAAATAATTCAAATAAAAGCTTGCATTCTTTTATGGTAAATATTTCTAATCCTTTTGGAGGATACTGGAAATTATATATTACAAACTTTATAAAATTTTATCTATTTCTAAAGATCTATTATTTTACGGTTATATAATTTAGCATAAAATAAGAGATGTACAAACCAAAACAACATGTAGTAACATAGTTTTATAAAAAAATTGATGAACTTCTTGAGTTGCACACCATGGACATGAAAGAAAAAATAAATGTGTTAAATACACGATTCCCAAACATGCAGAAATAGCTTTTCCACTGAATAAATTTAATCTGAAATATATTTCAATATAGACTATGATCAACTTTTTAAATTTGTGTTAGATACCAATCACAGATTTTAAGGAAAAAACATTCTTTATAAATTCAGAACACTCAAATACCTAGAAAACTTGAAAAAATCCCATAACACATTTGTAAGAACATTATTATTTTTTCCTGCAGTAACATTTAATAATTTATTTCCTGCAAAAGAAAAATGACATTATTTTGTTTTGTATAAATAAGTGATATTTATTAAACTAACATTTATATTTATTTACCAAAAAAAGAACATATTAGATTCTTGTTTTCTTGATATTTTTTAAGATAAATTACATCCTCTTCTGTAAAATATTTCCAAATGCACAAACTTGGCTGAGGTGAACAAATGTATGTACTTTGAAGAGGATTTTCTGAGTAAACCCATGGTCCACACAAATTGTCATAATCTACATTTGATTCGATTTGAATTTCTGATTGAATTTTTCGTAAAGTTACTTGAATTTTTGGTATTGTACGTTCTGATAAAGTTGATTCTTTAACATTTATAATTAATTTTGACTGGTCTTTCCGATCACTGATTACAATACGATCTTTTGTTACGAATTGATTTGACATTATTAAATATTCTTTTCATTAAAGGACAAGCTATATATATTTAAAAATTACGTACATATAATGCAGTTTAAATTAATAAAGAAAATCAGAATTGGTAAATCGAATACTAACTAATTAATGGTTGTGTTGATCGTGTTTTTTGTTTCATTATATGTATATACTAATATTAATATATTCTAAGCATAAAATATTATGTACATATATAGAATGATACATGTAAATGCTAATAAGTCTATAATTTTGTGTAATATCTTTTAATATTGTTAAAATAATTTATGTAAATAGATGCAAATACCATTAAGAATCATGTACATTTTCCATTAATTTCTACATTAATTTAAATTGTTTTCATATTCGCTTAATTAATGTAATAAAGAATAATTTCCAAAATGATAATTATATTAGATGAATTGTTATAATTGTAAAATGTTAATACAGGTGCTGGTACATATGTAATGCACTATTTAAATCTAGAAACGTAAAATAAAATATTACATTATTCACTCTTTTAATTCTATAAAGGCAACTGTAAAATGCATAAATTATTTTGTTTAAAAATAAAATACAATATTTTGATAAAAACTTTTATATGTAGTTCATACAAAATTTACAACATATTTCTTTTACATTTCAAGAGACAAAATAAATAAAAACTTTAACTTCAAATTGTACACTTGAAACGTATAAAGAACTAACACACCTTCCAAATACTGCACAATGATAAAAATGAAAATATTTCTTTATTTTGTTCAAAGCTTAAAAATTTGATATTGATATATAGATTAAAATAATAGATTTCATTTTGATTCTATTGTGTGATGATATTGATGTTTATTTAAACGAGTTCTTGAAAATGTTGTTTTCATTGCTATCGATAGTTTAAGTTTCATAATTCACAACATGGATTATTTATCAAACGAATTCTTACTTAAAATATAATATCGAAATAAAAATGTAAAATTAAATATGAAATATGAAAGTATTTTATAATATAAAAAATCAAAAGAAATAATTTTTTAATGTTATAATGTAATTAAATAAAGCAATTACTTTCTAATTTATTATTGTTTTATATAAAACTTGCTTATTTGTAAGACATTAATTAATTTTGGATGAGATGAAACGGTGAATTTGACGAAATCCTCAATAATATTCACAAGTTTATTTTTTCTTGCGTAATCATTTATAATTTATCATGAATTATTGAATAAAATTAATATACAATATATTTCAGAGCAAGAATTTGTTATACATGTTTACAAACTAAGAAAGTAAATACATAGGTAATCATAGCAGCAGGAATGGCGTACTATCTTACAAGACGTTTCGCGTGCCAAAATTTCATCATACACTGTATGTTTTAAACGTATATTATCGTTACTAACATTAATGTTATTATTATTTATCAATGTTACCATTAATATTATCATTATTACTTTTTACCATTAACATTACTTATTACATAAATCATATTTATTATATATGATTTATATTATAATTATATTTATATATTTATATATATATAAGTATATATATATATATGCATGTGTATATATACATATATATATATACACACACACCTATATATTTATATATTTATAACGAACACCGCCCATTACTACTAGAATTACAAATGGGAGCTTAATCTGTCTCTGTCTCTCTCTTTTTCTTCTTTCTTTTTTTGACAGTTCTGATACTCAAAATAGATGATATATCGTCGAATGCAATGTGATACACACATTTTTTTTCATTATTCACTCAGGAAAAATGTTCGTCCTGCACAGTTCACCTCCCATTCCATTATAGTGGTTTTTCCCATTGTTTTATATTCCACTCAAATATATATTCATTGTAGACACACTCATGGTGTATTTATACTTGTTGATTATGGTACAAATCTGTAAGCAAAAAGTAGAGTGTGTCTCCTACAGTAATTCATTAAATATATATTTGTGAAACAGTTATTTCCTTAATCATGTTGCTTTTTTCAGAAAAAAACACACTCAAACATTATACTCCAATTAAAAAACATTATGAATTAATTTAATTTCAAATATAGCTATAATAATAAAATACTACAACAATTTTCCAAAATTTTTCATGATCTACAAATTTGAAACAAAAATAAAACAATTTATAAAACATAAAAAGTACTTACAAAAATAATACTTTAATTATACTTAGCACTGTTATTGTAATAATTTCACTTCAGTTAAATATACATTTATGTTTATAACGTGTTTAAAATATGTATAAAACAAATATAACAAATAAATTACTTTGTCCTCTAATTACTATTTCCTTTTTATCTTATTTAATTATTAATCATGTTATAAAAATATAATATTACTACATTATGAAATACAATATTCTTAAAACATAATTATGATAAAGAAGTGAAAAAACTGAAGAAATAGATTAAACATTGATTTATATTGTTACATTATAATAATTTTGATAAAACTGAAAAAAATTTACCGAGTTTTTACGTTATATTTTATGGTATCTAAATAAAGGTATTTTTCAAAGTACAGTTGTACTGATTAAATTAATGAACTCAACTTTTGAATAAGAAATTAACATTTTCTTTAATATCATTTTATGATTTACAGTAGCAAATCTACAACAAGATCGTAAATATATTACAAGGATATTTTTACTCTCTTGTATCTAACATTTAACGATATAATTAATATTTAAAGTATGTTATTCGTATTTTACTCAAATAATAAATACAAAAGATAAATGAAATAGGAATAATATATAACATTTTTAAGCATACAATATAACTTTATACTTTATCATAGATAATATAACTATATTATCTATTATAAAGTATATACTTTATAATATATATTTATAACTATATACTTTATAATAGAATCTTGTAGAATTTAACATATAACATATAAAAAAGAGAAATTCTTTAATTCTGATATAGAATTTTAATTATGTATTATTTTCAACTAAGTGCAATACATAATACCCATGTTTTGCAACACCATAAATGATAAAATATAGCAATAGGCTCATTAAAGATATATAAGTAAAAACGGGAAAAAATGCGAAACTTTGGACTGCGCATTATTATTTGCAATAGTTGATCTGCGAAGCTATGTAATACAAAACAATTATGCAGAAATATTCTTATATAAATATAATGTTCGTTCTAAAAGTATAATTTATATTAAATGCCAAAATATTTTTAATTTATTTAATGTTTATCTTAAGATTGTGCTTAAATTTATAACAGACAAAAATGTTAATGTAAGGTTGAGAAAACCTCAGTTTTTGTAATCTTTTAGTAACTTATAAATGATTTTATAAGTTATTTTATAATTACTAAAAAATTATACTATATTCCAGTGAAAACGTAGAATTTATATCTATCTATCTAAAAATTCAATACGAAAACATTCTTTTACTGTAAAATGTTGAGTTACTTAAACCTCTGCCTTTTGTATCGTCGATTATATTGATACATTCAACAATAATTCAATATAAAGAAATACTAAATCAATTTTAATGTTTACGTGTCTTCTTTACTTTAATAAATATTAAGAATGATGAAATAAGTCAAAAGTACATGCAATAAAAATATTAAACATAAGAAATATACTATAGCAATATCTACTTAAGAATATTCCACAATATTAATACAAAATTTTGTATAGTGCCCATAAAATGTGTAAATTTTAACCTATCAAATCATATTATCATTCCAAGAGATGATCAGTAGTGTCTATTCATTACATATTTGAATATTATAAAAATATGTAGATATAGTATTATATTATTATATCAAATGCTGGGCTCATGTCTAATGCATATATCAATTGTTTTCATGGATATTATATCTTTCACCATTGTTTATCACGAAGGTGTCAAATTGTAACTAATATAAAAATATATACCAACATATATTTGACACGTACAGATTTGGATAATCACTTGCAACAATTGCCAGTTGCTGCCTTTTGTCCTTCTGTGTCAACTAATCGGCGACCTTGACCACTTGTACTTGCACTTCCTGATTGTTCATTCTTTGGAAGTTTTTTAGCTGTAATGTAATAATATAAAACTTTATTTAACTAAAACAAATTAGAATATTCCATATAAAAGAAAATTAATGAAACATTGCAAAAAAGAACTCTTTGTAAGTTAATATACACGTTATGTTATGAAAGTATATACACACTGTATGTAATTCAATAAGTGGTATTATTTCAAACCCAGATGCTCCCTTATGTAGCTTAGATAAATATAATAATATTATTTGTTTAACAAAATAACCTTACCAATTGCCAAAAATATATCGTTAACGTTCATTGCAGTTTTGGCTGAAGTTTCCATGAAAAGAAGGCCATTTTCGTCAGCATAAGTTTGAGCTTCGTCAAATTCTACAACTCTTTTATTTGAAAGGTCGGCTTTATTTCCAGCTAAGGCTATAACTATACTTGGACTGGCTTGTCGTTGCAATTCCTTCACCCACGTTTGGGCACGTACAAATGTGTCCTGTAGTTTTTATAATAAAAATTTCAGAATCAAGAGTTATGTTTCATAAATAAGTATAAAAATTAGAAAGTAATATTTATTACAATTAATCAAAAATAATAATAGAAATCATAAAACAAGTAGTCTTATTAACACAAAATTCAGAATATGCAATTTAGATTCTTATTTTCTTGAATAAATACCTTGCATATAATTTATAGCATAATATAATTATATTGTATATACTGAATTTGATAGATCTTTACTCACCTGATTTGTTATATCATATACAACAATGGCTGCCTGTGCACCACGATAATACATTGGTGCAAGACTGTGATAACGTTCTTGTCCTGCTGTATCCCAAATTTCAAATTTTACAGTTGTATCATCCAGGCACACAGTTTGTGTTAAAAATGCAGCTAAAATGAATAAAATATTAATTCACTATATTATTAAAAGTAATATAAGATTATAAATACCATATATATTATAAATACCATTAATTATAATCTATTTCTTTCTTATATGATTGATATTGTAATTAATAGTAATAGAAATATTAAAATTTGTACCTCCAATAGTGCTTTCTTGATACTCATGGAACTGCCCTTTCACAAACCTCAAGACCAAACTTGATTTTCCCACAGCAGATTCTCCAAGCAATACCAATTTAAACTGACATATTTTCCCTTGTGTTGAACCATTTGGCCTTTGGGCTGTACCCCGATTAGCCATGATCACCTAAATTTAAAAGATTTGTAAATATACCTAGAATATATTACTCTATTATTGTATAAACTAAATATGAATTTTTAACTGTTGTAAAATTTATAATAAACTAATATTTTCAATGAAATATATTTAATACATTTAAGAATAATAAAAAAATCTCAACCTATGTTTATAGATATAGTAAAGTACAAATTAAAGATAAAATTTCAATTATTTTATTTCATTCAATTAATTACTGCAAGCAATAAATTATTAAAATAATTCTGAAATTGACATCTATAAATTATATTACTTTAATTATAAAAAAATAATATATACTCAATTATATAGATAATAAAATTATATAAATAACAATTTAAATTCTGAAATGATTTTCATTTTTTCACTTGCACCTAAACCTTTAAATCAGCAGATAAATGTCTATTTATACTGAAAGTTCATATATAATAGATAAGACTTTCATTTGCATACAAAGTAATCATCATTTAAATACATCCTTTAACTTGAGCAACTGAACTGATAAATATGAACAATGCACCATGAATTTTTCTTATAAAGATTAAAACAGTGCAGAAAGCTATATACAATAGTTTTTTTTAATGTGAGATTTACTAAACAAAAACAATTAACAAAACTAGTACATCAAATTTACATTTGCAGAAAAGTATTTTTCTAAAAGTAAAAATAAGATATTTCATTGTAGAAAGATAGCACATATATTAAATTTTGCAATCAAATGCCATAAATATCAAGTCATACACTTTTTCACAATAGTACAAATGTTATAACTTCCCAACTTAGCAATTACTCCATATAGAACAGTATAAAATAATTCAAAAGACATATTCATGTAATACTGTGCAAATTATGAATATTATAAAATGAAAAATTTCACTACATGTAAGTAATCTCTAAAAAATTGTGTTATATTCAATTTGCCATAAAATATCTACAATTAAGTAAGTGAAAGTAATTGATATGGATTGTAAAAGGTTGATATTCCGTTAAAATACATTACACGAAAAACTGATCAAAGAACGAAATGTAAAAACTGGAATAACATAAAAGGTGTATCCTAAAGTGTTTACAATAGAAGCATACAATAACGTAAAAATCAAATTGCAAATTGCAATTGTGAATGTCTGCAAAAACATATGAAACTCGAGCAAACTTAACGATAGATATATTAACTCGTACAAATGCGTCAAAATTCGATTGTCTACTCTATTGCGTTTGTTTTCTATGAGTCACTTACAAGTGAAAAAGCACAGTAGCCAAAAACCAACAAAAAAATAATAACGTATGTGGTTTAACCCATTAAAGCAGGGGGACTCTGTTAATTACATTATCCAATTAGTCCGCGAGGAGAAACTTGTCGAATTGAACGGGTCCGGTGTTGGTTTGCGATAACGTTACAATTGATAAAACTAAACAGACTCTCTAAATGATAAACGTATAGCCTATTTTAACAAGGAACGAACAAGTGAGAATTGGTAACACGATGACTAAACGCAGCAACTTCACGGCAATCACAGGATTCGCGTAACTCGCGGCGACGAAAAGGAAACAGGTCCGCATCGCGCGATACTGTCTGTCCGGGTACGGGCTGACAGGAGAGAGAAAAAAAAACAAAAAAACGTTCTTAAGAGAGACAACTAAATGAAAAGAACATATATACACACACAAACACACGAATATATATAGAGAGCTTACGTGCACTTAGAAACAGAATGAAGCTACATCAAATCTTGCATACATATAAACTCACCCCAAACTTATCTACGTAACCAATAGCTCATAACCTTCAGCGAAATAGCATTATCGAAAAATCACAAGAAACCGTTAAAGCGGTGCATAGGGACTATGAAAGAAAGAAAGAAAACGATAAGGACAGACAGAATTTCTATGTACGCGCGCGCGAATTCTCTTTCTCTATCTCTTTCACGTACACATATACACGCATCATAGATGTCTCGCTCGTGTTCTTTCTTTCTTCTATTAATGGTCTGTCCTCTTTTCTCTCATTTGCTTATTCGCTTAATCTACGTTTCGTTCGTTCGCTTACTGATATGCTATCCCTATCCCCACTCCTACTATGTCTTTCTCATTCATTTATGGTGGGGGAACAAAAATATTCGTACATGTAATAGGAATGTGAAAATAAAAACTGTATTAGTTACACGACACACATACAATTACGCGTTACACATTGACGTTAATAGTAACAAATAGAGAAAAGAAAACAAAAGTCAATTGATGAGATAAACTTTTATAACTTCCAAAATATCAATATTGTCACTATTATAATTATAATCATTATTGTCGATATTACAATTAATACATTTTATAAAGAACTTCTATATAATAGAAGCAGCCTATAACTTACTTCTACATAATGTAACATAATGTACTATAATAGAAGTAGCCTATAACTTACTTCTATATAATGTATTAAATTTCTACATCAAAGTCTACTGATATTTCACTTGCAGAATCTCGATAACTGTGCATGTGTTCAATTAGATTTGAATATAGTGATTGAGTCCTCATCCTACTGAAAGAAAGATGTGTTTTCATAATTACAACTTTGGCCAATTTTATTAATTATTAGTTTTCCAATTGAATTTCCTAGTGAAGCAACATATTCTTGGTTTCTCTTCATTTCTTAGTTTCGCTTCATAGTTGAATCCAGTTGTTGCTTGAATTTATTTTAATATCTAATGTTCATGATATCTTTTTGTGTTCATTTGATTGAAATTTTTGAATAGATTAAAATATAATCTTTACTTAAATATTATGAAAAAATTCCAGCAAAGTTTATTGAATTAAAAATACATTTTATTCTCAATAAAACCAAGATAAAAAATAATCACCAGATGCAAACCTAATTAAATATGCGCAATGAAAACTATAAAAATAAATAAGAAAATGCCACGTTAAATAAAAAAAATATTTTAAAAAATAACAAAAGATAATAACCATACAATTAATTATAATGCATAATAATAATCTCTGATAGTATACAAATATTATGTTAATTTGTATAACAAATTATTTATAAATATATTAGTTGACTCTTGTTCCTTTATACTTGCTACTATTAACATTGGTGTATCATGTGTAATTACGCGTGTCAACATAATTAATAATGTTAAATACTTCTCAATCATGTTAAATATTTTTTTATTATCATATTTCTATTGTACGAATACTTTTATCCTCCCACTGTGTTCATTTACGATGTTTTCTTTCACTCACATTCACTCTATCTTTCTCTCTTAAACTCATTCATTCATGTTACTTCTTTCTCTTTCGCGTGGCCTCTCTTTCTCTCGAGAGGGAGGATAAGAGAAGCAAATAAAGGGTGTAAGCGATGCGCCACGATAGTTACAGCTCCGAGTACTTGTCACCGCCCGTGAAACGTCAGCAAGATCTGAAATAATCACGAGAAGCCAAAGCATAACCTGCGAGCTAAAGGCGAAAGAAAAGGAAAGAGAGAAAAATGAATATACGTGATCTTTAAAAAAAAAAAAAAAAAAAAAAAAAAAAAAAAAGACAAAAAAAAAAGAAAAAAAAAAAAAAAAAAAAAAAAAAACCACATGTCCAAGGATATGGACGTAAAATCTTGTCGACATGTTCGTGCAATGAGGTACACATGAAAAAGACAAGTAACGTAGATACAACATCAAGCACATTCTCTGCGTTTGTTACAGATATATGACAATATTCCACAAAGATGACTTTTACTCGCAATGGGCTGTAAGGGAAAAGGAAAGAGAACATTAGAGAGAAAAAAAAAAGAAATAAAAAGAAATTTGAGCGGTAGAGCAAGGAGAGGGACACCTGCCTATACGATGAAAACTGTGAATTTTCAACGGTTAACCTGCTAGCGTGAGGAAGCTCGCCGTCGAATAAGAATGCGGCTCTTTAGACGGTCGATGGGGCGCACAACACCGCGCGACGATGATTAATGTCAATTCACTGCCGCGCGTCAGATACGATCACTTGTCTTGAGTAAATCGGCCCACTAACCGAGCATAGATCGTGCAATCTATATAGAATGTGTACATTTATGACAGCTCCGGTTAGTACACACGCACGCACATACACGCAAGGCAGATTACACGACTCTACGAAGCTCGTTGATTTTTCTCACATTCCCCCTTTATCCGATCGAGGAATCAGACTTTTCTTTCTTTCGCCACTTTTCGAAAAGAACAGCAACTGTTCCAAATCGCACTTCTCCCAGCAATACAGATGGTACCGTGATGTCTCTGTAACCTAACAGAACGGGAATTGAAGTTGAAAGTCGATCGCACTTGTAAAGAATCAAGATATTTAAGGTCCAAATCCACGCACACAGTACACACAGTGCTGCAACACTTTCATTTACAACGTCAGATCTGTAAGTCACGATGACACGCAGCAATTTACCACCGAACAATCAGTGAGACAGTCAATTACCCAGATATTCTACGTGAAATTCTGATGAAATGCTGAACAGATTTCAATCTGAGATGATCCTTTGAGAGTACCTTCCTTCAATGTCGTTTTCTTTTTACACTCCAATCGGAAATGGCGCATTTCGATGAACACGGCCGGAAAACGGCGCCACTGTTGACCAATAAGATTAATTTGATTTTATGGTATATTCTTTTATACGTAGATAGTGAAGAAAAATTACTGATTTTCAGTTTTAACGATATCGTAATTTATACTTCTAATTATTTATTACGATAAATCTTTTCTTTCTTTTTGACATCTCATTTTATCCTATTTTGAATTTATTCCACCGTAATACGTATAAAATTGCATGCGTTTTTCAGAAAAAATGGGGATCTCCGTTATTTGTAAATTTTATATTTACGCATAATGTATAACACTAGATATTAAATATAAATTATAACAGCATAAAGTGAAACATCTGAATTTCATAAATTCGCGCTAGGAATATTAAGTTCGTTTCGTACGGTAAACGTTTCAGGGCGGATACGCAATAATATTGTTTTTTTTTTTATATGATAAATCATTTTTTAAATATCTAAACTATTCTATCTAGTTTGAACTATTTTGGAGTTTTTATTTTATATTTAATCGTGTAAAAATTGTGTAAAATATATGATTAATTATTAAATTAACAATTACATTTGCAATTACCAAATTCGTAAAATTAGAAAAACAGGAACTATTACTAATTAGTAATAATTAGTACTATTTTTTTCACAATGATTTTTCTAATATATGTTTACAATTAAATTATAATCAAAACGAATATTTATCTCAAAGTCAGTACTATTTAGAATAACGATAAACGTTTTTTAGTTACAAAATGAAAAATGAATTACAATAATAACCAAGTGTCTAGTAAATTAATTAAATTTAAACATAAAATGCAAAAAGAATAGGAATTTTACATATAAGTATTAGCTGCATTGGTTGACTTTGATTCAATTGGTCAATTTTGAATACAATATTTAGAAATGGCCGCCAAATACCGGTTCTCCGCGAAATGATATTTCTTATTGTCAATTTTGTAAATGTGTATGTGTTGAAAGTATGCACATGCTTCGTATGCTTGGAATGTAAAATAAGAATTGCTTATATTGCACATTTGTGTATGTATACATTATTATATTTTGTGAAAGATTTCACTGAAAAAGACATCATAGTGCATGTAATTTAACCGTACAAAAATTTATTGAACTTCCAATTTTAATATCACTAAAATTAAAACAAAGAACCAGAAAAGTTGCTAAATTCGAAATTTTATAATTATTTATGATACGTTAATTAAACACAATGGATAAATACCAACATATAAGAGCATTTATATCAGCGGTTGTAGAATATATTAAACATTCAAGTGAGGCAACAGCTACGATTTTACAACGAAATCTTGGGGTAATTATATATCAATTTTAGAATAAATTGAAAAATGATAGCTATTATAATCTTACATGATACTTACAAAAAATTTTACAAAAGATAAAATAATGAACTTCAGATATTGTAACATTTTATTCAATATATGGTATGTTTTTAATAAAAATTTATGCTCAAAAGGTAATAAGTACATCACTGGATTTGAGTATTTTTGACCCTGGAACCAGCATAGCAGCAGAGTTCTATGTTAGTTTGCATGAGCTTATGAATTCATTAGCTTCCAGAACCACTTTGATCTGGAGCACTGTTGATGTTTTACAAAATGCTTGTCGCAATGCTGCTGCAAGACAAGCTCTCATCCACACATACAAATTTGCACCAATATTGGCAAGATTATTGGAAGTATGTATATTTGTTTTTGTTAGAAAGAAAAGAAAAATATATAAAGATACATTTATTTTTATTATATCGAAGGTTCATATTTTGCTTTCTGCAATAAAATTTTTTAAACAGCTGGAAATATAATGTTCACGCATAATAATTCCACAGGCAAATTTAACAAGTGAAAAAAGAATAAGAGTATTGAAACTACTTCAAGAATTGACATATGGCATAAAAATTTCATGGCAAGAAGCTCATTTACCTTATCTAGTATCAATATTAACACAATGGGTGACACAATCCAAAGAAGAAAACATTATTGCACTTTCCTTAGGTGTACTAGTAAATTTGTGTTATAAAAATCTTCCTGCTGTATATATACTAATGAGGACAATTGATACAAAAGCGTTTATAAGAACTTTATTAAAACTACAACATTGTAGTGTTAACACCAGTGTACAATGTTGTAAACTTTTGATTATACTAGAACATACAAATACGAATATTTCAGAGAAATATATTTTGGATTTTGCTGCTGTCACATTCAGTAGTCTTATCACTGCAATGAAACAAAGAGATGTTTTATTATTGAGACATATCATAGATTTCTTTAATGATGTTGGACAAAATGAACATTCCCATGCTGTGTTACTAACATACCCACAGTGAGTTATTTTATAGTTTTCAGTTTATTTTTGGTATTTGATTATAATCAATATCATGTTTATTGTCTTAATTAGTTATGGTAGAGATGTGGAAAATGTCTTGGCTACATTAGAAGATAATGCAGATCCAGAATGTGTTGCTCTTATGATGGAATTTTTGTCATCTTTAGTAAAATTAAAATTATCTTCTTTGGTGTCTCTATATCCTTTATTTGTGAAAACTGCAATGACTTGGGTTCCAGTAGAACAGGTATATCTTCATTTTATGCAAATGTAAATAAAGAGTAACGGATTATAATAATTCTTTCTAAATCAGGTATGCTCTAAAGCATTAGCTTTGATAAGAGTTACAGTAGTTGATGCACGACGTACTAAACTCTTCCCCGAGGTGCTGGCAGAATTAGATGCTTCAGTTTTAATGCTTATATTAAATACAGAAAATGATGAAATTCAAGGAAAATATGAATTAACATTAGAAACAGAAACAAAATTAGCAGAGTTAATGCAATTATTTCAAGAAATGGTTAAAACATCTACACTCAGAACAAAAGTCATGCAGTCCTTTAGTGAACAAATAATACGAAAATTATTAAATCCAATGTTAGATTCTGAAACATGTGCAGCTGACAACTGGCCAGGAAATTTTATTCAAGTATTGTATTTTTGTTTCTTAAAATATGACTATTATTTTTTGATGGACACTTTTTATTATTTTAGAATCCTACTACAAATCTGTGTATTTATGCATTAGCTTTGACTGCTGATTTAGCAGCTGATAATTCGCAATGGTTAACATTATATTCTGAATTACTTAGAAAGAAACAAATTCAAATAACAATGGCAAATGCATTGTTCACTGGTGATGCAGATATTAAACAAAAAGTTCTGCAATTAACATCTACCATCGGATTTCCTCAGGAATGGTAGGTTTTATCTTAATTTATGGTAGGTTTTTTAGTTGAACGAAATACAAAGATTTTAACAGACACTATCACCCAAATAAAGCATTACTATATCTTCACTATTAAAATTGAATACTTCAGCAACAAATTATTTTAATTTTTATTGATGACAACTCTAGACAAATTCACTATCACACGCAAATTGTATCCCATGTTTTTGTGTGACAAGTGTTTCCGCGGTGGCGCTTTGTATGAAGCAACTGGAGCCTTTGATATTGGTACAAAGTACTCCTGGTACGGTAACAAATATTGGAAGTAAAATGTCCATAAATGCAAATAACGAAATGGCTCCACTATTTTCTTTTGCACAAGAAGAACGGCTTGATGCGTTTTTAGCAAAATTAAAAAGAATCTATGAATCAAATCAAATCAATGATATTACCACATCAGCAGTGATGGAATTATATGAATATAAGGTATATCTTTTTTTATAATTCATTTTATCTTAAACACAAAATGTGTATTATATCCACTACATTTTTGTGATATAAAAGTTAGCAGCTATGAGACATGCAGAACGGGCCATGCAATCTAGTTTAGAAGCAGCAAACAACCATGGAACTAGTTTACAACATAGACTAGCACAAGTAGTGGCAGAGTCTAGTCGTTTACATCAGATGTTATTTGACACACAACAATGTTTAGAAGGAGTAAAGTCTACATTAACTGTAAAACTTGCTGAAGCAGAAGAACAAAGTAAAAAAGCAATTGCTATTAAAAAACAGGTTAATATTTTGTATAATAAATCTACTAAATAAAGATAAATCAAATTTAAAATATAATAATCACGTTTACAGGAAATCGACAGTTTAAAAAGGATAGTTTTAGAAAAAACTACTAACATTGATCACTTAAATGTAGTTCTCGTACAACATAAACATGAATTAGAAACTAATCAGAATAGAATTGAAGCATTAACTAAAAAAATTAAAGAGTTAGAAGTTGAATGTACGAATGCAGATGCAAAAACCATGGAAATGACCAATAAAAATCATGAACTAAGTAAAGTACTTCTTAAAATGCAAGATCAATTAAACAAAAAAGATCAGGTATGTTTGTATAAACTCAGCTGTTATAATAGAATTCAATTATAAAGAAATGTATATTCAATATCAAATAGGTAATAGAATTAAAAACTGCGGAAATTCAGTCGAATCAAAAAGATATATCTGCACTCAAGCAAGAAGCCCAACAATTATCACAATTATTGCAAAAATATGAAAAGAACATTGCTGAAAAGGAGGAAAAAATTAAGAAGATGAAAGCAGAATTGATGGATTTAAGTCGAATGCGTGATATGATTTTCGAACTTACTGCTAAAAAAAAGGAAGACTTAAATAGTTAATACTGTATTTTTGTTGTAAAATTCATTTTTAAATTATCAAAACAATTTGATAGTAGTTTTTATAAAAAAAATTTCTTATTAATAACTTTTTCTTACATTTTTAATATAAGTAATTGAAAAATAAATAATGCATACATATATTTACATTAAAGACCAGCAATATTGATTGCATGATTTATTTTATAAATATAATTTTGTTCTTTATTATTGTTATTTAAATATAATTTTTATATATTTCTATAAATATAACTCAAGAAATACATATTTTTAATACGAACAATTTTATCTTAAAGTATTTTTGCATGCAATTTGTTTTTATTTTTCAACATAAAAATGCATAACAAACTAAACCAAAATCAGTTTACATAAATTAGTTACGATTTCTTTTCTTTTTTCGCTTATTATGTCACGCATGTTCGTGCATGTTATGTGTACAACATATGTATATACATAAACGTATTCATTTTTTAAATTGTTTTTTTGTAGATATTTATATTAAACAATTTCCATAAATTAGTTTATATTAATTTATAATATAATTATTTTTGGCAAATTGACTTTGAAAATTATTTTATGTAAAGTTAGCAAGCTCTCATTATCAAAAGAAAACTAAACTGATTTGTACATAACATTGATATGGAATCTCAGTAAATAGTAGCACATTATTTTGTTTAAATTTTTTGAAATAATTCCAATATTTTATTAACAATATATTCAAATGTTATATTTGCTATTTCTTTAAAATCTGATTTTTCTTTTTTTTTTTTTTTTTGGCAAAATAATTAAATTATTAAGTTATCTCGTGAATAAAATTACAATTTTACTAAAATCTAATTGTAAGAATTATCTTTATAAAGCTTTTTATTTTCCTAACTTGGATCTATAGCCATTTGCATATTGTTTTTCTTTATATTTTATTTTATAAATAAATTTGTAAAGTTATATATTATCTTATTGGCTGTTGCCAGGGGAAGTAAAAAGATAAAGCATATTCAGTATGAAACATTTTAACTGCACAAAAACTGTGCGTGTTTATCATTTCTTGTAATTATAAAAAAAAATTCAATCCTTAAAAATTGTTGAATCCTGCGCTATACAATCAATTGTTTATATATATATATATATATAAATCATTACATAAGATTTTTACACACAAATAAAATATAACTTTTTAATATTTTTCATCTCATAAAAAATATCTGTAACAATTTACTTTTTTTCATAGTAAAATTAAAGTAAATTAAATTACATCCATATTTTTACAGATTACATTGATTTCAATCAAATTGAATATAAAAAATTAAGCGTTTCATTAATTAAAGTTTTTAAAAAATCATATTGTCATATGAATAATTTCATTGGAATGATATAAGTTCTAAACTTAAACTTCATTAACACAATACTGATGCAAACAAATTTTAGTTAATATACTTCTATATCATTTTATCAAGACAACATAAATTATTCAATATTTATACATTTCAATATTATGGAATAGTATTCCATTCAATAAAAAATTGTCATTATATTGAACAAAAAGAGCTTTGTGCCTAAATAATGGAAGTGGTCAACATAATAATTAGCTAGAATGAACTGAGCGCAATTCGGTCTAAGGATAAATTATTTTCCGTACTAAATACTTCATGTCCAACGAAATTTTGTCATCAACTTCTACCTTTACTCCATGGTTGTTCTGTGGCAGATGCAAAAATTAAATAAAAGCAATTGGTTGCCATATTTATCCCTGCTGCCAACCAGAATACTGTATGCCATCGAGCCAGTGTTTCCTGTAACACAAAATGTAAAAGCTTATTGAATCTTTTTTTCACAACAAATTTATTATTATTTAATAACAATGTATAGTTATACTGACGTGTCCTTGGACTATTCTTCCAATAACGTATGGAGCTAAAAATCCACAAGCATTTGCTGCAGCATTTGTCAGTCCATAAAGAGTACCCGCATATCGTGGTGCTAAAGCAATGTGATTCATTTGATTTCCTGCATAAACTGCACCTTGTAGAGATCCTAATCCAGCGAGCATCATCATAACCGTCATACGATTACATTCAGCCCAGATAGCACCAATAAAACTGAGACTCGGTCCTAACGAAGCCACGGTGTTCCATAATTTAAACGATGCTAAAGGAGATATAAGCTGGCGGGCAAGAAGGGCATCTGCGAAACTTGAAATACCGAGTCCAAATAACCAAGAACTTAAGTAAGGCAATGCTGAAAGGAATGCATCCTGTTGTACGTCAAAATGCAAAATTTTATCCATATAAGTTGGTAATTCTGTTAAAAGTGTATAAAATGCCCATGACTGTCCACATTGGGTGATAGCTATAGCCCACATGGGCAGTGATGTAAATACTGATAACCAAGGAACTCCTGGATCATCATCCTGGTTTTAAAATACATTGAGTTATTAAATTTTGTCTATTACATGATAACAGTTTAAGTTTAATTTAATAAAATTGAAATGAACCTCATCCTTCTTTTCTACACTGGCCTCAATGTATGCTCTTTCAAGAGGATCAATCTTTGTATGTTGTGCAGGTGTATCATATACAAAAATTAGCCAAAATGCATACCACACAATGCCAAGTCCTCCAAATAAATAAAATGCAAGGGGCCAACCACCCCAAAGTTCTAATGAACAAAGCCATCCACTCACTGGTAGTGATATAACAGTTCCAAAATTTGCACCTGAATAGAAATAAGTATGACAAATCGAATTTATCATATATCGAAACAAGAATAATTACCTGCATATACTACAGCAGCAAATTTGCTTCTTTCCAAGGGAGGTACCCAGTGTGCTAACATACTATGCATTGCAGGAAATGTGACACCCTATTTATAAAATGATAGAAGTTAAAACTTATTTTTCCAATTATATTAATTTGTAAAATGAAAAAATACCTCTGTAAATCCTTCGGCTACTCGTACAGTTAAGAATGGTACTAATCCTATATAAGCTGCAAAAGGACTAATTACAGTCAATACAGCTGTCAGAAATACTCCTAATCCATATATTAGCTTTCCACCAAATTTTTCTGCCATTCTTCCACCTGGGACATTTGTAGTAACATAGCCAATGAAAAATGCACCCAATATAATACCTTGCGTTTTCTCATCCCAATTAAATTCTCCTGCACTCTTTAAAAATTTATATTATTTTTATTTATTTTTATTGACAATAATTTAAAATAATTTAAATAAAAATAATTTTCAGAATATACTGAAACACAATATTAAAATATTTTGACTAAAAGAATATATCTATATAATAAAATAAAGGCAAAAGATGTAGGCGTTAAAACATATGTTGATATGTTAGGTCATACTAAAAATGATAAGTTCACATGAGTAATGTGATAATGTGATAAAACCAATGTTGACATTTGATCTGCATAAATATTACGCATGTAAAATACATTAGATTACAAACTAGAATTCAATACTTCGTGAAATATGCAATATGTTTTTAATGATCATTGAATCTAATCTTTACATCATATATAAAGATACTAAACTTGATACAAGTACAAATTGAATTATATTAGAATTGACATTGACAATTTTTTAAAAAAATTATAAAATAACTTACTGGTATAAATGTTCCATTAATTGGTTTTTCTTTGGGACAAACATCTGTGGTATCATTATCATCACTATGTGGTATTGCTGTTTGATTTACCATTGAAACTATAGCCACAGATAAATTTACTCTCATAGCATACACAAGTGCAAATCCAAGAAATCCTAGAAAACCTAATGTATGCCTTGCTTTTACGCATGATTTTGTATCAGATGGTATATCTGCTATAGTAACTAAAAATATAATTTCATAATTAGGATTATTTAGAAAGAGCAAAAATAAAAAATTTATAAATTTATTTAAATATATAATTTACAAGTATAAAATTATTGAATATTTAGTGTATTAAGTATATTAAGTATACTTTATTGCTCAAGTATAAAATTGATAAATATTTAAGTAATAATGTTTATGAAATGAATGAATTTATTATTAGTAATACAATTTTTGACATAACATCTTCTAGAATTAATAATTAATTATCTGATTTACTTTTTATATATATATTTTTCAAAATAATATTGGACACATGTTTCTGAATTAGAGTATATTTAAAGCTCAGAGATTACAATAAATTTTTAATTGTAATTCAAATTCTCCAATTATTTAACATTTTTAGTCTCACTTAAATGCCAAAATTTAGCTCAATTTCAATAATATGTGATATTATTTCAAGTTAACCTGATGTATCTTCTGACAACTTTTTATACAATTTTTGGTCCTTCCTTTTTCTTGACATTTGTTATTACACTTTTATTTTTGCTATATTCATCTACTTCTAAACGCAAGATTTTCATTCACGTAGGATAATTTATAAATAAATAAAAATTCAGTAATAATCATACGGGTTTTTAAACGAAAAAAAGTAACTATCAAAAAAAACTTCTAAAATGTACTTTCGACTGATATAGTTCACATAAAATAACATATTCAGATAGGTTGACAGCTGGTAATAATGCGAAGCGCTTATGCATCTGTCAATCCTTTGTTTCCAAACAATGCCCATCATCACGTTGTGAGCTCTTAATGATCTTGAATACTTTTAAAATACAATGACAGAGTTACGAAGAGAAGTAGTCGAATACAGTTTTTTTCGATCGATATGAGAAAAATTATTTAAAATAAACCTTTTTCCAAAGAATCATTGACACACAAAGGCTGGTCATCTCTTGAAACACTGGGATCCAGTACTTCCATGTTGTGCGCTTTTTCACAGATGCTAAATCGCTTTCACGAAGAATTGATCGTTTGAAGCATCGAAACTCCAAATTTACATGCTTATAATCGTTATAATCGTTTGTCGCGTCGACACGATAGAACAGAATGATATACAATTTCGTAGAGTTTATAACGTGGCAGGAATACGACGCGTATTATACGAATTGTCGTCTGCTGTCATCGTTGTTGGCGCGAATAGCTGTGCACTCACGTCATTTAAGACTAATACTTACTTAAACTTGACTGTGTGTGTATAGGCAAGGAACGTTTGCGCAAACGTGCTCCACTACTTCTGAACTTTCTACAATTGAATAATTAAAGAATGAATTGAAACTTATTGAAATGATATTTGAGTCATTCGAGATGATTAAGTTACGTCTGACTCGAACACATTCTGTGAACTTCGTTCCTCGATCCGTGTCATTGTTAATTCGATTTTCTCAAATAACTACATTGTTGAATAAGGACAAAAATGCGAAAATTTTTTCACGCATGAATCATACATGATTATGAAAAAGTAGAGAGCTTACGCTATTTTAATAATAGAAACTATATATCGTGATAAAACTTAAAGAATTATCAGTTTATATGAAATCATTCAAAGGAAACGAAAAAACTATGAATACAAAAATTTCTCATGGGTAAAAGACTTTTATTTCTATATCAATATAATAAAGAACATAGACGTGTTTACATTCTTTTAATGAAAATCCGGATAATTTTAGTTTGTAATAAAATTCAAAAAATTTATTTAAATGTAAAACAAGTTCTTTATTAATGAGTAGCTGTGCTCTTTTCCTTAAAGAACATTGTATAAATAAAAAGAATTTATGTTGAATTATTTGGAATTTCAGTACAGCATAAACCATTATGTAATTGTTAAATATTTCAAAAATTACCTAATTACATAATTACAAAATGATTATTTATATACATAATTTTTTTTAATATATTATTCCAAACTTCTTAGCAATTTTATAAGTTGAACAAACAACCATCATTTCTTAAGAAAAATAGCTACAATGCAATATGTAAATATTTTTCTTATTAACTACATATTTCTTAATCGGATTCCTATCAATTCAATACTTCGTAATTTTTGGTATTTATTAAAATTTCATCAACATTAAAAATGTATAAATATTATTACGCAAATGGTCAGTATAACCCTGCAATATAAGGTAAGAACTATATATATATACCATAAATTTTCGTATTGGAAACATTTTGTAAACTCTTCTAGATACTATATTTTTTATTGTTTTTAGATTTAAAATATTTCGAATTATGTATGAATATATTATTATTTTTCTTAAATGCATTATGTATATGAGAAAACCATGCTGATTCTTTTTTTCTATTTTATTCTTATTTCAAAAATATGCAAATCAAAGCAAATAATAATTTCGTGATATAATTATTTAAGTACCATTTTATATTTCATACAAGATGTTTAATATAACAAATAACTATAAACAAAATATAATTTGTAAAATGATATTGATAAAATATATAAGTACACAACATAATAACAAAGAAGATATAATGCATAAAATGAAACTATAAACTTTTAATACCTAAACCACAGCATTTGTAAATATATAATATTTCAAATATGTAATTAATTAAAATAAAATAAATATACATATTTGATTTATCCAGTAACATTTTAATAGTATTAGAAACAAGCTATTTAAAAGCTTTGCATTTTATGAAAATACTTATTTTATAAGTATTTATGATTCAAAAACATAAAAGTGATCTATTATCACATGTTCTTTTTATTGAATTATATGGAAAGTAAATCATTTGTCATGATTTGTTTATTTATACTTAAATTATATACATATATTAATATGAAAATATAAATAAAAGAGAAAATTTAAGTGAAAAAAATTCATATTTAAAAACGTATAGATATAAATGCGTACAATTAATATAAATATGTATTTAAGATTTTTATATCTCAATTCAGAATAAATAAAAATTTAGAAATAAGATAAAATCTTTCCATTTAACTCAATATGAAAACTGATCTTAATATTGAAAATTCGCATCTCTATCGTTATTACGTTAAGGCAATTCTAAATATTTAATATAATTGTGTTGAAATCCTTATAAATTGCTGTGTGTATGTATAACAATAACGTCGATCAGTAACAATTATGCTAACACCTAATTAATGATCGATGTAACGCTAATTTAGTTATCTGTATGTAAATATATAGATATATTAAAATGAAAGGAACGTCATACCACAGTAATGTATGTCAACATTTACTAAACAGTACCTTCTTTGGTAAATAATAAAGAATAAATAAGTGTTTAAAATAATAGTTAAAAACTTTAGAATCGCCTACACTCTTAAGAATAAAACTTTAATAAAATCTAGTAAAAAGAGAATTATTATAACATTCCGAAAAATCACAGGAGATATAGTAAATATGTGCTTAATTAATAAGAATTTATAACTATTCTAAATCAAAGCTGTCTACATAAGATTAAAAATTATGATCAAAGGAAGGACTAATAGATAGATATAAGCACATAACTAATTGGCAAAATACTTTTAAAATCGTGACTCAGATCTTGTACTAATATACAAGAATTTTTCTTGTGTAAAATTTTCTATGTAAAATTTAATCTCCAAATTTAATACAATATATCAAGCAAGATATGTATATATATGACTCAAAAAATTATTTCTGAAAATGCTACATAATTTAATGCGTTTTTAAAATTAAATTTCATTTATAAAAACAAAATTCACTACCAAAATGCTGCCAGAGCATTAAACGTGGTATACTGTAATATATATATATATACAAAACTAATTTTTTAATTGAAAGTTGAAAGTCTGGTTACTCAAATACTTTCATTACCAAGCCACTGTTGAAGGAACGTGAGGACCAACTGTAAAATCTTTGTATTGAGAAAAAACACAGATCTGAAAAATATTTCAGATAAGGTAAAGAAATTTAAAATAGTTTTATTCAAACTAACCTTGTCTTTTAGTCGTTGGCAAAGCTGTAATGCTATAGTAAGCAGTACTAAAGCATCATTTAACCATGGAACACTGCATTCTGCTTGTTGTGTTTCATACTTAACATTACCATGTGCATTCTCTAACTGGTATATTGCTAAAACTAGTTTATAACTCTGGATATAAAAACTAATAGCTAAATTTTCTGGAAGATTAGGATTTAATGATTTCTGCAATAAAAAAGTCCAATGATTTAGATATGAAATATGATATAAAGTTTAACTGATATTTAATGCCTTTCAAAAACATTTACATACTTACCATATTACGACTTTTAATGAGATCATCAATGGTCTTTTTTCTAGGAACAATTAAACTTGTACGACTGCGTTGGAGACAACCAAGTATGTTCCCTAATACATGCATAACTTCATCAGATGTCTTAAAAGGATAATGACGATCAACATTATCTATGTGAGCAATGGCTTGTTGTAAATGATTAGCAGCATCTTGAATTTGTTGCAATTTCCAAGGATGTTCTGTTTGTATACTTGTTCTCATGTTAATGTTTTGTTGACGCTGGACTTTAAAATTAACTTCCTACAAACATGTTCTTTTTAGATGATAATATAGTTACAAATTAAAAATACAATTGGCACTTACTGCATTCGTAATACTATCACCAGTTAAAACAGCTACACATTTCACTTGATCGTGTGGTGCAGCAAATACAAATCTATCTGTCTTGTTGTGTTGATCATTGCCAAATAATGCTAATGGAAATCTTTGTGCACATTCCTGTAACATAATGTACAACTAAATAATAATTTCTTCGTTTTATGAATAACTCTAAAAACGTATAACATACCATTAAAATATTTCTTAATTGTGATAGTGATGAATGGACCTCTTCATGAAGCACCCATTCAAACTCCATTTGCTGAAATGTTTTATAATATTTTGTAACATAAATGTAATAATAATAATAATATTTGCCTAATATATCTTTGAACACAATGTCTTACAATTGCACTTATTCCATGTATTACATTCATCTTCAAATGAATATAAATAGTTTTTGTATACCAATTTGGGTTTTGTAACTGCCAAATTGTAAAACTATATTGAGCGAGTATTTTTAAATAAATTAATCAATTATATTGTTAGAGAATAAACATTCTTACGAAGTTTTGAAATAGAACTGTCAAATTATACATTCACGTATGTAAATAAGAAATAAATGTGATATTACAGAATCATTCACTGGATGAAACATAACCACAATGAACTTGTTTCAACAAGAACAGTAAGAGTAAATTGATTAGTTCGACGATAGATAAGGTACACTATCATTGCGAATTGCGAGACGACGAGGTCGCTTAAGTGATTAGATAAACGGTAGGCAAAGGCAAATAGCTTACGAGATTGTGGGCCTCCTCCTTCTCGCAGTCAGCCATTTTCTCTACCGGGTGATGCCTCTACTTGCTTCCACTTTACTGCTACTTGCTTCCACTTGCTTCCTAGTTACTCGAGATGTTGTATTTGCTTAATCTTTAAGCAAATTTCGTAGAATTTCTCCTTTCTTCTTGATATATTTCATTTATTATTCAATCTGCGAACGAACGTTATCATCACGTTAAACGCCGAAGATAAATCTCGTCATCTTTTTCGATGTGAAACAAATAGATAAATCGTTATCGTTATAAAGCATTCTTATATTCTAGTGATCAGTACAAATTATTGAAAAAACTGACCTATCGATGAATAAGCTCGAATATTTATAAATAAAATAGTGATACTTCTCGTACAAAAAAGTAAGAACAAATTTATGATCTAAATAATGTTTCATTAAATGTGTACAAAATTTTTATTTTATATTTATAATATTTTATGTAAAAATTATTATATTATATACAAATTTTGAACTTTTTAAAGAGAAAGAGAAAGAAAGAGGAGGGAGAGAGAGAGAGAGAGAGAAAAAAAGAAAGAAATTGGATTAGATAACATATATATAATATATGTATATATAATGTTATTCTAATGTTATTACGTAATTCTACAAGTCTTAAAGTGTATGTATATATATGAATTTCGTACTTGTAGAATTACGTAAAAATTCAAAGGTTATATTAAATAATTATTTTATTATTTTATTATTAAATTACTTTTTATTTTTAGGGATTTTGCCATTATAAATAATTTATTATTAAAAATGGGTCTTAAGTTATACTACGATTTGTTATCACAGCCAAGTAGAGCGCTTTATATATTTTTAAAAGTGTGTAATATACCATTTGAAGAAAAACTTATAAATATAGGAAAAGGTAAACATCTTAGTCCAGAGTATAAAAAAATTCATCCTTTTCAAAAAGTACCTGCTGTTCAGCACAATGGTTTTAATATGATGGAAAGGTATTATTTTATGACATATATATATTTTTTATTTTTTTACTTTTAATATTTAGAAACTAATAATTTCAATATTATTGATATCTTTTAACAACTTTTCACTTTTAATTTCTGAACCAATATGTAAAATTATTGTAACAAAAATCATTTTAAATACAATATACAAGTTATAAATAATATAAATAAATAATATAAATAATAATATTACAATTTAATTTAGAAGAAATTAGAGTATTAAATTTTTTATAGTGTTGCAATTTTGAGATACATCTGTGAAGAGTTTAAGGTAGCTGATCATTGGTATCCCAAAGACTTGAAACTTCGACTTAGAGTTGATGAGTACCTTGAATGGCAACATTTTAATACAAGACTAGATTGTGCTTCCTATTTTTTTGTGAATGTAAAAAAAAATTCCTTTATTTGTAAATAGAGAATATTAAGTATTTTATGTATTACTGATAAAAATTTTTATCATAGTACTTGAAACCACTATTAACTGGAAAACCAACGAATCCAGAAAGTCTATTACAACATGAAGAGCGTATGATTCAAACACTTGATAAATTAGAAAATGTCTGGTTAAAAGACAAAAATTTTTTAACTGGTTCTGAGATAAGCATTGCTGATATTTTAGGGTCGTGTGAGGTGGAACAAGTTCGTAAGTAATAATATGTGCATTTATTAAGAATAAAATAAATATAAACAACAAATTTGTTAGAAATAAACTATTACCATGATTAATATGTAGAATAACAAAAAATAAAGATTGTGTTATTATATTACAATATAAACCAAGTTTTTAATTGTAGGAATAATAGGATATAATCCACAAGAAAATCGACCTCGCTTAGCTGCATGGATGAAAAGAGTTGCAGATGAAACAAGTCCTTATTATCAGGAAGCCCATGTACTTTTAAACAAACTGGCAAATAAGGTAAAACAAGAGTCATTAAAAAGTAAATTTTAATAGTTACGAATTTTGAATCTATACATCTATACAAAAATTGTTTTTTGCAAATTTTTACAATTTTTTACAACTTTTATATTCTTTTTTTACAAAATGATATTCTCATTCATAATGTTTAAAAAAAATCTGTGATTTAAAAAGAATCGACTTCGTATTTTGATCAATTGAAAGAAAAGTGATTATTCAAGGCATATTTTTTTTATTAAATATATATTAGGCACATATGTAAATGTAGTAGTGCTTTATCATATTGTGTGTATGATATGAAGTAACATACCAGTCTTATTGCATAAAAAGTTATATTATAAAATGTTGAACATTTTTCTTGTTATTACTGTTATTACTATATTACTTTTATATTACTATGTTATTATGTAATATTATATTTCAAAACTGGGTTGACTTTTGTATGAAAAGATTATACAAAAATATCTTTTATATTAATTATTTATAATCCACATAAAATATATTTTGTGCATCAAAGCGATGTTTTGAATTTCATGATACTCTTAGAATGATTAATTTTAAATGACCTTTTTTAATTTTGGCATTTTCTTTGGACATCTTTGTACGTGAATATCCCAATGTTTCTCTTGGCACCGTTCATCACAATAAAAAGCCATTTCACATCCTAAACATTTAAATTTTGGTCCTATAATACCACAATTTGAGCATGTGAAATTATGCAAGCTGTTCGGACTGCGATTCACTTTACCTAGATGGGGCGTCTCGCAATTTCTAATTTCCGTTACTGGTACGTTTTTCGATAATTGTGCGTACGAAGAAATTACTGGCATTCGATATTGCGCCGCTGAAACAATAGACGTCATCGATCGCCCATCATTGCCAATAACTGAATTTGTCGGCACAAAATTATCCGTAGTTTTCACAAGTGCCAGTCGATCGAATAAAAAATTTTGCATTTGTTGATACTTGGTGTTCTCGTGGCTTTCCTCATTGAAATTATTGTCTTGTGTTTGATTGGTTACGTTACGATTAATAATTGATTTCGTAGCGCCCGGTACGTGAGATGGTTCTCTATCAATAACGTTTGGAATACTTGCGGACGATAAGGCTTCCGTTTCCGACCTGTTGTAAGTCAGCGTATCTCGTTGCCGATCAAAGGAAGCAGCAGCGACAACAGCAGCGGCTGCTGCTGCAGCAACAACATCCGGTATCATTCTGTTCTGAGAGAACTGATTATTTGTTGGATAGCTAATTAAAGGATTACGAGGCAGAGCCTGATGTGAAGTAGATAAAGACGGCGGTGATAGGAACAACGACGGTAAACAGGTTGTTGCACCTGCAATGTTGTTGTTGGTAGTGTTTCCACGAAGACGATCAAACTCCAAATTACTCGGATGCTGCAGAGTGCTCGTCGACGGCGAGGGATACCTCACAATTGGATCTTGTAGTAAAGGAAAACGTTTATCTGTATGTTGCATGGATCGTAGGCTTTCTTGCGTGGGAAAATGAAGTGGCAAGGAACCGGTATGTAACCGTGGGTGATACGGATAAGGACCGTAAGGGTAAATTGCTGGATGATAATTTAAGGCAGCACCGTTGTAAGGATCAATCTGTAATTTAAAAAAGTTGTATGATTGTACTTTATAAATTTATATAATATTATATATTTCAATTATTATATAATATTACATATTTTAATTATTATATAAATATTATACAATATTATATATTTTAATTATTATATAATATTACTTATTTATATAATAAATTTATAATATATTATTATATAATATTACATATTTTAATTCTTATATAAATATAATATATATTATATATTTTATATAATATTTTATATTTAATCTATATTATATATAATATTTTATAATATTTTAAATATAATATATATTATATATTTTAATTATTATATAATATTACATATTTATATAATAAATTTATATAATATATTTAGTAACGCAATAAATGTGTTACATAAATATTTGGATTTAATTAATACATTCTCTGCGAAAATTAGGTAATTACATATAGACTGTTAATTAGTTTCAATTTTTGTCGAAATGTAAGAAAGAAAGGGAAAGATTAAGTTACACTTGCTGTTACTTACAGCGTAATTATTTGGATAAAATTGTGTCATGGGAAGTGGTGGACAAATGCCCGGTCGCAAAGGAGGAACTGCTGCAACAGGTTGCGAAAGAGTCACGGATGACGCGACGTGTTGCAGTTGCTGTTGCTGATGATGATATTGCCATTTCTCTGTACCACGTTGGGGTGTTGCATTCATTATATGATTGATATTAGATCCAATAATCTTTGGTTTCTCAGTTCCAGGAATTTGCTACGACATATCATAAAATCATTCGAGGTATGTATCTCGAAGAGAAAGGAAATCGAAAAATTCTGTTAAAGGCATTGCTCTTACACGTGTGACATTTTCTGTCGGTACCAGCGGCACGTTTTCTGCGACGTGTAATTTGGGCTTGGCCATCGAGGATTGCTTTTTCGACATTCGAGCCAACCAGTTGCCAAGTGTAGGAAATTGTTCGGTTATAGAATGATTCCCACTGTTCCTCTGCACAGAATCGCTCGAAATTTCTTCTCCTTTATAGTTCTGCCGCAATCTGTCGTTCGTACGTGTGCGGTCGAATGAAACGTCGAAATATACAGACAACGAAATATATCAATTTTTTAATTCACTTACGTGAATTGTTCCTGATTCAACATCGTTCGTAGAGGATTAAATTGGTTTGATTGACCGGAACTTGACGAAACCTGAAACCAAGTATACCGCAAAATAATATTAGAAACAAAGATATATTCGAATTACTGAACTGTCACAACATATTTACACAAACCTTCTGCGCGTTCATGCTGTTCTCGTGAGCTGCTTTCGCGAACGACATCTCCTCCTGATTGGATCTGTAAAAGTTAGATTGCACCGTCTGCTCTCTCAACGGAGGAAGCTGCTTGCCAGGTATCGACTCGAACGTTTCGTTCTTTTGAATAGTCGTTGACACCTCCACGCCATCAGTCGCGGAACTTATTACCGACTCGGCATCGGCAAATCCAGGACGCTTGATCTTATCCGGTTCTTGGATCATAAATTGACGCTGACTGCGAGGGAACTCGTCGATCGGTTTGCTCTTCTCATTGCTCTTCTCCCGTGCCGCGCGCACGTTGTTCTCTGGCAATTGAGCAATCTTGTTCGAGTAATTGAAATCTCTCTTGTTCGCACCGAAGTCGGAACTTTCCACGTCGACATGAAGCACAGGCGTGGCGCGTGCGTGTTTCTCGATATCTGGAGGTCCTTTGTTCACAGAATCGGTCAAATTCCCAGCAAGCGGATCCGTAGGGAACGTCGGTTTCATCAGTTCTTCGTTCACCGGCCAAACTTTCCTCTCGGCGGCTTGCAACTCCTCTTCCACCGAGTCCTGACTCGACGAGATCGTCAGGCATAGTGGTAAAATTGGCGGGCTGTTTCGAACCTCCTCCGGCAGAATGATATCTAGAGACGATCGTGGCGACAATTTAGGCGGCTCGGGTGACGACACCGGAGAACTGTCATTCGTTTGGAAATCTGTTTTCCTTTTGTTTAAGCTTACGCGCGGATAGTTGTTATCAGAGGGGTTCGTGCTATCGTTATTTACATCGATCGCTTCTTTAGAGATCGAGAGGGCTGCGGACAATTTGTTATGTAATTTCGACAGGTTCTCTATTTGCTTTTCGTAACGGTTCATCACTTGCCTCAGTCTGGTACTCTCCTGAGAGTTCAAGTCGCTCGCCATTTCTTTGGCTAGATCCATAGCTTTGCCCCGTAATTCGCGAAGCTTTTGCTTCAATCGGTTTCGCCGATACTTCAGCTTGAAGCTGTCGGTGTTCAACGCGGTGAAGTCCGCGTCCTTTTCGTACAGTATGTCGTCCCAGTTGCCGGCACTCAGACTGAACGGCGACTGAGACGTTCCGTCCGTGATGATCCTGTAGTTCGACTCGTGTTCCACTCTCGTGACGATTTGAGAGTCGTTGTACCCCTCTGTTTCTGTCACCAATCAACAACAAAAATAACGTTAACAAATAAAATCAGAGGATCATTCGACGTTTGACTGTGAACAAAATGATAATTCGCAAAGAATCGGAAGATCGTTTTTCACCTACCAAACAACGAATGCTATTACTTTACAAACACTGTTACTCCCATAAACGTACAAAAATCTCGACGTTGGAACGTCCGATAAATAAAACAAATACTGTTTGCTTTTTATCGTTACCCGTATGGAGGACCTTCTTCAGTTTCAGCGGTGGTACCAACTTGTTCCCGCTTCTCTCGTCCTCTTTCGTCGTCGAGGCAGCTCTCACGCACTTCTCCGTGCAAAGGTTCTGTATGCCCTCGGTCGCGTTCGAGCCACAGAAGTTTGTCAGGAACTCCTTGATCGAGCCCTCCGCGCATTTCCCTTTGCTCTGGCTGCCATTTGCTTCCTGCTGCGATTTCTTCTTCTTCCTGTTCTCTTTCGCGTTGTTCTTCTCGCTCTGTTCCGCGTCGTTGTTGCCCCTCCTCTTTATCGCGCTGAGGCTCTCGACGTTCGAGATTTGCGGGACGACGTAATTCATCGCGTCCTTCGTCGACGACATCCGCGCCTCGGGATCAACGTCCTTTTCGATCAACTCCTCGTTCGGCAACGCGCCGATCGATTTCATTGATTCTACGTCCGCAGTGGTTCTGGCCGGTTGGACCAGAACGGCTGACGAATCTTTTCGAAAGAATCTCGTCGGTATTGATGGTGCCGGGAGTATAGGTAACGAACGATTCGGTTGCACCGGGATCAAACACGGTCCACGATCTCGCAAGGCGGTTGCTAAACTGCCGTTTCCATTGCAACTTAATTTGCTCGGATTATCAGCTATTACGATTCGAGGTTCTGGAATGCAGTGACAAATTTTGTACAGAGAGGACAACATTTGGTTTGATTAATTGTGTTCCGACGGCTTATGGAAAATTGCTCGGCCACGTGCCACGTTTGTGACATAAAGTTTAGGGCATACATACGTCGTGATAACTCGATAACTGTGAAAACGTGTGACATAAAGTGGGAGGGTAAATTGAAAAGTGAATTTCGAATGGAGGAACGTTTTTCGATTTCGAGCACGCCACGCGAGAATAACCAAAAGAATAACCAAAACGAGCAATGATTTATTGGTGAGCGTTCCATGATCAGTTTGCGTTGCGAGGGAAGACACTTGTCCATCGATTTTTACGTAAAGGGAAGACGTAACTTGGCTGTTCATTCTCACGAATTCTACGAACTAGAAATTGTGCCCGTTCGTTTAAAAGAGGGGGAAAAAAATGTACACCTGTGTATTTTGATTTGATTGACGCGCAAGATAATTAATTCTCCATCGAACAAAATTCAGAAATTTTTCATGTGTTTTGTTACAAAAACTTTACACGCGACAATAAGTACATATTTTTTCTTTAGCAAGTGCCTCTCGTTGAAAAAAAGAAAGAAAAAAAAAGTACACCTGTATATTTTGATTTGATTGACGCGCAAGATAATTAATTCTTCATCGAATAAAATTCAGAAATTTTTCATGTGTTTTGTTACAAAAACTTTACACGCGACAATAAGTACATATTTTTTCTTTAGCAAGTGCCTCTCGTTGAAAAAAAGAAAGAAAAAAAAAGTACACCTGTATATTTTGATTTGATTGACGCGCAAGATAATTAATTCTTCATCGAATAAAATTCAGAAATTTTTCATGTGTTTTGTTACAAAAACTTTACACGCGACAATAAGTACATATTTTTTCTTTAGCAAGTGCCTCTCGTTGAAAAAAAGAAAGAAAAAAAAAGTACACCTGTATATTTTGATTTGATTGACGCGCAAGATAATTAATTCTTCATCGAATAAAATTCAGAAATTTTTCATGTGTTTTGTTACAAAAACTTTACACGCGACAATAAGTACATATTTTTTCTTTAGCAAGTGCCTCTCGTTGAAAGAAAGAAAGAAAGAAAAAAAGTACACCTGTGTATTTTGATTTGATTGACGCGCAAGATAATTAATTCTCCATCGAACAAAATTCAGAAATTTTTCATGTGTTTTGTTACAAAAACTTTACACGCGATAATAAGTACATATTTCTTCTTTAGCAAGTGCTTCTCGTTGAAAAAAAGAAAGAGAAAAAAAATACGCCTGTGTATTTTGATTTGATTAACGCGCAAGATAATTAATTCTCCATCGAACAAAATTCATAAATTTTTCATGTGTTTTGTTACAAAAACTTTACACGCGACAATAAGTACATATTTCTTCTTTAGCAAGTGCCTCTCGTTGAAAAAAAGAAAGAAAAAAAAAGTACACCTGTGTATTTTGATTTGATTGACGCGCAAGATAATTAATTCTCCATCGAACAAAATTCAGAAATTTTTCATGTGTTTTGTTACAAAAACTTTACACGCGACAATAAGTACATATTTTTTCTTTAGCAAGTGCCTCTCGTTGAAAGAAAGAAAGAAAAAAAAGGGGGATACTCGAACTAAAAGACAAATTAAAGTGCCGTAAAATAATCTTTAATCGGATAATATACCGCTTATACCTAATACAATATTCGTAGCGCGATTCTCCCCTTCCGCTTCGTTAACCGTGTCCGTCTTTACGTCACAGAATCGTTTCAATATCGTTTGTTTCCACGTGTTTTTCTCATCGGCTGTCAAGTCAACGAAAATAGGCTTCTGTTGATCGCGCGTGGCGGAGATCACGCTCTCCTCTTCCTCCACACCCGGAGTGCATTCGAAATTATCCTCGTCGATCTTCTTCTTCTTCTTCGAGACCTCCTCCTCGTTCCCTCTCAAACGTTCTTCGTACGATTTCCGACTTTCTCGAACCTCGTCGGAGCTGCTTATCAAACATACATTCTGCTCCTCCTCGAAACTCGCCGCATTCCCCTCGCAATACAAATGTTGCACGCGGCAGCCATCTTTCTCTTCCTTGTCGTGCAGCTTGCTCGAGGATTCGTGAAGAAACGACAAGCTTGGATCGCCAGAAGAATCTTTGATCTTCTTGTAAATAATACTGTCGCGAGATATCATTACCTTCGGCCAGCTAGCCTTCGTGAATAATTTAAACGTCGGCTTCTGCTTCTTCGATTTTCCTCTCGGTTTTTTCCGCGAATCATTCGATTTGCAATTACCAAGTTCTTTCATTTTTTTTCTCTCTCTATCTCTTTCTCTCTCTCTCTCTCTCTCTTTTCTGACGTAAGTCGTAGGAGGTAGTATGTAATGATTTTGTTCGGAGATAGCGCGAGAAGCGAAGTAGGTTCTTCGCGCTTTTATCGATTCGTGTCGATGAAAGATTAAAATTGGCAGCTGCTTTTTTTTTCTTTTTTTTTTTTTTTTCAAAGATATTTCGCGCTTGGTTCTTCGATCATGAATATATTCTTAAAACATATTCTTAAAACATAGTACGTTCGGAAGTTACAAGACGTTGAACTTGAACCGCGACAGAAACGATAAAAATGTTCGAAATGAAAGTTCTTTTTTTTTTACCGAAGCTAGCGCGATTTATATTTCATGTGAATCGCATCCACTTTCTTACGTCTGGTGCACGACTCAGGATGCATCGTGAAACTTTTATCGAGTAATATTAGCGAAATGTATAAGGTATTATATTTCGATTTCCCTTCTGTCAAATGTCACGAAGTTCTCATGTTTCTGTGCGTCATTTCTGTGCCAAATTGTTCTGTATATATTCGAATTAAATATAGAAATTACGCATTTTTTTTCTTCGTACCCTTATACAGACACAAAACACAAAACAGATTCGAGCGAATTCGATTTCACTTCGTGAAAAGTATATTTCTGCGAGGGTAATTTCTAAAGAGAAAATGCGAAGCACTCTTGGAAATATTATCGAGCGTAAAATATAGATCTTTGTGAAAAGAAAGAAAAATATAAAAATAATTTTTAAAAGGCACGAAGATACTCTTCTGTCTTTACGCGAGACGAATTAGTTTTCCCTTTGGCACGTTCGGAGCAAAATCGCTTTATTATACATATTAAAATGTCGTTGTTTCAATGTAATATAATAGTATTACATTTTCAGCACATGCTTAATTCTTCGTAAAAACTGAGCACGTGGTGATATTTTACTCGGTCTTTCACTTCGTCAAGTTCTTGTACGATCAATCATGATTAGGCAGCGTTAAGCAATTGTTAAATATCATATATATTTCCCTTTTATCGATATGCAGATATCTTTTTTATAAACACGCACGCACCAACATTGTCACAATAAGAAACGATGCCATTTGCGGGTCACAAAGTGTCTTCCACTGTCTTCGTTCACGTTCAATAAAATTACTATTTAAAAACAAAAAAAGAAGACTGTACGTGACATAATTCGCCGTATTTGAAAAAAGAAATATTCAAATTCAAGAAACGAGAAATAAAAAACCGAGCATAATGTGAAGAGTAGTCTCGCGTAGTCTTATATATCTCCCGAAGTCTCGATAAGTACAAAAAAAAAAAAAAGAAAAGAAACTCTTTCGTCAATTCTTTTGCCCGGAATTCCGTGAAAAACTAAACGAAGAGAAGCAGCGATGATGTTGCGTGTGTTTGAGTGCACGTGCAATGATATCCTCTTTGGAGAAACTGAAAATAAACGAGCAAACGATTGAAAATCATTGGAAATCGAAATCGAGAATTTCGTGCGAAATGTGGAGAATTTCGAAAATTAAAGAAAAAACAGTCGTTGAATGTTCTTTTTTTTTTTTTTTCTTTTTGGTCGAGAGTGAAACCGAACTACTCCGGCTGGCACATGTCGCAAAGTGTATGGACGTCGAGACAGTCGTCGCGCGAAAAGTGAAGCCAGAAACCAAGTAATCTTACACATACGCTCGTATTCCCACTTCTAGAAAAGTTCTTATTAGGGAAACCCTTCGCAATTGGCCGACTAGGACGCAGTCGTTTGGCGCAGCTCGGGAATACAATGTTTATGCCGGCGAGATATGTAAGAGAGAGGATAATAAATTCATTTGTGACGTTACTTCTGAAACTCTTTTTCTTCCATGATATGCCACGTTATCTTTTCCCCGTCGCTTCGATTGGAGAGGTTGAAATGCAATGGACACGCTGGTAATTACAGATCCTTCTTCTTTTTTTCCTTTCTCCCTCTCGTACGTTAAGGAATACACTTAAGGGGAAAGATTTAGGATGATATGTGTTTTAAACGTGAATATATGCTACAGTACGTACCGCATTATGAAATAATTAAGATTTTTTTTTTTTCTTTACTACTAGCTTACTAGAGGAGAATGAATCTTGATTCTCCGACAATTATTCGTCACAATGAATGTGTGAAGCTCTGCCTCTCCCACTCGAAATTATTTTTCACAAGGTAAATCTGCTGCCTATGATGAAGAAGAAAGTATGTTTTTCAAAGAACTGTTACGGTATTTAAAAACTTTTACAAAGACTTTTCAAGATTAAAAGATTAACAAATAATTGCTACTTTACCTTACTCGCTACGTATAGTCTACCTATTATATTATTGTTGCTATTGTCCAATTGCTGCAATTAACATACGTCTAAGCTAATGAGATTCTGCAGGTTAACTAAAAAGGTTTTGTCATTTTGTTTTTAATGCAAAATTTCCTAGACAGCGGTGCAGCGGTGTCTCGACACGGCGATCCTTTGTTAAATTTAACTACTGTGTGTGAAATGGTCATTGCACGTTGGATAATATCGATCGACTTTTTCATTCTTCAGACGCTTAAATGTAAAAGTTCCCCTTGCAAAATCGATTCGCCGAATAATCGGTGCATTGTATATTTCCCACGAGAAACTCATCGGAGGACAGTTATTACCAGCTCTATAAAACATGAGAATGGTTTCCTTTTAAAACTTTTAGAAAACATTTTAAAAAAGAAAGGCACGAAAGAGAAGCAAAAATTCAATGCTACCTTTTCGGAACGCCCTCGGACGTATAATATAATACTTGCGCCCGCGTAAATGACGTTTTTCGAGTAAAAATCTCTGCTTTGAGTCACATTGGCATTAAAATTATCTTTCTTCCATGAGTCATCCTTATTGCATTCGTTCAATATTTATAATAAATATATAAATAATATATATTATTATAATATTATATATAATATTATATAAATTTACAATAAAGTTATTGTCAATTGTCATTATACCCGTTTAAAATTATTGTTTGTCACTGCAGTGAAAACTAAAAATAGCAACGAATAGTGTTCCCTTTACTAAGAGGTTGATTTTTTTTCTTTCTTTTTCAAAAGTTTCAAACGGGGCTGCAATGGCCAGAGAGCGTTTCAAACCTAATAAACTAAGAATATTCGTTAAATATTCGTTTCGAATATTCTTACAAAATATAGATTGTATATTTTGCTTGCAATATGAATACTTAACAAACGAAACGCAGCCACATGTGCGTTTTCCCACCTGAAGAAAGTCGACAACGTAGGGAAACTCGGCAACGAACACGTACACAAACAAAAAGGGGTGAATCACCCTAACGTTCTGTTCCGGCCGGTTCTTCTTTTTCGCTAAAAATTAATAAAATGAAATCAAATCAAATATGTTCGGCAACGTCTGCTCAAACAGAATATGTTTCGATGAAACGTAGAGTATCATTACCAATCAGTAAATATAGTACAAGTGTGTTACGCAAGTTCCAACATTTTAGTTATTATGTTTCAGTTATTTAATAAATATTTAATAAATATTTAAACTTGATCGATCAATAGCTGTGATATTGACACTCTGACATTGAAAAATGAATTGAAATGATGACGCCCGGCGACATTAAGAACAATTTTGGAAAGAAATTCTGTCATGCAACATGCAACTGATATATGGTTGCCGGATTATTATTGACCAAACAAATGACGAAATCGCGGGTTACCGCTTGTAAATAATGAACAAACTTATACCTCATCAGTCCTCGACGTCAATTCTTCCTGGGTTAATTTTGCCCTATTTTTGTCTCGTCGGCATTCGCGGCAGTAATGAGAATATCTTGCGTTCGTTGAAGTAAATCATTGAAATTCTTCAGATCGATGCCTCGTTATAACAATCATTTGTTCAATGTGAAGAAAATCATTTGGTTAAAAATATAGCCTTTGCAGATTGATTAATCGAAAGGAACGAAACGATTGATTGAAGAATACATGAAACGTTGTTTGGAAAGAAAATAAAACCTTGGAAAGTGTGAAATGGTGGTGCAAAGAGCGAGGGATAATACGTCAAAGGCAAACACGATTTGTTATGGATCACAATCGTCTTACAATCGAAAAGAAACCAAACTCAAAGATGTTTGCTCGAGTAAACAACAGAACGCTTGTGTTCGAACCGCCGAGCATAAATCTGACCAACATCGTTATTCGTGCAATGAAAAGGAGGTAATTTTGTATTTTTATACTTTGAAACAAAGAAAAAAAAAAAGGGCGTATCTTGATATTTTTAATTAAGCACATTGTTAATTAATTAATACACAAATAATCCTATCTGTAGTGATCGTACGTTAAATCATTTAGTCAGTCAAAAGGATAGGCAAAGGTAGACCAAAAATGCAACTTAGCGGGAAGAAGATCGCGAAGAAGAGAATGCTGCATCCAAAAATTTTAACGAAAGAAGAGTACGAGGAATTTCGAAAGTACAGCTCCATGACGAAGGAAGAACGAGAGGCAGCACTTAAAGCAGAGGAGGAGGAGAGGCAGAGACTTACAAAGGAGAGCACAGAGAGAAAAGAGGAGTTTCGTAGATTAGATCAAGAAAGGCCTCGGGAGAAGTGTCCGCAATTGATCGAAATAGAAGAGGAAGCTAGGAAAAGGGCGAAACATGTGCTCGAAAGAGCAGAGAATATGAAACTTGAACGAGAGGAGGAAATTCAAAAGTGCAACAGAATCATTTTAGAGACTAAATGTCGTGCAATCAGAGATGCCCAGGTAATGCACGATTTCAAGTAACAAATATTCAAATAAAATTTTGGTTTCAACATTTTCATCTGAATCTCGTAATTTTCTTCTTTTTTTTTACAGATAGCAGAGAAGAGGCTGATTGAACTCGAATTGGAAGAAGAAGAGAAACGTCTCAATGATATGATGGAGAATGAAAGAAGATGGGCAATCAAAGAAGAGATTAAAAAGGAACAGGACGAAGCGGTGAAGAGGCAAAAATTTGCCAACAGTCTCATGGATCAAATAAAGGAAAACGAAGAAAACAGGACGCTGGAGTTTGAAAGGAAGCAAGAGGAGAGTCGGTTAATTAATTTAAGCAACATCAATTGGCAACAGGAAGAAATTGCAAAATTGCGAAGCAAAGAATCTGAAAATGCACTAGTACGGCAACAAATTGCTGATGGAAACGAACAATTGAAACACTTTAAGGCTATGGAGGAGCAGGAAAATAAAATCATTGATCTTAGGTGGAATTTGTTGCATTATTAAATTATTGAATTTTTGATCGATCATTAGCAATAATATTTTACAGGATACAAGAGTATCAACGATATAAGGCAGAGAGGGAAGCGAAATTGGCAGAAGAGCGAAATTTGAAAAAATTAGAAAAAGAAAAACTCAAAGCAACTGTTGCAACGCAGACGTTGCAAGCAAGAGGTCTACAGGTTCATTCTTTTTTCATCTATTTTTCCAGTTTATATTACAATTATAATTTCTGGTTTAATACCCAACTTTGAATTTATCTTTTATTTGTATCACTTTATTACATTGCGCATTATAAATTTTGTTATACATTATTTACAAATAAGAATAGACAGATAATTGTACGTTTCGCACTTATATTTTGATAATGACATGTTCCATCCTTGTAGGAACGAATCGATGACTTGAGCGCTGCACGAATTCAAGAAGAAGTAGAACGACAATGGAGACAAAAAGAAAAAGAGGAAGCTCTGAAAAGAGCGGAGGCTCAGAAATTGCTTATGGAAGAAAGGAAGAAACAAATAAATAACAAACGAGTAATGGAGGCAATTGAACTAGAACGTGAGAGACGTGAATTCGAAAAAATTGTACGTGTTCAAAGGGAGGCTTTCTGTCGAGAACAAAAAGAACTTGAAAAGAAACAGCGGCAAGCGTTAATTCATAGGAGCGAAATATTAAAACAGGTTTGTTTTCAAAATTAGATTATACACTTTTCAACTTACTATTATTCTTTTGATAATATTACAGAATTACTCTATAACTATCATTTTCATTAGGTCAATGAAAAAGAAAGAGAACGTATCGAAGCAAGGCAAAAGATGTTCGATGAGGGTTTAGCAATTCGCACAGAAGCCGCTATACGTAAGAAAAAGCTATGTGATGCAATAGAGAGGAAATGTGAGGAAATGAAAAGAAATAGAGTGCCTCAAATATACATCAATGAAGTAAAACGAATGATCAGTAATATACAATAAAGTCGCCTATCCACTCTATCTATTCATCATTCATAATATATCCTGCATAAATAAATGACACTTACATCTATAAAAATCACAGAAAACAAAGTTCATTAAATACCATCTCTAAATATTACTTCCATAACATAACAACATTCGGATCACGTTCAACAATATCTTCGATTTGTGCAGCTGATTGACCTGTACTGCAACAAATTTCGTCAAGGCTATATGTTCCTGTAAAATACTTATAAACTGGATTGTTTTTTATTTCCTCATTGTAAGGCGATCCTGGTAAATATATCGGGTACTGCAAATTACAAAAAGTTTATAAAAATTAAAAATAAAATGATTCTAAAAAGAAATAAAGCTTTTACAATAGATTTGACAACCTTATATACCCGACGAATAAGGCCTTCAATAAGGCCAAATTGTACCAAACGCCTTTCGTTAATTCTTAAATTCTGAGGATTAAGACGTTGACATAAGTCTCTCATGCTGTTGCCATGTGTCATACTTGCATACATTCGAAATATGTCTCTAAGATACGCAGGTTGTCTAGCTAAAAATTAGTCATTTGTAGAATACTTTCCAATTATTACAAGTTCTTACATCGAAAATATAAAACTTACGGAATTTTGAAGCATATGCTATACACCGTTCTTGTAATTTTGTATTTTCGGTCAATTCTTTTAATTTAGAAGTTGCAGCATATACGTTACTGTATTGAAATATTGGAATCAAAGTTACAACACCATAATAACTGAAAGCAATCAATACAGTAGAAATTATATCTTCAAAATGAAATTTTATTTTTGTATACTTACATAAGATTTTGCACGCAATTTTTAACTAGATTATTCTCCACATCTGCTTCAGCTGCTATTCGCGCAACATGATTAAATCCATCAATGTATGGCAATACTTGTTGGGTAGTTAAATCCCATTGATCCATTTGAAATACTTCACGGCCCTCCAAAAATATTGGTACCTGATGATCAAGAACTGGTTTCGGCTCAGGTGCTAACTTTATGACTTTCAAGTGGGACGTCATGGTCCCCTCTATTAAAATATTATGTTTTACATCTTTAATATCTATGTACAAAGTTATTATTTATAGAATGTGTTTACCTGTTAATGTACACATCTTGTGCAAGTTCAAATCCTGCATTACCTGTTGCAACATTTCTGCTAATCTTGTTTTATCCTCAGAGGCAGATAAAAAACAATTTTCTACCTCAAGAGCCATCTGAAATGTTAAATTAAATTTAATAAAAAATATTGATAAAACAACTATCATCAATATGTGTGCAACTTCTTACTAAAAAATCAGACATCTTTTTCACAACAGGTTCATAATGTACAGTACGAGCTTTTGCTTCACATACAAAACATAAGTTAAAATAAAAGGCATTTCTTGCATATTTCTTGTTGTCAATCTTTACTGGAAATCCTAGGATTTTATAATCCTTTAATGTTCTGCACAAAATAAACAGTCTTAGTGAACCAGTCCAAAAAAAATTCTTAAATTCTTGTATCTTCTTATTTACACTTACACTGTGATAGTACTACGTTGTAACTTTGCTTTTGGTATAATATAAACACTGACAGTATCAAAAATATCTTTTGAAATAAAATTATCTGGAACCTGGTAAAAGATATATGTCATTATAGAAAGTGTTTTTAAATTACATACAAAAGCATTCATAATGAGGAAAAATAAAATAATATTTAATACAAAATATATATAACATTTACCAACCTGACAAGTAATCATTGGACCTACAATAGGGTGAAATTCCGAAAAAAATATACATTGAATAGGATCTTCTTGCCCTTTGTCTTTTGTATTCTCCGCTACTGATGTCATTTTCAGTAACCTGCAAAAATATACATACATATGTATAAAATATATTATTAAAATATGTTCAGGTGCATATACTAATTACCATACGCTATTAAGAAGAGCTTAATTTACTTATTGTTTTACAATTTTAAACAAATTAGCAAAAAATTTTCATATCGAAATAGTCAAAGTTACAATATCAACCAATAATACTTCAGATTCAATTCTTATTTAAGTATGTACACATATAAAAATTTTCATATGTATGTAATTACTTGATGAAATGTTACAAAATCGAAAAAGTTTCTGTATTTGCTCCGAATCTCCATTTGCCTTATACAAATGAAAAATTTATCTTATTTTTTACTCATAAAGTCGTTATTAATTAAATATGTATTAACCGTAACGAATACCTTTAAACTCGTTTAACATGATAAAAAAATGTTTAAAAATTCATACAATGACATTTTGAATTGCAATTTTTGAAAACCAAAGTACTACATAGATATGCGTCACAATATATTTCTATATATGTACATACATTTACAAGAGAAAACATGTTTACACCATAAAGGAAAACAAGAATATAAATAAATGTAGGAGTATAGAAAAATATTTCTTTACACAAACAATGGGTTTAAATAATGAGAGTAATGTAAATAAATGAGCAAATGCAGAAAGGATGTAAGAGAATAAAAGTAGGAAAGCTAACGATAAAAATATGTAATGTATATTAGAAAGGAAAAAAGATAGTCAAGTATGAGGGGGAAACATCATGAGAAATAAAGAGAGAGGGAAAGAGAAAGCAATTCAATGAATAAGTAAGAACAAGTGCCTGTGTAACAAAGAGAGGAAGAATATTTAACCTTTTTTGTTATAATATTGGTATGTAATTTCATCAACATTTTATTAAGAATTTATACTAAGTTTTTGTCACAATTATATTTACATTATATTAATAGTAACTCTTTTAGTTATACACATATTGTAATCTGTAACCATACCTTGTGTGTGTGTATATATATATATATGTACGTATGTATTTACATTTTTTATGTACAATATGTTTACATTATTTCTATATTAACAATATAATAGTGTTTTTTGTAATTTTGTAAAGGCTAAGGTGTAATACTGTAAATATATGTTTAGAATTTTCATATCATAACAAAATAAATTTTATTCAGTTCATAAAAAATTAATTAAGGTTGTTTATTTATATCTTAGAATTATTAGTACTATTATAAAATATATCTAAATGATACTTATCAAACTTTGGATCTTTTAATACAATATGTTTCCAATGTAAAATTTCAGCTATTAAAATCATGAATGCTAATAGGTATCCAACTATAATTGCAATAAATGCACCTTGTAACTTATGAAGATTAACCAATGCTTTCTCTGATTCAGCTTCTTGTCGTATTTCCATGATTTTTGACCATTCCATGACATCACTTAACCATTTTTCAACTAATCCAATTTCTATTATACGCCTTATCTAAGAATATATATTGTGTAAGTTAAATTACTGCTAAATAACCTTTGATAGTTTTACAGTAATATATAAAAAAATAATACGTACTAAAGTGTCAACTTTTGGTTTCAATGGTGAATTTTTTTCTAAACCAAGGGCTATTGGCATATTTATAACACATTCCTGCATGATGTGCAAATTATGTTTTGATGATATATCTTCTGTAGTTTTATTTTCTTTTTTTTCTTTCTCTAATATTTGTCTCTTCACACGGGCATGTCGAAGCAAATAGGAATTTTCATAATAACCAAAAGAACCATTTGCAACTTTTTCAATAGCTTCATCTTCTTGTTCAATTAATTGGAATTTGTTGCCAATTTTTTGGCTACTAAGATCTGATGACATTGAAAAAAAATTTTTACTTTCTTTATTCCATCCTCCAACTCCTATAGAACTTTTTGCCAATTGTTCCAGTGTATCAATAGTAACTCTGTATTCAAATTGAAATATAAATAACATATAGTGTACTAAAATATTTTGTTAAAATAATTTTTACCTGGCAACTGGATTTGCTAGAGTTGCAGTCATGCTAGCTCGATAAGCAACTGTTACTAAAATGCTATAAATCCACCACCACCCAATTAATACTCTCACAGCCCAAGGGCTTGGCAAGCTTGGCAATGAAACTTGAAACAGCATACTATAAGTATATAAAATACTATTTCCTATTTCGGTAAATAGATATAATCCTTTTAGTTCGTTCTTCATTGATATGTTTTGAAAATGCATTTGATTTTTATAGAAACTGATATGTCTTTTATATGATAATGACAAAAAATAAAATATAGCACTTCCTAAAATTAAAGTAAGGACAAGAGCAATCCAAGTATAAAGTCTGAAATACAAAATATATATTTATATATGTTATCTATTAATCAATTAATTAATTTTTTCATTTTATACTTACTTGAATGGAAGTATTAGAAGCTTCCATGAATTTTCAGTTAAAGATTCTGGTGTCAAAAATGTAAGACATTCAGTATTATATGGGATAGTAAGGTCAAAATAATTCAAATGGTGTAATGTATAATACAAATCACCCAAATAAAATGCAGCCTTTCCTTGTATAGCTTCACTTACTAGTCCAACATGAGTTTGATTATCTTCTTCAATTCCCCATTTCTCAGAAGTAATATTATCAGGCATATAATATTTTGGTTTAAAATTCATTGCTTTTGATATGATCTGTATTAGCTAGAAGATATGAAATAATATAAATATAAAGCATTAAAAATTTATTTATATATAGCACATACTTCAAATTCTATTCCAAGACCTTCTATCTTGTCATCTGGTTGTTTGTTATAATATATCCTTGATTTTTCTGTCACTGCTGGAATATGCTCAAACACGGCAATTCTAAAACATATATCAACTTTTTATATTCTATTATTTTTTTAAAGTAATAGTTATAATTATAGCATTTTAATTTTTTCTACAAACTGCAAATGCTTTTTTTGTAAGTTGGTGATTTTCTCTGTAAAATGATTGGTACCATAACGCCATTTGCCTTTGTACCAAGTATCTATACACTTTGTTGCAATAGATTTTCTTCTGTGAGAAGGGAAATAAATTGTATCCAAATTAATTTTTTCTTTGGAAACTTTTCCACCCGAACGATGCTTATATTCATTGTATTGGCGAATAAAAACCACATTAATTATTCTATTCCAAAGATAATGCAGGTATGGTTGAAATAAACGAGAATCATATATCAATAGAAACAATCCACGCGTATTAATGAGACGTTCTCTGAAAATAAAAAGTCAGATTTAGTATTTCAAATACGAAATTTATTGATAAAACATTACTAGTATAAATACAAATATAAAATGTAAAACATTGGTATGAATACATTCAAAACTTTATAGTCATCTACATAAATTGTTTAAAACATACAGTGCCTGGAATAATTATATACAACAAACTAAATATTGTTTATTACAAACATTTATTAAGAATTAGCAACGATCTAAAAAGTCGCTCTTATTAAAATGTTTAACATATAAGTTAAATCGTTATCCGGAATAATTACTTAATATACTTACTTTATAACTTATTTAGTAGTCAGTTTGTTTACTTTGTACTTTATACTTGTGCGATAAATGTTGCTAATGGTCTTTATCGCATAAGATATCTGTGCGTATATTACAAAATTAAAATAAAATTCTTTACAATCACTCTAATTTTATAAAAATGACATCCGCTAATGCTACTTAAAATTTTAGCGATAAGTATCCGCGATACGTATTCGTGGTTAACACAAAACTTACAACTTTGCGGTTCGATCCTTGACGTCATATCGATCCGGTGGAGCATTAAAATATATGCAAAACAGTTCGTTTAGCGGAAAATGAAAACTAATTTACTTTCAAATATCTGTGAAAGTAATTGCTTCAGCATGTAAGGCCTTTATATAAAGAATGATTCTGGCAAGTATTTCTATTTCAATTGGTGTCGAGGAAAAACCGAAAGGTGCGTAACAAAAAATGTTCCTTATCCAATTTCGGTTCAATATATTTCAAGCCTTTTAAACAAAATTTATCATATCGCATAATTCCTCTAAATATTATATTTATAACTATATCGTAGAGGAATTACGTGCAATTAAATCGTGAAGTCCCAGTATCTTATAATACTACAATTTTACTAATTTTCACTCGATAATAAATCAAAATCATTGTTTGTAATATCGATTGATAATTTTATTATTATTGGGGATTGGTTCGAAACTAATTTTTTAAATTCTCGAAACTCGAAACTCTCGAAGTACTTTTTTAAGATTTTATTTTGTAAGAGGAATTTCCTGTTTCAAGAACCGGTGTTAATACTTTTCATATAAATTTTTGTTGTGGCCACAAAATATAAACAAAAATATAACAAAGTACAAAAATATTTCTTATTCAGACTCTTCCTTAAAGACGCCAACATCTTTCTCGATCTAATGTACTTCTAATCTAATCAAACATTCTTTGTTTACATTGCAATTGATTCTTTCTTATGTAATTGTAAGTTTCAAACGTTTCGGATCACCGAGAAAGTACGAAGTTTCGAACTCTTGAAACATGAAACTTTCTTTCGACGGGTTTGGAATGGGGATTTCAACGTTTCGAACAAATCTGATTATTACTTAAAAGTTTAGAAAATTTGTTTGTTTGCATTTTGCATCACATAATAGAACTACTAAATGACGGATTTTGAAGATTTCAGAACTTTTTTGACAATATTCTGATTATACATTTACCTTTCTGTGTACTGCAAAAATTCTGCTGTCAAATATCCATTGGCAATTAGTATAACGTATGCACGGCAATCGACTGCTTTTCCCTCGGTCAAAATTCTTTGAATTCGCCGTCTTGGTCGTAAAAACTGTTCATTATCCCGCAAAGCAATCTACAATGCATGTTATATATATATATATATATATATATATATTTTGTACAGGAAGAATTGAGAGTTGTAGATATCTCACCTCGTACTTTGACGTGTTTGAAAAATTTTCGATATTTTTAACATCAACGAGATTTCGATAGACAGAATCGCTGACAAAAACGATGCAGCTGCTTTGATTACTAATTTCCTTCACCATTTCTTCGACCATGAATTTTAAATTCTTCTCATGGTTCTCGCGTTGATGACTCTTATAAAATATGCTATGCAATGTTGTAAATGTTCGCTAAATAATTATTTCTTTTAATTAGAAACAAATTACGAACTAGACTTTCTCGTAAATTAATCCGCGGGCGTCAAAGAGATATAAATTGACAAAAATTAACTTAACAGAATTATCCAATTGGATTGTGTAATATAATTGTCAATTAACATTTGTGAAAATTGAGTTTTTTGTTCTATTGGATTAGATTTCGTTAAATCTCAACCTTAATGGCAATAGTACACAGCAAGAATGTAATAAATATAATATTGTAAATATTAATTAAAGTACTACGTGCAGGAAAATTGTTAATTAAAGTGATATTAATTTAAGCTTCATTAATGACGATACCTTTTACCAGATACTAATACGATTTGAAGAAACAGTGTGATAAGTATCATTGTTCGAATTCTACTGCTGAAATGCTTGTGCAATTTTCGATTGAAACGCTATACAGTATTGATTATATATTGGATCTTTTTAATTTGTTTTATTGATTGTGCAAAGAAGGTTTAAATATTTAGGAAACCCATTTCCTAGGAAATTAACTATATAAAAAATGCAATTGATTGAAATGCAAATGCAATTGATTGAAATGCAAATGCAATTCACTTATATAGCAGTTCTGTTCATGTAACTTTGAATAGAACATCACGGTGAATTCAGCAGAAATTGAAATGAAATTTAAAAATTAAATTTCAATTATTATTATTGTCAGGTCGTGTGCAATTCACAGGAAATCGGGAGTTTGATAATTAAACTTTTCAGCAATCACTAATAATATGAAACGTAGGCAAACAACTGTCTTTGCAAACAACTATATTACTTGTATAACTATTGTATAAGTATATACTGTTGATGAAAATATATTGCAATGATCAAAGATAATTACAATCTTATTTCTTCTTTTATATTAAAGTATAATGTATGTGCGAATATATTTGTGCGGCGAATATATATTTCTGAACCTTTACTGACTTAATTCGATTGTACTCAATAAATTTATCAAACCATATTATGCATACAATGGAACCTTTATTAACTTTCGAGTATGTTAATGTGTAAGTAGTATACGCTGAACTCTTCGACGAATAACTTCATTATTATTTTTATTTTTCTTTATGTGAGTATTAATTTTTTTAATGACTGTGTACAATTACCGTCACTGTAAAAAAAGAAAATAAAAAGTGATGTATGAATCATATTATTTCCGATATATACTTATGTGTTATCGTTATCTATATGACGTAGCATGAATGATGAACAAATGAAATATGTCCTCTTAAGCATAGTTTTAATTATTATTGTGTTGTATAGGTATTTTAATTGAAGAACTTAGTTAGGATGAAGGATATAATAGCTGACCTACCAAAAGGTCCTTTAGACTCTTATAGAAAATGTGCAGCATTTGATTGGAAGCTATTGAAGCTTAATTTAGAAGGAGAGGATTTCGTGAAATTTCAGGTATTTGGAAAGAGATTTTATTCTAGTAATATATTTAATACATTTTCATATTTGAAATTTCTTTGTCATTCCAGAATACTTTGTGGGATTTTATAAAAAAGTCACCAGCATTTCAAAGACATACCTGTGCTACTTTAGATGAAGAACGAAGGCTTTGTAATGCTCGTGTTCGAGCACTAAGGGACAACAATATTGCAGTATACATTATTAACAATAATAAATAAAAAGAAAAACAATTAATTTTTATTTATATAAAATATATAATTTTTTTTATAGAATCCATTAATTCATGCACATTGGTTTAACATAATGTTTCAATATGAAGCATCTATACCAATAAAAATGGGCGTGATGGATGGTATGGTACCAAGTTCAATTCTTGCACTGGGCAATGAAAATCATTTTCAGACTGTAGAAAAGATTCAAGAAGGACAAGTAAGCATTTAATGAAACATATTTCAATATTGATTAAAGATTGTTAATCCTTATTTTAGTAAGGTCTTTTATTTATGTTTATGTTAATAAACTGTAACATATTATATAATGATAAAAAAAATTATGGTACAATTTTTTAGTATACATGTTGTTTTGCACTAACGGAAATATCTCATGGAACAAACGCAAAAGGAATAAGAACTACAGCTACATATGATGCAAAATCAAAGGGTTTTATCTTAAACACCCCTGATTTTGAAGCTGCAAAATGTTGGATTGGTGGTCTAGGTGAGTAATATAATAGGAATATACCAAATGAATTTAAAAAATAAAAATGTATGCATTTTCAGGAAAAACTGCAACACATGCTATTGTGTTTGCACAACTAATTACACCAGATCAACAAAATCATGGACTTCATACTTTTATTGTACCTGTCAGAGATCCAAATACCCATATGCCTTATCCAAATATTAATATTGGTGACATGGGTGAAAAAATTGCGTTAAATGGAGTGGACAATGGGTTTGTAATGTTCAACAACTATTTTATTTCTCGAACATGTTTGTTAAATAAAACAGCAGATGTTACTGAAGATGGGAATTATACAGCATCTGTGAAAGATAAGAGCAAACGATTTGGTGAGAATTTAAAGAAATCATATACTATCTTTGATCCAATCTGGATAGCAATTTTAACTATATATATTTAAATTCGCATAGGTGCATCCTTAGGTGCATTATCTTCGGGACGTATTACTATTACATCAATATGTGCAAATTTTGCATCTGTTGCAATAACCATTGCTATACGATATTGTGCTGTAAGGAAACAATTTGGACCATCAGAATTGGAGGAATGGCCAGTTATAGAATATCAAGCGCAGGTATTTAAATGACTCGAATGAAAATTTAAAAAAAAAAAAATATGTTGCGCGTACAATTAAAATTTAACATAAACATGTAGCAATGGCGATTGTTTCCTCACTTGGCAGAAACATATGCTCTAAAAATATTTTCCGCTGAGTTTGTAAACCAAATGTGCGAGTTTAATTTCAAACTTATAACTACAAAAAATCAAGATAATATTGATAATGAAGGTATGGAAATTCACGCATTATCTTCTGCAACAAAACCAGTATGTTCATGGACCAGTCGAGATATTATACAAGATTGTAGAGAGTCTTGCGGAGGGCATGGTTACCTTAAAAGTACGTCGATTGTAAATTACATATAACGAAATAATTTAGACTTTGTTTTTATTTTATTTAGTTTTTATTTGTGATTGTTAGTTTCACGTTTGGGCGACTTGAGAGCTGAAAATGATGTAACTTGTACATTCGAGGGTGAAAATAATGTTTTGATTCAGCAAGCTAGCAATTGGTTATTAAACCAATGGTCAAATATACTAAGTGGAAAACCAATAAATTCTCCTTTGGGAACAGCAGATTTTATGAAAGATGCCAACAATATTTTAATACATACCTTCTCTTATTCAACAATCGATGAAACAATGAAACCAGAAAGTATGAAAACCAATTTAAACACTATTCACGATTCACGATTTTATTTAATATCTATTTTTTACAGATATATTTTTATCCTTTACGTGGTTATTATGTTATTATGTAAAACGAACATATGATCAGACACAAACCTTAAAACATAAAGGATATGATGATTTTGAAATTAGAAATAATACTCAAGTATTCTTTGCACAAACATTATCTCTATTATATGGGCAGGTAATAATTATATTATATATGAATATATATATATATATATATATATTAGTAATTTATGAATATATATATATATATATTAGTAATTTATTTTTATATTAATTTTGTTAATATCTTTTATAGCATGTGATAATGAAGTACTTCATAGAATGTATTCAAAATCCTTCATGGAGAACAGAAGAGCGCAATGTGTTGACAAAATTATGTTCACTTTATGGAGCGGTTATTTTAGAAAAAAGATTGGGTGACTTTTATGCTGGTGGTTACGCGTCACCCAAGAGTAATATGGATAGATTATTACGAGAAGGAATTATAATTTTGTGTAAAGAATTGGTTCGAGAGGCAGTAGCGTTAGTCGACGTATTGGCACCACCAGATTTTATATTAAATTCTTCATTAGGAATGTCCGATGGTCAAGTGCGTTATTTTGTCTATGTTTCAAATTTCATATTTTTTGAATCTAACAATTATCTAAATCTATTTTGTATACAGATATATGAACATATCAAAGAAGAAATATTCAAAGTTAAAGAAAACTTTGAACGGCCGTCATGGTGGAGAGAAATAGTACGATCAAAATTATGACACGTACATAACATATAATTAATATTTTTTGTTGCTATATTTTTAATATTTTTTATTATATAAAAATTATACATTTGGAAAATAAAAATTTATTACAAAATTCTGTCATAATTAACTAATTAATTTCTTATATATTTTATTATAAAATACTTGGAAAATGAGTAGTAAATTGTAATAATATTATAATTCTGTGTGTCTACTAACCGTAATTAAAACTTTATCTGCTTCTGCAAACCATTCGTTATAAACCATTTGAGGTTCAATCATCCAAAATTTATGGAACGATATAGGCTCTTGTGAAGCAAGATAGGCAGGTGCATAGTCCGAAGGACGAGCCTGTAATAAATATATTACATTTTGAAGTTACACTTTCATTATTTACACTTATTATTATTTTAAATAAAATAAATAATTTCGTAAAACATACTTGATGTAACATCGGTGAATGTACTACTTGCACCTTCATTCGCGCTAAACATATTCCAAAAAGGTACATATCATCTGGAGTTGTAGATGATGGACAATTACATCCACCAGGTTTTATCATTTTATGAACTAAAGGTGCAGATAAAGCAACACCTGCTCCACCTGTTAAATATTCATACCCGTAAGCATTGTCCCAAAGTTGAAAACCATATCGTTCTCCAATAGCAACTGGAGATTTTGGATTGTAGCATGTTAATAAACGTAACATGCGCGCCATGCTAATATAATTGTAAATAATGTTATATTAATATTCATCATTAAATTGTATATATTATATATTATAAACAAAGATACATACCTAAAGATCGTATCATCATCACTGATTATTAACCAATCTAAATTTTTCCTTCTCAATATTTTATCTGCTTCTACTAAAATACTGTATGTTTTTGCACAATGCCCTTGTGTTGTATTTGGTACAATGAAAGTATCTGGTAAATGTTTATCTACACTAGAAAGAGACACATCATTTTACTCGTAATTAACACATATTATTATTTAATTAATTATCTAATAAAGGTGATTGTACCAACAGCATCACTAAAATAACCGATATTTGTAGCATATTTTGCCCATGTTCTTTTAATCACAGGAATCCTTTCAGTATGAAATTTTGCACAAGTTTTTACAGCAAAATATATATTTTCAGTGGTCACAGATGAACCCTTCAATTAAAATAAAGAATTATTATTATTATAGGAAGTTATAATTTATAATTATTTGTATTGACTTACACATGGATGAAAAAATCTTGGATATGTAGCACAGTCAGAACTAGATATAATACATATTTCAGATACGTGTGTTAATCGTACTCCTTTATCAATTTTTAATACAAAAGATGCAAATTCATATGATGCATCAATTGAAAAATCATCTTTAGGTTTACCACCTTCATTAATTTTATGTAGTAAACTAAAAAAATAAAATTTATGTCATGCATACAATTGAAATTTTAAAAATACATTTTAAGATAAGACATATATATAACACCTAATTAACAAAGTTGAGCTTATTGCAAAACCTGAAGCTATATGAGGATATTTAAATTTTTTCTTATGCTCTGCAAAATGATGTATGATAGTTGGTTCTTGATCATACAATGCATGACCAATCCATATATTCTAAAACAAACACAGCTTAACTAAGCAAACATAACTATTCTAAAAATAATTATATTTTTGAATAAAAACTTAAAAGAACATACTTTATTTTCTTTATACTTAGAAAGAATACCCAATAATTTACTCAATCTAATTGCAGTATTCTCCAGACAGAAGAAAAACCATTTTGAAGCAGGATATGTATCTGACAAATGATTCAGAAGTGGTATTATTGCCCAAGATCCATTAATATTTAATTTATGAGATAAAATAATTTTGGGAGGATCCTAATGAAAAAATTAGATATTTTATACAAAATTATATTTTATATATAGTATTTTTAAATATAGTAAAAGAATTTAATTACATTTCATTATACATACCTTATCAAGAGCATCTGCTTGTTCAAAAATATTTTTCTTTAACATTTCAGCTTGTGCCATGTGATAACCTTCCTTTTGATCTAATATTACAATAACTATATCACTGGGATCTGCAAATATTTATTATATATAACATTATAACATTTATTTATATTTGATAATAGACCAAAGAATAAGTAGCATGTATAACTTACCTAAACCATTTACATTAGTTTTACCCACGAATAATATAAAAAATACGAAGAACATGGAATGTTTAAAGCACATTGTTCCCAAAAATTCAAGTTAATTACTATACTCTTCTGTAAGAAAAAAATTAAAAATTTCTAAAAAATAAAAATATTCTCTTGTATTGATTTAGAAAGACCAAATTATTTATTCCTTATTTTTAAGAAAGACTGTATTATAATTTATTTCAATATTTATAAAAGTTTTGACTTTAATAATGAATAATTTTAATATTTGAGTCTTTAACAGAATAGGTTTTGAATTTTGGCTGACTGGTAATATACGATACCATGTAATTTATAATTTAAAATACATATGTGTAACGTATTTCAAATCAGAAATATAATATTAATTAATTTGAATATCAAATATATTAACATATTATTTTATATAAATTCACCGTTAAATCCTTTTGTTGAAACATCCTCCATCACGAAATGTCTGCACATATCATGCGCGCGCGCATGTGTGTAAAGTATGGTATACTATATATTAAAAGTACATAGTAGCAATACTAGTAATACTAATAAAAATTTGTTTACATTTTAAATATATTTTTTTAAAATTAAATTTACTTCCGATGTTAGTTTTTATTTCGTATACAATAATCTTAACATAAAAATATTTTAATCTTATTTTTTATTTCGCTAACAGAATATCGTTTATTATTTTACTAGTGTTAATTGATAGGAAGCAATTATTTAATCCTTAATTAATGTAATCTAAAATTAAAATTAATATATTTTGTACAATGATACACACTAAAATATTTAAAAATATAATTATTTTCCTATTTGAAAAACTTAGACTATCAAAACTATCAAAATTATATACTATCTAAAAATATTTTATGTATGAAATTTTTTGTTATAATTCATACTTTATATACAAAATATATACAAAAGTTTTAAAAGAAATATTGTACAACATATAATATATTTTTCTATAGAACACCTAAAATTCACATATATTATATATATTATTTAAGTAAGAAGTAATTCATATTCAAAATTATTTGCATTTTATTAACTGCATTGTGTTTTCCACTTTCTTTCTATATAATGAACAGCTTTGAAGTATTAAACAATTTATGAAGATAAATATTTTCTGCCATATAATTGTGCCTTTTTCTCAAAGCCAATAGATTTAATAGGTGTATTTAATTTATAAAATGGATTCATAGAGTACTAGAAAAGAAAGATGAAAAGTTTATTATATAATTTCAGTAAAATATCACATAATTTAATATATAGTTTTACCTTTATGTACATTTCATACATTTCATTAAAGAAATTTTTTATACCATCTTCATTTTTACTATCATGTACCATAACAAATCGGATATGAGTTGCAGTAACAAATGCACTCACAAACCATTGATTAAACTTATCTACGACTTTTAAATGCATATTTGTTGTTTTCCAAGTATGTTCATCTACAAGATCTAGAGCAGCATGTGCAATGAATTGGTTTAAATGTGTATAATCTTCTTTCTGTTGAAAATTCAATAATGTAAATGACAACGTTTTTATATTGCAAGTACATTTTCTTACATTGCATACAATCAACAAATAATTTTAACATATATTACTTAAGTATAACCTATAAAAATTATGAACCTTCGAGTCTTTCCCAGAATTGTTGAATTCAATTTCAAATAAAGGATTATCAGCATGTCCGACGATTGCGAAATAATAGTTAGCTGTCATTTTGTTAACTGTTTTGACATATTTCAATTAAAACTTCATTTTCATACATTGACACTTCTTCACTGTCACGTAAGTACTAAAAGTATATATGTATACGATATTAATGTAAGAAAAACTGTTCTGGATCTGATAAGTACAATATTTTATATAAATAATTTTCATAGCAGTATGAAAATCAAATTTGTATTCTCCAGTAAGAAATCTATTCAATGTTATCTACACATAACCAGTCACGTGATGTTAACTAAACTAATACATTTAGTAAACTATAGTTTATAGTATATATATATAAATTATATACATTGTATTATATATTATATATTATAAAAATTAATTTTTGTTGTAATGTATTTTACATAGGTAAACTTTTAAGAAAAGAAAGTTGTAACAAATGACTTGTTTAATCCAGTTTAATTGTAGTTATAATTATATATACATACATGTTAAGTTAAGCAATTTGATTTGTCTATTAATTATTACCAAATTTAACACAACTTTCATATATAATTACATAAAAAAAATTCAAATTTCCATATATATAGCATTTGAATAAAATGTATAATTTAACATTTTCTGATAATTTACAATGATTTTCCAACAAGATAATAAGAACTAATAAATAAAGTATAATATTATATAAACGAAAATATAATAATTCCATTTATTTATTTGTTGAGTAGTTTAAGAAACTATAATCTAATTCTAATAAATTTATATTAAATAAGAATTAAATTTTGGAAATGTTTAAAAGAGAATAATTTATTTATTAATCGTTTTTTCAGTAATAGTTTACGGAATAGTTTAGAGACTAAGAACATATTAACATATTTAGTAGAAAAACTGCAAAACATTTTCTTTTACGCTAAATCTACATTAAATTCTAGTAAAATAAATTATCATTCAGAAAATCCTATGTTAATATCATATTGGTAGGTTTTATACTCGTTATATCGCATTATTTCTAGGTCTGAGTTTGCGATTAATTAAAAACCAGCTGTTTTGGAAGTTAGTAGAATGAGCTGTTTCTGAAAGTTAGTAGAATGATGTATAGAAAGTACCAAATATGCATAGAGTGTAAAAATAAATAATTATTTTCAGATAACAATAATACAACACTTGTTATATACAAGAAGGAAAGAAATTTAGAAGGAAAGAAAAAAGATAAAATACAGTCGTTTCGTATTTATATTGGAATGTATTATTTAGAGAGAATATCACGTTCTAAGCTGTAAATTCAACATTTCATCTAAACGTTTGAATGAATCTTTTCGTGAAAAGATTGTTTTATTTCAAGATTATAACTTATCAGTAATCATGAATTCTGTCGAGTTAAAGACAACCTACGAATCTGCTTACGTACTTTTTAATGTAAGTATGCGAATAAGTATTTACATATATAATACATATTTTGTAAATTTGCAAGCTAATAACGATATACGATAACGTAAAAAATATAAAATATATAAAATCGAAACGCTATTGAAGTGTCTTTTTAATAATGCTACTAGATTCTTCGATGTTATTTATGTTATATTAAACTCTATTAAATATTTTATGTTTTTATAATACTATTATTATACTATATTTCTCTGTGTTTATTCAAATTTATAATAAATTAATCAAGATAATTTTTTTGTGCTAATTTAACGTATAATTCATTCAGGCTTAAGATACATTAATAATTTAAAAGACTAATCTTTTTCTTTTATTTACTTTTATTTACTTTTGCACATATGAATATTTTGTACTAACGTAATAATTGTATGACAATACTTATTTTTATGAACAACATTTAATTTCACTGTAAATTAAAACTTCAATACAGCTTGACTTAGACTTAGAAAGTATCTTTTAAAAATTATCACAGTATTTGTTACTATTATCAATTTAATGTATATTTTATTTTCAGAAACAATGTTTTAGATTGATAAGAATATCAATGTAAAGAATTACGTTTTAAAAAGTCACAGATTGCAATAGTGGTACTGATTTACTTAATGAATGAACTTTAAAAATGGGCAGGATAATTATTACGGATTTGTACTCGTATCTACAGAAATTTTCAAGTATGATTATTTTAATGTTATTATTAAAGCTATAATAACACATTAGAAAAACTTGCATTACGCTCTTACTTTGTTTCATTTAATTAATTACTTTAAAACATCGTTTTATATTTTATCTATCTAAATATCTTATCTGTAAAAGGTAAGATATCTTATCTAAAATAGTTTGTATTTCTAATATTTTTGTGTTGCAGTAATTTGACACAACTAAAATACATGTAGTATATAATTGTGAATGCTGACAAATGGAAATAAAATTATGTTGACTACAGTATTTTAGCTGAATAATAAAATTGCTTACTTTTATTATATATCATGGTTCGGCAAAGATTTCCAAACATTAATGGTAAATTGATATCAAAAAATAATTAAGCTTTCACTGTTGAGTAATAAAATTAACTGTAATTCTTTTTATTATGTAAATATTATTTTGTATATAGGTCTTAGAAATGGTAAGCATTTTGTATTAACTCTTGTTACGGGTGTAGTTTTTGGATTTATCTCAGCGTGCCTTTTAATAACATCTACAAGAAATGTGCCATATATATATAATTGGTTTTCTGATAGTTTTATGCTTTCAAGAGATCCACATCATTACTCAGAATTGGAGTCAGAGGTAGTTGCTTTATATTTTGTTTTTTTTTAATACTTGTTTATATTTTGTACTCAGTTTTTAATAATAATAATAATAATAAATGTTACAGGTTGGACCTGAAATAGAAGTAAAATTTCATGGTAAAGATGAAGATTTTCATAAAGATGAAGATAAAGTTGCACAAGAACTTGCAAAAAAAGTACGTGTCCTCTGTTGGATCATGACTGGTCCAAAAAATCACCAAAGTAAAGCACAACATGTGAAAGCAACATGGGGAAAACGATGCAATGTTCTTTTGTTTATGAGCTCTGCTGAAGGTAAATTTTACTCTTGTAATATGATAATAAAGCAATTCAAAGAAATAATTTTTAATCTTTCCAGATGCAAATTTACCTACAGTTGTCCTGCCAGTAAAAGAAGGAAGAGAGAATTTATGGGCAAAAACCAAAGAAGCTTTCAGATATGCTTATGAAAAGTACAAAGATGAGGTTGATTGGTTTATGAAGGCTGATGATGATACGTATGTAGTTTATTGAAATTGCAAATTTTAACTCAGACATTCAATTTGAATCTTTTAATGATTTACATAAGATCTGGCTAAAATTATATTACAATTACAAAAGATTTATAAGATGGACTTTTAGAGTAATATGTAATATTGTTAAATGAAAAATTTATTTGTTAAAATGTTTTCAGATATGTGGTGGTAGAAAATCTACGATATATGCTGTCATCTTATGATCCAAATTCGCCATTATATTTTGGCTGTAGATTTAAGCCATTTGTGAAACAGGGATACATGAGCGGTGGTGCAGGATATGTACTTAGCAAAGAAGGTTTACGGAAGTTCGTAGAGGAAGCTTTACCTGATAAAACAAAGTGTCGGTCAGATAATGGAGGTGCAGAAGATGTGGAAATGGGAAAGTGTTTAGAAAAAGTAAATGTCAAAGCAATGGACACTCGGGATCCACATGGTCGCGGAAGATTTTTCCCTTTTGTACCAGAGCATCATTTAATTCCTAATCATGTAGATAAGAATTTCTGGTATTGGAAGTATATTTATTACGATACCAAAGATGGTCTAAATTGTTGTTCCGATAGCGCGATTTCGTTTCATTACGTATCGCCTAATATGATGTATGTTCTCGAGTACTTAATTTATCACTTAAGGCCGTACGGTATTACGCACGGTATAGAAAAACTTACAACACATCAGTCAACCACTGTATTGACTGAATACTAGTCTATGTACTATTCTTAATTGAAATATGAAAAAAAATTTCTAAACAAATATTATTAAAATTAGAAAAAAAATATTTTAAATCTTAATAAATAAACAAAAATTGAAAAATTTTGCAACATTAAACTGGTTTGTCATTAAGTTTGTTATTTTCTGTGTAAATTAATGATTGTAAAAATTATTTATGATAGATTTTTGTTTAATTATTTAAGAATTTGGAAATTCTAAGTACTGCACTTTTAAATTTGTCATTGACTTAATTAAGCGATATTAATTGTTTTCTTATTTTATTTCCAATGAGTATAACTAGTCCATTCAGGCCAACGAATTAGATGTTAATATATTCACTGAAAGATAAAATTTGTGGTATATAATATTTCGTAATATATATAATGTTTATACATACCTATATATGTAATGATGAAAACTTTACTATTTCATTGTATGAGCGTGACAGGGTGTATACTGTTTTACAAATAAATGTTACAAGCATATTAGAAACATTATTAATTACTGGTATTTTTTACTATTTAGTTCCAATAAACTTAATGTAATTTTGATCAAATACAATAAGAGAGTTTATAACGATATTATAAAGATTAATATTTTATATTATTCTGAAGTTCTTAAAGTTCTAATAAGTAAATAAGTATTCCTTAAAAAAAGAAGAAAAGAAAAATTATTATATAACGATTTGATCTATTATCATTAATTTATAGTAATTTGTATCTTACGAGAATGAGACTATTAGAAATATCACGTATAGTGATAACTTCAAATTAGTAATAAACTTTGAGAAATGTTCGTCTATTTCTATTATGCTTGTAATATCAAAACTGTAAGCATACACATACTTCGTGTGAAATGAGGTATATAATTATATATACACATAAAACTGTATTTCGTAATATTAATATAATAATGGTAATAATAATAATAATTAATAATAATCCCAATAATGATGTTCTACCCAGATAATAAATACTATAGATACAGTGTGAGTGTGGTGTGTGAGTAAATTAACCAATTAACTTTATAAGGGGGAGAGGATTAGGGGTTGCTATGTACAAGTCATATTTGTACTATGCGACTGACGCAATTAGCCACCATCGGCTTCCATTCAGACGCGCCCTGTATTCTCTTCTCTTGTCTTTTTATTTTTTTTCTTATATACTTCTCGTTTTATGTTCGCGCACTCATTTTGTTTGCATGTGAAATCATTCTTCTTTTTTCCTAAGTTACAGGGAACAAACCTCTCTGTGCCCTTCTCTCATTTTCGTTTATTCTCTCGCGCTCTTTTCGTTCACTCTCAATTATCTAATATCTCGGCGATGTCTCTCACTTCATAAATTATTTAAAAACAATATTTTACACTATTAATGTATGTATAATATATAGAGGTCACCTAATTTGAATAAAATTTTTCAAACAGCATCGAAAAATTGCGCTAATGGGTCCAGGAAACATGATAACAGTGACCCAGTGCCGCGCGAGCATAATATAATATAATATATAATTATCGTACTTATCTCACACCAGGGGCTTGTACGAGGCATTTTTACTTGTAAAAAAGAAGTATATTCGCCTCCCTTTATTTCCGTTCTTCTTTTTTCATTTATATCATCTATATAAAATTAAAAAACAACGTAATATTATTTATATTACTTCGTCGTTATTAATAATAAAAGCTTTGTACAAAATTCAATTTACAATTAAAAACGTTTTGGTTATGTAATTTTCTAGAGATTCTGATTTGTAATTGAACTATCTACCGACAGAGAGGCAATTATAAGTTAACTTCTTATAGCGCGTTCACATTTGTTTCTACTTCTCTTTCCTTTTATACGCGCACTCGTTCTTTCCTTTTTCCTCTCTCTCACATTCTCTCTTTTATTCACTTTCGTTCTCTCACATGTTCACACGATTCTATCAATCTCTCGCACATGTAATTCTATCTCCCATTCATCAAATTCCATTTGGTATGCGGCAATATACGTGTATCGTCAATAATTATTTTGTCAATAAATATCTCGTGTTATCTTATTTTTTGTTTTTCGCGATTACTGAAAAACACAAAGTACGATCTATCAAAGTATGCTTGTTTTCTCTCTCTCTCTTCGCCTGCCGAATTACACGAATAGAAAAACGTTAAAAAGAATTACTGTGCATCGGTAATCATAAAGTTTATGCTACGATCACTGTCATCGTATTAATTTAAAAAAGAAGGTCAGTAAAAAAAAAGGTCAGTGTTTCGTATTGGAGGTTTATCGATTAATGGTCGAAGGATCGTTTTCTCCCAGTCTCCCAGAAAATCTCAATGTCTCTAACGAACAGTTGAAGACGGATGTAGGAAACCAGTTGCTCTCGTAAAGCCCCAAGTGACGGTATGGTAAAGGAGTGCATGAAAGAGGTGCATATACTGCACTACGAAAGGAGAGGGTGTGGGTCAGACGAGAGCTGCCGCCGCATGGTAGAGCTGCATGAGCGCTTGCACGTGCACTGGCAAGCAGGATAGACGATCCTTCGTGTTCGCATCCACTGCGAGCCACGATAGTGCATTGTATCCTTCTAGCACATATCTACAAAACATTAGTAATAACAATTAATAAGAGCATACATTTTGATATTTATTAAATGTGTTGTATTAAAGATTGCGATTATTGAGCAAGATGGCAAGATATGTCTAAATAAGCCTATAGAAACAACAATATAAACCTGAGCACATCGGTGGTATACTGTGAGTCTAATGGGTGAGCAGTGAGTGCACTTTGTTGCTGCAACAGATCATCACTATTCTGCTGTATTGCTGGACTATGTAAATGTAAGGCATTCTTCAAAAAGACTGGGCAAACACCCTCCAGATGGGGACAAGCTGACCAAAACCATGGTGGCATTCGTCCAGTTGGTGCGGTAGATACCAAATAACCAAGAGCAAGTGGTTGCTGCAAAAGCGTGCCAACTTCTTCTGCTTGTTCAGCAACTGCCACCTATCAATTATAAATTTAGTATAGTCAATTTACAATCATGTAATATATTACAGTCATGTATAAACATCTAACTTACTCTTGGTGTATTACTACATGGAAATGGACTACCAGGCCCGTCGTGATTGCCTAATCCTGAACCACCACCGTCTCCACCTAATGGAGATCCTTCAGGGCGATGTGGACTGCCACTAGGACTTTGTCCTCCACCAGCACCAGCCTCTGGCCATACATTGAAGATGTCATTGAAGTCTCCCATGCCTTCCATACCTTCTGGCATATCATCGTTTAGTGCAGAAAATAGCTCATCATCTCCTAACTCTGGTCCATTAATATGCTGCTCCTGAAATGCAGTCTGTGATGACTGTAGTAGAGAAATAATTATTGTTAGACATTCAGTTTCATTTAGATCCTTTCTCTTAACCCCTTGCCTTATAACATTGAATAAGACTGGATATAGATTTTCGATTAAACAGGAGAAACACAGTCCTGCTCATGGTACGTATTATGGGCCAAACTTGAAAAACACGAACTGGACTCGTGGTTCAGCTGTTGCATTTATTGCTATTTTTTTATTATACTATTGTTTGTTCTATTATATTATAAAGTTTATAAAAAAATATATATCTATCCATTTGGTGTTTTATATAAGACTTAATGTATAAAAATCTTTCATTATTATTATTGTTTGTTTTCATGTGATCAAAAAAAAAGTCAAGCAACTTTGGGCTTGATAAATCATAAGGCAAGGGGTTAAACACAAAAATTTACCTGTGTAGTAGCAGATGTAGGAAAGACGAGAATATGAGTACACGTAACATCTTGTGGTGTAGATAATTGGCAGTTTACCGACGCTTGACTAAACCTTTCATCAGGTGTGAACTGATCAGCCATAAGCCTGAGAGTTGAATCTGGTTCAAGAGAAACTAAACATGCGCTAAGCACACAAGGTGCTGCTGACGGATATAAAAGACTGCATTGGCCACATATTTCTTTAAGATGTTTAGAAGCTTTGAGAAGTGCTTTTCTGGATAGCAACCAGCTCCAACCTTTCAGCTCACCATGTCCAATACGTCCCACACGACCTACTACTAACCTCCAAGGTTGTACCTAAATATAAAAATATTTAATTCGATTTATTTTAATTTCATTATATTTCAATTACTTTTATTCTTTACCAATCAGTATCTTAAATCACATTTAAATGAATTACTTACACCCTGAGACATTACACCAAGTATGAAATCCATCAATTTTTGTAATCCAATTCGTCTAGCTGAGGCGCGTTTTCTTCTTTTTCTATTGGGTATATCGATATTGATAGTAGCTGTTTCAAATATTTCACCCCTGTCATCAGTTGCAACCGCAAGCAGCCAAGATTGATCTTCGCTGAGGCAGTAGCTTAGATACAAAACCGCACACTCTTCTGGTCCAGCGATGCCGAAAGATTCCGGCGCTTCGCTTTTTGCCCGTAGAGGAGCCAAGACGTACGCTGGCGAGTATAACCGGTACGAGGTTCTGTTTCGTTCCTGATGTATAGTTGCAAGAGTATTACTATAAGACTGAAAATGATCGAGTCATGGCCTGTTTATTATTTACTATTTTCATCATTTTAAACGGCACACGGGCAACGCGGCTGACTTATATTTAGGAAATAATTTAACACAAAATATAAAACTGGATCTTACATCTTTACTCTTAAGAAAAATATCTGCTGCGGCAGCGGTACCAAATCCAGTAAGACTTTTTACTGTTGAATTATGATTCAGTAGTCGACGTCCCTGTAGAAACACGTTCAATGCTAAAGCTCTCATCTCGTCCTGTATTTTACGCCTTTCTCTAGCTCGACCTAACTCCATTATACTTTCCAAGGATATTATCTGAACATAAAAATAAATCGGAAATAAATTAGTAAGTCGCCTGATTTGAAGTATAGTGTATAAAATGTTGATTATTAATCCTCTGTAACATATGAATGTAATTATAATAAAAATGTTTTTATTATATTATAAAAAAAACATGTATGTATTCAGCGTTAAATATTTTTTCTCATCTCCATTGCTTAAAGTCTTTTAACAAAACATAAAAAAATTACAATTTAGTCTTACCTGAACATTAATATTGGATCTAATGTTTTCAGGCATGCTATTAACTGCTGTCGAATATGCACGTAATAAAGCTAAAATAGCAAGTCTTCGTCGGTTGGGATCTTCAGGACCTCCCAATGAGAAAGGTTCTACTAGATAAACAACTATAGCTGGAGGCTCGACTTCCTCTTCATCTGGACCCGATGTTGTATTAGTATGTATTGTGGCAGTTTGTGAAGTTGGTGTTGTATTACCGGTATTAGAATTACTATTTGTTGCCGTGTTCGACGATGGAGTTTCACTCCTGGGATTTTCTCCTTCTGAAAATATGCAAATTTGACATGTAAATGGTAAATTGATTTCTAAACAAATGTAATGATAGTTTAACCACAGTATAATTAAAATACTTGATAAACAAGCATACCAACTGATTCTGGTTTGTTTGTCATTACATCAGGTGTGGCTGGCATTGTGTCAGTAACAGGAATAGTTGTTTGCTGTTGCTGCTGCTGTTGTTGTTTGTTAGTCGATTGCGAATCTCCGGGATCTAATAAACTTCGGTCTTGAATAACCTGCGTTAAATATGGAGCTAATCGATGATTACAGACTTGGGCATATAATCTTAATAATTCTCCTAATTGATTCTCTCCTAAAAGTTTAAACCAATCGTCTATTGGTTGTTTGGTTTGTTTCTGAATAGACGCTTTTCCAACACGAAGAATACCATCACGTAATGCTTTTGAAATAGGTGTATGCCTTCCTAACCGACAAATCTGAAAAAGAAATCATAACGTTGGAATCAAAGATAAAAGCATGTACAATATTTTATGTAAAATCTATTTACTTACTTCATATGTAGTTGATAATTCACGGAAAAATGATTTCACTTTATTAATGACACAATCGCTGTCTGGTGCTACCACCACATACGCGACATCTCTTGGTCCGGCATATGGTTCCAAGAGTAGTTTCTCCCAATAACTCAAAGCATAGGGTGACAAAGACAACCAATCACGATCATATCCGACAACCAATGCAGGTATTGGTTGAGGTTCACACCGATCATCAGTTCCACGACCAGCTAGACGATGGAATTGTCTCCAAGTCAAAGGACCTGCAACAGTATACGGTGCTTCCCACATTCGAGTAGTACATTTCTTCTGCACAGCATCTTGTAATAGTGGTTGTAGAGCTCTCATCATCCGTACGATATCACCACTGCACTGAGGACCTTTTGCTCTAAGGAATACCCATCGATGCACTCCGATTACGCGATTAGTCCTTTCATTGTGCGTACCATTAATTTTACCCTGATCAAGAGCCGCTAGCGACACTTCATTCCCATCATTGAATTCCAACATATTCACAGTAGGCGTAAGCATTGGATAACTTTTCATCGTAGAATAGATTCTAGACGCTCTGTAAAGACTGCTTGCGGAGCTCTGTATGATCAGGCACTGTTCTCTGAGCAATTCTAACACATTAGGTGGTATCACGTCTAAACCTTCCAAAGGTTTGCTCCCTCCGCAAGCTACAGCGATCAAAGACGCTTTTTTCTTCTCTGCTGGATCTTCAGCAATGCCAGTAATTTCCATTTCGTCTTCATAGAACAGACCAGCTTGATGAGCTAGTCGTCGATTTACAACAGCACTAAAACCGCAACTACACCTGATCTGATCGTCATCTTGAAACAGTGCCCCACCTGACCAAGAATGTGTAAGGTACACACCAGCATCTGCCCCTTTAATATTACCAACGACTTTTGGACCTGCATTACACACGCAAAGACTGCAACTATCGAAATTGTGATCACGAAAGATATTAAGCACAGTGTCACCTAAGAGGATGTTCACTATGAGAGAGTTTGATTCCGGCGCACGAGTAGGGCCTGGTGTGTCTGCTTCAATGCTATTCAAATTTTTGTTCAAATAAGAAGAGGTGGTAGATGTAGCTGGGCTTGGCTGATCATACGGTGGCGGCGGTGGTCTTCCGGATATTGTTGCTGAGCGATATGGTGCCCCTAACGGGGCTGGACTCGGAGGACATGGCTGTTGCTGAACCGATCCAGGTCTAGTTGGTGGAAGTGGTTTATCTGTATTGTTGGAAGTAGGATTGCACTGCCAAGAAGGTCTATATACGCAGTGCGATGGCAGTGTAACAGGCGGTAGAGATTGGCTGGGCAGATTTGTGAGTGGGGCATATTTGGAAGAACCGACCATCTTACAGATGGGCGTAGGTTTGAACACGTAGGACCAATCATCAATTGGCTCTTCTTGAGGAGATCCCATATTTGGATAGATGTCAGGAAGGTGCCTAAGTGGTCGTTGAGGTACAGAAAGTTCCGTCTGGTCCATTAAAGGGTCATTTAACTGACAAGGTGAAGCAACAGGATTATGCTCTAAAGATGGTGGTGTTGGAAACATTTTTGAAAGTTCTTCTGGTCGCAACACGCCAACTCCCCGATTATTATGTCTATTATTGGCATCTACTCTTGTTTCTTCGTGTAATCCACCGGATCTATTCGACTCCGGTGGAGTTTGTACTTGAAGCTGGTTTAAATTCTATAAGAAGCATCGCGTAATTCATGATTTTAATCACAGAAACAACAGAAAAGAAAAACAGAAGTCAATACGTACGGTTTCGTCGCTAGAAGTGTCGGGATCAGAATTATCAAAGATCTGATCTAAATCTTTGTAGGATGCTTGAAGACCTTCACTAGTGAACAGAGATCCTGGTTTAGTAGGATCATCTCGTTGCCGTCTAAGTCCGTCAACGTTTGTGCCGTTTTCTTCACCTGTTGCATCAAACTCATATGGATCTGTTCTTCTTCCAATGCAATCTCCCTGTACGAATGTTAATAAGTACATGAAAAATAAAATACAAATACTTCATACAAATAAAAGGGAGCACTTACAACATTGACATTTGGTTCCTGTTTAATCTCTAGTTTGGGCGTTTGAGACTGAGGAACCTGAGAATTCATTGGTGGATACAAAGTATTGCTCCGTACATTGACTGGACTGGTATTAGATTCCTTAAAACGTTTTACAGGGTGATTGAGCCATGCTTCTTGTGTTGAATAATCATAGAGCCAATGTAATGACTGTTCGTTTTCTAAATATATATCCTCACATTCTCTAGGGGCTAAGACTGGTCGTTTTAATGTTGGTCCAGGAGCTGGACTATGTACTTGATTATTGCATGCAGAGGAAGTTGATTTTGGGCCTTGGGAGGGGGTTAATGGTGGGGCAGTGTTTGTGTGACTGGGTGGTGGTTGAGGACTAAGAGTAGGCATTGTAGGCTCTGCTGGTGGAACCGATGCTGGCTCGGAATGTGGAGTTGGAAGAGGTGAAGGTGCAGGAGATCCTGGTGAGCCAACAGATGGAACTGGTAGACAATCTCCTCCTGTTGGTGGTCCCCTTGAGTAAGAAGGAGGTCCGCCCGGTGGTGTACTCGGCGCTTCTGTTCTGTTCAATACAGACCTATTCCAATTGAGAGACATAATCATAAATTAAGATTTTTTAAAAATCTAGATATTACATAAACGTTAGTAGTATATTTAACATGTTAAATTTGAAGACTATAATCGATACTGATAAACTGATTCATGCTTAACAAAAAAATGACACAATATACAACTATCACCACCAATGTTCTTGCAAGAAAAATTTTATAACGATTATTCTACCATATAAAAAAAATATTACGAAAATATATTTTTAATATACTTATTTGTATATTACAAATGATTAAAAATACAATTATGTATCTAAACATATGCAACTGATATTGATGTAAATAATGTACCAGTAAAAAACATTTATAAATATCATGCCCAAGTCATGAATTATTACACATGCAAAGCATTTTTTAATAATAACTATTGAAAATTGAAAGAAGCAAACATACGAAAAAGAAAGGAAAAACGAAAGCATTTTAGAAGAATGTGTATTCATTAAATTATATATAAGGTGCAAGTGACAAAGTGTTCAACAAATTTCTTCCATAAGTTGTAATTACATTTTTCTTCTAATTTGTTATTTTCTCTAAGTAAGAAGAAATAAATTTAATAAAATTTGGATATTATTTAACTTACTGCTAATCGTCTTTTTATATTATATTTTCTAATGTAGTATTAATCTATTATGCTGCATCATACATTTACTGAAGATCAAATCTCACTAACAAAATATTTCGAATTTTAAATGACTTACTCGATATGCGAATAAAGTTTATTGAACGCCTAGTATATTGCAATTTAGTATATAAAATAAAAACTAATTACACAATAATACATGAAATAAAAAACTACTTAATTATGTTCAAATTTGAAATATATTTTTATGAATTTTTGATTTTTATAATACTTTAGCTATGAATACCATGATATTATACATACAATATGCAATTAATTATGTATGAATATACTTACTATAATTTGTATTAATAAGCACACATACTAAATAGATTTCATTTCAACTACATACAAACTGTGCGTATTAGCTGCTTCTCTTTGATAATATCAAAATAACAAGACTTGTGAATTCACCTTGTACATTGTTATATATTAGGATAATATAATAATGATCTTTTTTGCGTATACTTTACCACAGTTAATATTTATAATTCTTCCAGAAAATGAATCCCCCCTTCTCACAAAAAGAAGAAATATAAAAAAAATTGCACAATGATATTTGATTAATGCGTTATTCGTGCAATTAGATTTAGTTACTCCTATGACTAAATAAATAGCGGAATTTTCATAAGCAATGTGAATTAATGGTATTATAACGATCATACAATATTGGCATTATTGCGGTGATTAATTAAGGTATGGAAAAAAATATAATGATTTTTTTCATTGATATCGGGGCAGAAATTACCCACCTGGGGGCATTAGCAGGGACAGAGGGACAAGCATCCCACTGGGTGGTAGAGCGTCGATGAAACGGTACGACCCTCCGTCCACCTTTATCTACTCTCTCCCTCTGAACCTGAGAGGAGGCCAGGCTCTTCCAACCCCCGGGGGTGGCATACCTGCAACCGATGTATTTAATATCTTGTTTTTCCATATGTTTACTTATTTTAATTATTCTGATTTACTGAACAGCAACGTGTGGAGCAGAAATAGACACCTAGTATCAACTTTTATTATCTTTACAATTCTTCACACCTACATTACTCTAGTAATGTTGAAACCTTTCCTCTTTTAAAATACATATATTGATTTTAATCTGAATAAGATTTTTATTTATCATTTAGTCAAAATAATGGAGGAAATGTATAATCTTACCAATAATTATATCTTGATTTCAGTTTTATTACAGTATAGACTTACCAATTATTATTTAAAAGAAATGTAAAATTCATATTATTTTTTATGAAAATTTTCAACACAGAACAGTTTTACTTTTGTAAATAAGAGAACTAATTTCAAGAAACATTGCATTCTAGCCATTCTCAAGAACTAAATTTACATGCATAATATTGCAGCAGCCATTTAAAAAATTACTACCTGTACTGTAACATTTTACACAATCTACATTTTATAAATTGTGCTATAACATGCAGACAGAATCAATAACAATTGCGACAATACTATTTCAAATATTATCAGATAAACATAGAATGCAGTGAAAAGAAGTATACGTTTACTGCTACATTTAATAAATGTGCAAAGAAAAATAATAGTTAAAAATCTAACAGTAATCTCATTCTTTATACTTTCTATACTACAAACTTCATAAAAATGTTGTTATATGACTACTGTCACTGTTATTGCATTGTTTTGTAATCTTTGTTCATATTACGAAGATATATAAACAAAGTGGTAAATATAAAATTGTCATAATTACAAATTATATCGAAGTGCAGTTTGTGAAATTTAGAAATTTTACTATTAGCCATTATACGCGAAATAAAATATATTACATACAATGCAATAAAAGTTAGGTTCATTAGTAAGTTACAAGAACATATTACTTACTTTGAACAGGTACAGGAAGACTTTTGTGTTGGATCAATGAAGGTCCAGGTTCCAGATTCTGTGGAAGATTCTGTCTTGGAAGCAGAAATCGGTGAATTCAAAGTACATTCTGCCCATACACGTTCTGGTAATTCTGTAGCCGATCGTAACTCCTGCTGACTCAGAAGAGGATGTTCATAGCTAGCAGGACTATTTGGTGGAGAAAGAGGAGTATCAGATGGAGTGTCGTCCATATCTGTGACTAGGACATAACACGAAGGGTAACGCATGCGAACACCACCAACAAGCACTTCTACTAATGATGGAAGTCCTGCTTCTACATTACTGCCGTTGATTGGATAAAAATGTTTCCATTCTTCAAGAAGCTGACTATCTGTACGTCCGACTGGACCTGTCAATGTGCCTGCTAGTCCGTAAGGAGCTAATATCACTGAAACAGAAAATGTACTAAATAATTATATATTTACAACAGTAACACACACTTACAATATACTCTTAAATTATCTTATGTGCTTGCCTTTAACACCAGACTGGGTGGTTTGAGTACGTTGTAAGCAAGTTCTTGTAAGATGTCGTACAGCAGGATGCTGCCTGACATCGACACTTGCACATACAGTACTTTCTCCATGCACAAAAAATGCAAACGAGAATGACAAATGGCTACTAGAATGTAAATGACATTAAAATTATTTCACTTGAATTAAGTTAGAGTTAGTACTTAATTCAAATCTAACTGTTATAACTACGACCGAAAATTACCATCAACAATAGTACAAGAACGTACCTACTGCAACGATGTTTCTCGAATCCATCATAAGGTTGTACGAACCACTTTCCTAGGCGAACAAAATCACGAGATAGCAAGCACCGTTCGATCAAGTTATGTAGAGCCTTGAAAAGAAGTGACCGGCATTCATACGATAATCCACTTTCCCAAGAACCTTGTTCACTTTCTGCAATCAAAATATTTATATTAAAAAACAATCATGATTTATATATATATATAGTAAAATCATTTTTATTATATGATAATTAAAAAATTTGGACGTTTAATGTAATTTATATATATATATCATTGAATATTTTATGTAATATTTAGAAAATACTTTTAGATTCACATCTTTTCTGAACAGAGGAAACGAAATGAATTTCGCTTTAGAAGCACGTAGATTTTTGTTATTTTCCCGTGATCTACTTTCTTCATCGAATCGAGGCAATACCTATTCTTACTGGTCGAAAGAAACGGCCGATTCCACTGTGAAAGTAATGCAATTCGTGTATAAATTACAATGAGTCACGTCGGCGCTACGTAGTCTGTAGAAAACAAAAGAAACGTCAGCCGAGAAAATCAAATCTTTTGCTTTTGGAATTTCGTGCTCGTGACCTAACGGTCAAATTAACTATTTTTTACAATACAATAGCGCTGTGTGGTGTTTTTATTTTTCAAAAAGTAAATCTAGAATAGCGAAACAGTAATGAACTTTACGCTCCATGAACATCAATTCTGCAAGTGTGAGGCGGGCAAGTTTCACTTTCTAAGACAAATGAATATTACAGTAAAACAAATTACACCGTCTTGTGTAATGTAATAATAATTTTTCTAATAACAAAAGTGATTTGCTGTAGATTTCTAGACTTCTACATGTACATGCGACATTCATAAATATTATGGATTTCGATTTCATTGATCATTGAATTATTTATTTAAAAGAAAGTTTCTAACAAAACTTTATTGAAAATATTTTATTTGTTAATGTAACAATTTTGTTAACTAATTTTTCTATATATATATTCAAAAGAATTATTTTCTCGTCGTTTATCGGCAGAGAAAAAAAATATTTTCCTACATCCACGCAATAGGATGTGATATATATAGGATTATTGAGGACCCACTGAAATCTTTTTGATTCATAGCATCCAAAGACTTGGTTTAACCAAGACTAACGGTTTACCAGTTGGTTCCGCAATTGGTGTACTCCTTGCGATGCACAATAATGGAACCTTGCGTTGCATCGCACCGAGTTGCAGACAAGTACATGGTTCAGCGACCCTGTGTAGAGAAACACGGTCTAGCCAACGTTACCGCTTCGCTCGGTTTACACACCTTCTTTCTTCGAAACAAAAGCATACGGGATTTCCTACAACGACGTCGACTAGAATTCGTGGAGTACTGCTTTTTGGAACAGTCCAATCGTTTAATTAGTAAATTGTCACTCTTACATTATCATTCAGTTATTATTTTACTATGTCTGTAACAAATTTAATTCTGTAAAAGCCACCAGTATTTAATGTTACTTGTTATATATATATATATATATACTAACAATATAAACGATCAAATATAAATTAGTAGTCAGAGAAATTAAAGAATAATAGGAAAATATTTTTACAGCTTCCAAGATTCTAGTTTAATTTTTAAACTAAAACAGACGAAATAGTTTTAGCGAAAATACATAGAAATGTTCATAGTTTTCTTATGAACATTGAGATGCTCGTTCCATATCACAGAAATGTTTATTACAATATGTAAGTTTAGAAAATCTACAGTGCGTTTCTCTATTGTTTGTTAGATTATACAATATTGTTTCGATTACAGTGTACAATATTTCAAGTGAAAAATCGGTGTGGATTGGATATTTTCAGAAAATTCATTTCGATCCCTTGTCTTATGATTTATTTTGCTTATTGTACTTATTGAGCATAACTATTTGCTTTTAAAATGCTGTGACCGGCATGAAGCTAGCGTATAAAAGAAAAATTGAAATGAAAATAAAGGTTACGCTTGAATATCATTTTTGTTTATAACGGTTCGCTCATAGCTAATAAGCCAAGGGTTAACGCCTTGCTTGTCTTTCGAGATTTAGATGTAAATATTTCACGCCCTACAAAATAGATAAAAAAAAACGTCCATGAATCCCGGTGTCTATTAGAGGATCGAAACTGTCCATGAGGACAATGAGACCTTCATTACTCACCACACGCGATGAGTTCCGGTGATACGAGACCGGAGAGATCAGGTTCCTCGCCATACCAGAAGATCCAAAGTTCCTTCGCGGCAGTAAGGGAGAGGGGTGGTGGCGCGGGCGAGGGTGCGATGCCCAGGTCGAAGATACCAGCTCCAGTTGCCGAGGCGGTTGCTGGGCCAGAGGTGGCCGGTGTAGCGGCCACCCGTCGCCACACGCAGAGAATGTCACCCGCGAGGCACCGCGAGAAGCTCGACAATACCGGGTCCTCGAGGGGAGTGCCCCCGAAATCGCCAGCCACTTCGCCCCACACGAGCTTCTTCCATTTGATGCCGCAGAGGTCCGTCTACAACATTCGTTAATTAGTAATATTTTTGAGGATTTAGATGATTTCTTTGGCGTAAATTTTATATTTCAGTTGTGGATAGTTTCTAGCATTGATGTTTTACACACAAGCTACACATTCACAAGAAAAATGTATTCACGACGATAATTAAACTTTGAAAAAGAATTTAAAAATAAATGTGGGGAACAAAACAAGGACCAAGACTCTATTAATTGTTACATATTTTATCTAATTAACTGAGAAACAAATTTGTTAAATTGAAAACTAATAATTTTTTATGTTTATAATATATTATATGTTAATAATATATATTTGATTACAAATATATATATATATATATATATATATATATATATATATATGTATAAAAGTAATTAAAACTTCGTTATCCTAATTCTGTTATTTATATATTATATGCTAACAATTAAATTTATTAATGCAAGCGATAAAAAAAATGTAATTTATATGTGTAATATAACACTTGCGCAAATTCTTCCAATTAGTGAAGATAGGTTAGGGACTGCAGGGAATGTATTGGAACATCCATTGACCATTGAGAAAGGTCGGTCCTTGAACTTTCGCCGTATTCTATTTCCATTTGTCATGCAACGTAACAAATCGTTGATTTAACCGTGAACAATAAGATCGTTTAATGAAATTTAATGGATCACATCAGCAGAATTAAAACTTGAAAATACGTTGCAAATACTGCAAACAATAATAACAATACTATCATTTCATTTTCAATTAATGTGCATTATCTACACAGATAATGCAGCTTTGAAATTGTCAACGCAGTTGTATCAATTGCAAAACAGTGAGGTTATGTTTCCTTATAATTTTGATAATGAGAGTTCAATGAATAAAGTTTTAATACGAGTTACCAAGAATTATTGTAATCTGAAAAAATAAAAAAATAATTATCTATGTACACAGATTTTACAATCAGAATTTCATAGGAATTTCGTTTTATAGTCATGAAAAATAAAACGATAAATTACCAACATACGATATTTATTAGGAAAGTATAAAGTATAAATGAAAGCGATGATAAATCGTAAATATTCACATTGATATCTATATATGAAGTAAGATAATTTCCTGTCCAAGCTTCTCCAAAATGTCAATGAACTTATATTCAATAGAAAGAAAAGACTATGGTAAAAACTTTACTTAAAATTGTCTGTGTTTAAAGAAAAATATCTTATCTTGGCTAATCAGAGTCTATTCACCCTGGTTTGATACCACTAACCACTGATTCATATAATTTTTGTTGACTTTCGTGCGATTAATCGATATTCTTTCACAAGTTATCGATATACAGCTTAAAATCGATTTTAAATACTCGAAATGTGTACGTGCGCATGCGTGGGAACGATTCTGATTCAATGTTAGAAATAACCAACCGTTTTATGTTGAGTTTACTATAAGTAATGCGTAGATAGATATGGATAATTTTAATTTGTTAAATATGAAATAATTATTAATTTTGATCGACACATTTCAATAATTACCAAGTGTCATTAAAATGTTATGAGCTTAATCATTAGAAGGATGTTAAATGATAAAATTCAATTTGTCTCAAATATTTTTGAAACCATGATACTTCAGATACGTTATTATCTTGTATAATATTTGTCATTCTAAAACTCGTGATGATTACACAAACAATAACAAGAACAGGATGGAATAGAGAATCTCTATACACTTTCTCGTTATTTAGTACAATGCGTATGAACCACGGCGCCGCCACAAGCACGTTTGTCTATCGTATGGCGCCACGATGTGTCTGTCGGAGTAATAAAAAGGCACGCGCAGTCGCGAACAGGTCGCGCACTTCTCGGCCAATCAAACGTATGCCTTTTCTTACGTCACGCTGCCAGCTGACATAACCGGAACAAATTCAAATAAGAGCGGAAACTTCGTGTAATTTTAAAGAGCACGATATGAATTCCACAAACGTTTTTTTCTATAAATATTATTTTATGTTCACGTTTGGAGTGCTTATTTCTTTTCGCACGAGAACTGAAAATACAAAAATACAAAAATACAAAAATTCTTATGATTAATACGTGCATATAATACTAAATCTAAAAAGAAACAAGCAAGAAAGTATCAATCGTTATTATCATCATTAATCTTGTTTAAAAAATAATAATTCGTACTGAATTTTTGATGACTTTATTATTGTCGTTCGACTAATCTAACCTAACAAAAAACCTGAACAAAATCAAGTAATTCCAAAGTTCTGATTGTGAGTGGTTCAAAAAATTTGATTCAACAGCTTCCTTAGTATACTAGCACGTTCTATGCACAAAAGTAAAAGAGTATTTTTCTTCATTCTGTTACGTTTTAGAGACGAAAGATGAGAAAAGAGAATCGATTCAGAAAGAAAAGACATGCGGTGGCGCCTATCGTGTCGACGCGACGAAATAATCGGTGAGCAAAGGCGCCCATCGTAACGCTACGGGACTGTCAAGCTCGCTGATCAATACAAGCAAGGCGACGTGCAAGGCCGCCCGCGTGGATTCAACTCGCGGGTCCGCCACATTCCCTCGTTCCATTCTGCCATACGCGTCTCTATTCGTATCCCTTTTCTCCCACGATATCGTTTCACGCAGCCTCTTTCTCTCGCTTCGCCTTTTTTTTCCCCCTTTTCTTTATTCCGCCTTTATCCTCTCCCACCCTAGCCTAGATTCTCCATATGTTTTCTCCTTTTTACTAGTGATCACAATTTATCTGAAATTTGACAGGTGTGTAACTCTTGGACCATTTGACAATAATTTGTGCTGGATTAATGGATTGTAAGATGTGATCGAGACATCACTTTTCTGTGAATTCAAAAGCCCATATTATTTTGACTATACGGTTTTCATCTTTGTTTCAAAGGTGTCGCTGCAATTCTTGTAAACAAATAAAACATTCGATTTCTCTCTCGATGAATCAATCACACTAAAAATCTGAGCTTTCGAATCGTATTAAAAATCTAAGCTAACTACAAACCATATAGACCAACAGGTACAACAGACTTATCAAAACAGTTTTATTTCTATATTTAATGTCTTTGAATATTATCAATATATTGCTATAACAGCTTTTTTATTAGATCGGCGAGAACAAAAACGTACGGGACAATGAAAGAACTATGGACGAAGTATCGAGGCAACCTTCAGCCGATTACAATTTGCAATGCAACTGATCGCAATCTTTATGGTACGAGTCGAAAACATACAGAGTTGCACATCGAATTATTGATCGTGCTACCAGAGGCGAACAATACCCGAACGTACGTGTCAATGAAGACGGAAGAAGAACTGTGCAACATCATTTTTCTAACAGTAGCCGAGTATGTCTTCGGTGCGCGTAAAACGCGCAGCTACAGCTGTAAATTCCCATTTCTGTTACTGCCCTCCTTATACGCTTGCCGTTAAAGCAGCACGAACATTACATTCACGTGCGTAACGAAGCGGAATTCTCTTGCGTACAAGCCACTCGAAAGTGGATAGCGTACGTCTCCGCGATGCCACCGAACGCTCCTCTTTCTTTTTTCCTATGAACTCATACTTCCTACGTGAATTCTTCCAACTTTGCTCGAGCCTCGTTACTGCTCATTCGAAAAATTCTTTTTCTTTTCCCTTGCTTTGTTTACGGTAATGTAATACGATCCTTTTCGTAACGATAGGTAAATTAATTGTCAATTTAATTATTATTAGTAATTACGATATTAAAGTTCTACAGCTACTCATCAGTCCATATATTTTGCAGTTATAATGTTTCACGTGACACGAGCAATAAATTATCACCACATTTAAAATCAACGTGTTTCCGATTAAGATCTACCATTTGGTAAAATCTTTTTATCAAAATTCTTTTTCTTTCTTTTTTTTTCTTATCGCTTTCGTCTATTGCTTTTTCATATCAATGTAACAGATAAAAAAACTACACGTAGGTTACATTAAAATAAATATCATACAGTTTTAATTAGATTGTCTCAATTCTTAATTTTCTTTATTTTTTTGCTCAAGGGAGATTGCAAACATTTAATTTCAGTCCTTTCTATTTCTTAATTTTCTTAAATATTAATTTCATAATTCTCTCCTATTAAACAGTTTACTTTGCCTAGTAAAGTGTCATTTATATTTGGCAAGTAAGTTCAAAGTCAAGTAAATTTGAAATCAAAATACCGAGAGAAGAATGGTTCGAGAGACACTGGATATTCTCAATTATATCAGAGTCTGTTTCTGGTGATTTCTCGAGTAAGATACGCGAGGCACGCGGCTTCTTCGTCGACGAAGTCACTCGGCTAGATTATGCTGAAACTGGTGCTCCGTGGAAAGAAACAGGAGAAGCCGAAGGGGGCTTGACCAGCCTAGGTGAAAGCCTTGCACCGCGTGTTAAGGCTACAAGAGAGTTTACACACCGCTACATTTTGAGCTCGCCACTTTTGCTTCGACCTCGGAACACTATTCTTTTTTTTTTTTTTTTTTTTTAATCATTT